TGCTTGAAAAAGTTTCGGAACGATATGTTCGTAAATTTGGCACCAAATCGTGTATATTCCGTGCTAAGTTAGACGATCTATCCGTTCGAAATAAGCAAATCAAAGTCAAAGACATAATGACTGAGCTCGATGGCTTGTTTGACGACGCTATTCGACAGGTGAGAGTGAAAAAAGCGCTGTGTGACACAAAGCATCTTTTTAATTTTTATGTTAATGTCCGCAGGTAAAAGAACAGTGTGATTTTAGAACACCATTGGAAGATCGTCTTCAGGTAATGATTAGATCGAATGCTTTGAAAACACCAATCAGCACTAAGCTTCTTCCTGCCGCTGAAATTAACTCTAACACAATTTTGGGTGAAATTACAAAAACTTTGCAGAGTAATGAGAATATTCCTTTGGACAACTCGTTTATCATCGACCTTATTGGTGTAAAAGCACCTGTTGGGAGTGGTAAGGCCTTCAAAGTCTTAGATTATTCTCAAGACAGTACTTTAAAAAAATCGATTGTAACTATCAAGAATAATGATAACCTATGCTGTGCTCGGGCTTTAGTTGTAGCCATAGGGATGGCTGACCACCATCCTAAATTAAAACAAATGAAGATGGGTAGGCCTATACAGAAAAATTAGCCTTAAAGTTGCATAAACGTGCCAATATTTTGCCTGGTAAATGTGGATTGAGGGAAATTTCAAAGTTTCAAGGTGTTCTTTCAGACTATCAAATTATTGTAATAGACTTTGATGCACGAAACACTTCAATTTATGAAGGGCCTAGAAGAGTAAAAAAGCTAATGCTATACAAACACGGAGATCATTTCAATGTTATCAATCCGGCAAAGCTCCCAGCTTTTTTCGGTAAACGATTTTACTGTGAACAGTGTTCAAGCTTTGTAAACAACTATATTGATCACCCATGTTTTGATGTCTGCAGCACATGTTTACGCAAAGGATGTGCATTAATTCCGACGGAACAGCGGGAATGCTCGGACTGTTACAAGCTCTGCCGTTCAAATGAATGTTTTCACCTTCATAAAACAACGCATGTTAAGAGGACTTCATCTTCCCTCAAAATGTGACAAATCGTACAAATGTCGTACATGCAGTGTCATTGTTGACCAAAATCGGCAAAATAAACACAAGTGTGGAGAGTTCAAATGTCATATCTGTAAGCAGTTTGTTGTCGGCGGTCACTTATGCTTCATTCAACCTGAACTACCAAAAAAGCCAAATGTAAAACTAATTTTTTACGATTTTGAAACGGATTTTACAAGCGGAGAGCATTTTGTGAACTTTGCTGTTTTACAATTCGCTTCGGGCGAAGAACGTGTTTTCAAAGGATATAATGCATTAAATGAATTTTGCGAGTTTTATTTTCAAGAGAACGTAGGCTATACTGCAATTGCGCATAATGCAAAGGATTTGACGCTGTTATCATTCAAAATGGCTCACAATATCGACCGACAGTCGATATGCATGTCATTCATTCAGGTCAGAGAGTAATGCAATTATATTTAAAGGTTTATCAGATGACACTAATCAACTCGTGAAACTTCCTAAGTATGCCTCTTTCCAATTTGCCTCGAGCTTTTGGATTTGTCGATGTATTCGAAAGGCGATTTCCCTTTTAAATTTAACACGCGAGAAAATCACAAATACGTTGGACCTATTCCGGCTCTTGAATATTATAGCCCCGACACAAAGCCAAAATGTAAAAGAGATGAGCTAATTGCATGGCATCAGAATTTAATCGGTGAGGGATACGTTTTCGACTTTCAAAAAGAAATGTACAAATACTGTTCTCAAGATGTAACTATTTTGCGTTTGTTTTGCATGGAATTCAGAAAGTTGTTTTTGGCCGAAACACGTGTAGACCCATTTTGTTATTGTACAATTGCGTCTTCGGTCATGGCAGTGTTTCGTTCAAACTATTTAAAAGAAAAAACCATTGGCATTGTACCTAAGAATATGTATCGTGATAGCAATAAACCGTATTCAAACAGTGCCATTGAGCTGGAGTCTGTTTCCTTTCAAACAGAAAGCAATATCAAACAAAAAGCAATATCAAACACGCTCTTCATCATGGGGAAGTTATTTATGATCTGTTGTTAAATAAACATCATTATGTCGACGGATTTTATGAAGACACAAACACCGTGTATGAGTTCTACGGAAAAGTTTATCACGGCTGCCCTTTATGCCTAGATTTGAAGAGTGACAATTCTTACCGTACAGGTACAACGCTAAGAGAAGCATATAACCGAACCATTGAGCGTGAAAAAGATTAACGGAGTTAGGATATAAAGTAAAACCATATGGAGCATGATTTCAAGCAACTCAGACAAACTCCTCAAATGCAGCATTTTTAAACACACATGAAATTATAACAGACCTTTACCCTGCCGATAGCTTTTTTGGAGGAAGAGTTGAGGATTTTAAACTGTTTCGTAGGGCCGAAGAAAATGAGAAAATCTTTTATAACGATTTTACAAGTCTTTATCCATTCGTTATGAAAAATCGCCGTTATCCTATAGGTCACCCTACAATTATTCGCAAAAATTTTGAAGATCTTTCAAATTACTTCGGTTTCATTAAGTGCCGCGTTTTGGCACCGGCAGGCTTGTATCATCCCGTGCTCCCGATGAAAGTTAATGGTAAATTAATGTTTCCAATGTGTAAGCGGTGTGCTATGAATGCCTCTGCAGAATGCCATCATTCCGAAAACCAGCGTTCATTTTGTGCGACTTTTACGACCATTGAAATGAACACGGCAATCGAAAAAGGCTACAAAATTTTGAAGGTGCATGAAATTTGGCATTTTGAAGAAACATCGGACAGTTTATTTAGTGAATATGTCAATTTCTTTTTGCGATTGAAACAAGAAGCTTCGGGCTTTCAGGATTGGGTAAACTCAGACGCAGACCAGGCAAAATATATCGACGACTATCTAAAGCACGAGGGAATTCTATTGCGTAAGGAAAAAATTGTGAAAAATCTATGGTTAAGAGCGTCAGCAAAACTTTGTTTAAACTCGCTGTGGGGTAAATTTGCACAACGTAATGATATGTTAATTACGGAGTTTATTCATGATCCGCTTGTATTTTACAAACGACTAAATAGTGCAGACACTGAAATTCACGACATGATTGTCATGGTTGTAATAGTCATGGTCATGATGGTCATGGTCATGATGGTCATGGTCATGGTGGTCATGGTCATGGTAGTCATGATCATGATGGTCATGGTCATGATGGTCATGGTCATGGTAGTCATGGTCATGATGGTCATGGTCATGATGGTCATGATCATGATGGTCATGGTCATGGTAGTCATGGTCATGGTGGTCATGGTCATGGTCATGGTCATGGTAGTCATTGTCATGATAGTCATGTTCCTCATCCTTCTCCACGCTCAAATTATCAGTAATTTGTGGTTATTGAACAAATGCAAGCTTGCCTCAACATGTACTGTTTTTATTAAAATGTTATGTTTAGATATTTTACTAAGTTTTGAAATTTGTTAATTGAAGTATTATATACAATTTCAGCCAAACCTGTATTGTTAAATACAGTTTTGAACGTAATTGTATATACATGGTGTCATACTGTCTTGGTGTGAATCCGTGTGATGAATATGTTAACTCGGAATGCAAACTCTCTACTCAAACTCTCAAACTCTCTTGAAATCATGCTCCCATATGGTTTTTACTTTTATACCACTTTTTGTGACCATTTGTGTATGGGATTCCATCGTTGATTTTCGTAAGTCGAAATCTGAACGCGTACAGGAATATCACATTTGTTTACGTACAAGTAAACATTCTGATCACCTCAACAGCAAATGCACATGGCTTTACGGCTGATATTGTTTTATGATAACCGTATCATCTGATCGAGCTTGCAATTTATTGTCCTCCAGGGATAAGGTGTACGATATACCGTTTGCATCGGCAAACCAAATAACCTTTGCTGTTCATAACTCGATAAAATCGAACTTTCAAATTCGATTTGTTTCGGAACTCGGAAACGCACAGTCAGAACTTTTCAGTAATCCGTTACATAAGGGCACAATGCATAATGGGAAGAGAGTACTTCCTGTTTTTAACTTCCTGTGCGTCCTCATCAGTACCTCCCTCTTGTTTGAGGGTTCATTTCATCAATCCCAGACCTCAGTGTCACGTGTGGTCCATTACATGCCATAAACCGTTTACCACGTGGTTAAATGAATTGTAACAAATTAGTTGCAAAATGACAAACAACAAATTACTAACATTGGTGTTTGTTTTTAATGGTGGAAAAATTTTGTTGGGAATGAAGAAGCGAGGATTTGGAGCTGGAAGATGGAATGGATTTGGTGGCAAAGTAGATAGCACAGAAACAATTGAGGCAGGAGCAAAAAGGTGGGTTGCAAGTTTGTACTTTTTGAACTCTGGCAGGTAATTTACACAAGGGCAAATCTGTAATTTTTAGAGAGTTAAAAGAAGAATGCAATCTAACCACAAGAGACCTAAAACATGTTGGAATATTAAAGTTTGAGTTTGTTAATGAGCCACAAATCATGGAAGTTCATATTTTTACAACCAAGGTTTACGAAGGGGAAGTGCAAGAATCAGAAGGTGGACAAGTTAAAATCAATGGCATAGCCAGTTTGCACATTTTAGTCCAATTTTGTAAATTTCAGCACATTATTGTTTTTCATACCTGTAGAAATTCATTGTTTTACAGTGTGTGAACGAAGAAAAATGTAGATCAAGGCACTAAATTGCAGGCTGGCTATGCTACTGCTTAAAATTAATTCAGAATAAATATAAAGCTTTTTCATAAATTAATTTTATGGATTTTTCCTCCAACAGAAATGAGACCTAAGTGGTTTAACATGGATGAAATTCCTTTCAATGAAATGTGGCCCGATGACAAATTGTGGTTTCCATTGATGCTAAGCAACAACATGTTCAAAGGTTATTTTAAGTTTGAAGGTCATGACAAGATACTACACTACACTCTTACTGACCAAATCATGGACTGATTTTATGTGTAATTTATATTGTATAGCCACAATACTTAAAGCAAATGCATACTCTAAAGTGCAAGCTTTGGATAGAGTCATTTACTTCATGACAGCAAATTTTAAAAGTAAATAGTTCCTATGGAAATGTTTGATAAATAACTATTGAAAACAAGCCTTCACACATCCCAGTCAGCAGTACCTGTGAGTTCCTAAATGGTATTTTCATGAAATACAGATTATAATATAGTCTGTATTTTGTTTCAATAAACCTATATTCTAAATCTACTCATATACTTAAAATTTTCTGCCATACAAAATAGTTCGTGCAAGTTATTTCATACAAAATTTTTGGCTGTACTGCATGCACCCAGGTGCTTTTCCAGCCCTGCTAAAGAGTATGATTGATAAACCGTCCAAGTGTTCCAGTAAACATCATCATCATGTTTTGATAAATTGTTTGATTCACTAAACTTCATTAAGTGTGACAGGTGAAACAGATGGTTGTATTGTTGTCATGTTTTGATGAAACCCAGATACACAGCCACGTGCAGTGATTAATCTACCACAAGCTTGACACTATATGAAATAATGAAGGAATGTTTGACATTGCAAATGGAAGCACATATACAGGCAGTCAAAAAGAACTGCTTGATAGCAAAATACTTTATTAGGGAAACACAGAGACCGTGGAGCCAGAGGATGGGGGTGGGTGGAGGCCATGGACCCTTTACCTCTTCCACAGAAAAGTAGCTCATAGAGTAAAATTTAGCATCGTAGGTAGAGACTATGCTTTTGTGCTATTCTGACCGCAATGGCTTGCAGATTTGGTCTGACTAACTTAATTTTTCTGTGTTCAATCACTACAAAAACAACAGATTTCTGTGGAAATGTAAAAAGATAATGCTATAAAATGTAAATAGCTGGGAAAAAACTTGCAGGCTGGTTTTGAACAAGTTTTGTGGTCCCCGTGACATTGAGACAAAGAAAATAAAATTATCTTTAATAACTACTGGAGCCTCCACTTGCTTTGCATTGCTTTCCATCATGTTAAGCAATCCTTGGCATGGATGATAAACATAACTTTCCAACTTGACTAGACAAAGCCTGAGCAGTTCTTTTTCACTGCCTGTGTATATTTCCATTTCAGAGAATTTTATCCATGTAGAAAGGAAGTACTCACCATACCCTAGTCAATGTAAGTAAAAGTGTACATAAGTAAGAAGAGAATAAAATAGACATTAAAAATTACACATGAACTTGACAAGCTTACCCCCTGTCCAAGAAGAACAAAGGATATAAAAAAGAAAAGTTATTAGAATTGAGGAATATGTGAATTTAACTCATCAATGTTTTGTTAAAGAGAACTTGAGTGTACTCACAAATACATCAGCAATCTAAAATGAAAATTAGTTTGCATATAATTAATTTATTTGAAAATATTAACATTTTAGCAAGTAAATTTTAGCATCATTCCTTACAAGGAATAGAGATGTCAACTGTGTTTTTACTGTATGTCGTATGAATTTAGATTTAGAATTACATCCCTTCATATCTCCAGTTGCCCCCATTTCATAATCCTACATACACCCTTGAGTTTGATCATTGTAACTTTTGATTGGCAAGCAATGCTTATTCGTCTATCTGTTTTAACCATCTGTTTTAACAATGATTGAACTGAAAATATTAACATTGCATGACCAAATTGTGGGCTGGCAGCACCACGGACCATCAGTGATAGCTAGTTAGAAAATAAACACAATGAAACGCGTGCGCTGATTGGTCTAGAGCTGAGTTTGCATTAGCCTGTGCAAAGCACATCTAAGCTCAACCAATCAAATCGATTAAAACAATCAATCAGTCAAAGAGAATTTGCAAATCGATCATGAATACATTTCAGAGGGAAAATTGAAATGTTTGTCTTTTTTTTGCATTATTGTTATTTTATAGAAGAAACAAAAGATGTTTGCAAAGGCTGATGCAAACACTGCTCTAGACCAATCACCGTAAGCGTTTTATTCTTTTTGTTTTATAATTCTTAATTATTGATTGGACAATAATATGTATTTGTTAGGAGTAAAGTAAACTACTAACCGGCTATTGATCCCAGAAGATGATTCATTGAACATAGAAAAAAATAAAAGGCAGTATAGTTTTGGCAACTAAATTGTCAAGTAAAATATAACGTTTAACTGACCCCGACATGCCAAGAACACGACCTCTCGTTGTTTGCTTTCTCTGCATACATTTTTCCACAACGACAACACGTTTGAATTGATTTCATGTGTAATCCTTGTGAACTTTGAGAAGATCTTTCTATGTTTTTCGGATGCAAGCTTGAATTGGGTTTAAAAGTGCGTAGTGAACGATTGACCGTAGGGTCTTTTGATTGTTTTGAATTCAACATTTGTCTTCGTTCAATGTCCAGTGCAAAAGATTGTTGCCGCAAATTTATGCGATGATCTCGAGTCGCTCGAACCATTTCTCTTCGTTTTTGTACGACGCGGTGGAGATTCTGTTTAGAATCGCATCTTTGAACCAACTCATGTTGTCTTAAATCAATGAAAGTCAGTTGAGCGCCACAACTACAGGTTGACGAACGAAACGCGCATGTTGTTAAGTGCTCCGTGAAGTCTGAACGACGTACTTTTTTTGTACAGCCAGCATTCGTACAAGATACCATGGAAAATGGACATTCCTTTACGAGATGATGGTTATAAGATTCATAAGTGACAATTTCACCGCAGCCTTTTGGGCAGCTTATTCGTAGCCTGGCCAATTTTTTTAGCCATTCTCTTTTTAAAGGTTCTGAAGAAACTTTGAGGTCCTTTAGGCAAACGGAACACCCCAAATAATGAGTCTTTCGGCTCTTGAAACAATCCCAGCAAAGGACATGTTTACACGTACAAAGAACCGGATCAACAAAAACACCGTGACAATGAGAGCAAATAAACTGTTCATCGATGTCTTTATCTTCAAAATATTTGACATTGATCCCCATCAATAACTTCCATAGGATCAACTTTGTGAAAGTTTATGAAGGTGATATATGGCAATTCAGGCGCAATTGAGCACTCAATATTTTCCTTTTATTACTCCTATCGTCATAGCTTGACAACGTTGTCCGTTGTCAAGGTACATATGAGTGCTCTGTCCCGGATGAAACACGCTTTGCCGCGCGTGATATGCAAATGAAGATATCATTGCGACTACTGTCAGAAATCTTTTAGGAAAACACGAAGTTGTTTGATACTCTTAAAATGTTAAACATTTTTATTCTATGCGTTTCAACAAGTATTGCATGTCAAAGAAGACATGAGATATACTGCCTTTCAAAATTATCGGAAAGCCTTCACCTATAATGACAAGTAATAATACTTGTTGCAGTGACGTAACGCAATTTCTGGGGCCCTACCTTTTTCAGCCATTAGTGGCTACTTTTCTCCACAAAAAATAAGCTGAATGACAGTATTTACTGATTCATTGCATCCGAAACTGATGAGTTGTGTTTACATTAACGTTCATCAAAATATTTAATAAGAGAAAAATCTCGAAATTTGTTGAGAGTGGGCCTCTATAGTTCCTTGTAACAAAAATATTTATTTTATTGACAATATACTGAAATTGCAAAGTTGTAACACAATATTATCAATAGGATGACTATCGTTTACATCCCTAGTTGGTAATTAGATTTCCAAAATTGTGTTTAAGTTATTAAATAATTTGTTATGGTAATTTTGTACCGGGGTGCGGGAGGTAAAACACGGGGCAGTCACTGGGCAACCTGATACCCCGGTAAGCCACTGACTTGTTGAAACGGATACAGCGTGTACAAAAAAGACCTAGAATAAATTTCAATGCCCCACCACAATGTTAAGCCCATGGATGCTGGTTTCAGCCATTTGCACACACTTCATATCTTTGTTTCAAGCGCTAAAGCTATTTCTGGGAATTCAACATACTTTCTAACAGCAAAACTCGTGCAATATGCGCCCGTGGGTTGGCAGAGTGATCAGGCAATGACTTTTGATAATTTGCCGATTTCTAAAAGATTATCTTTTTTTATGTATCTTGTTCAGTGGCGGATAACTAGTTACGAGCCTGTAGGCTAAGACAAAATAGCAGGCCTTTAGGTGATATCTATCCCCGAGAAGGTCAGTCTCTTGAAGACGTTTGCGTTTCTCACGCTCTTTGGCTTTTGCCTTTCCCGGCTTCTGTTTGTAAGTGTAAACAATAGGAAATCAATAAGGACTCAACTTCATGAGTTCAGTGGACCGTGCAGTTTCTAAAAGGATATATCATCGAATTTTAGAATATTTAGCAAGTCCGGAATGGCAAAGAGTAAAAACTATGTCTAAATACAACAGGCCTCTCGAAAACGCGAGCTTGTAGGCTTCAGGCTATTTAGCCTACTGAGCAATCCGCCTCTGACCTAGTTGAATAAAATGTTCACCATTTACGGAGTGTTTATTGCTTTTTAGTTTATTGAAAGATATCGTTGATGAATTTTCAGGTGCGGAGGACCAAGAAAACTAGCAATTTATGACAAGCTTTAATTATATATATATATATATATATAATTATATAAATAAAATTGCTGAGGCCTTTGATGAAAAATCATCTCATATGTCAGTTGTAGTTCATTTCGCCTTTCCCATGTTGTTTAGTGCACTGCCAGCTTTGAACCACTGGATCTGAGTGTCGTTAAAAGTGTGATTCAGTAGAAATTGTTCTTTGCTCCCGTCCTCGTGTGTTACTTCACATGTTAAAGGCTAGAAAGAAAAAAGTGTGATTCAGTAGAAATTGTTCTTTGCTCCCGTCCTCGTGTGTTATTTCACATGTTAAAGGCTAGAAAGGTAAAAGTGTGATTCAGTAGAAATTGTTCTTTGCTCCCGTCCTCGTGTGTTATTTCACATGTTAAAGGCTAGAAAGAAAAAAGTGTGATTCAGTAGAAATTGTTCTTTGCTCCCGTCCTCGTGTGTTATTTCACATGTTAAAGGCTAGAAAGAAAAAGTGTGATTCAGTAGAAATTGTTCTTTGCTCCCGTCCTCGTGTGTTATTTCACATGTTAAAGGCTAGAAAGAAAAAGTGTGATTCAGTAGAAATTGTTCTTTGCTCCCGTTCTCGTGTGTTATTTCACATGTTAAAGGCTAGAAAGAAAAAGTGTGATTCAGTAGAAATTGTTCTTTGCTCCCGTTCTCGTGTGTTACTTCACATGTTAAAGGCTAGAAAGGTAAAAGTGTGATTCAGTAGAAATTGTTCTTTGCTCCCGTCCTCGTGTGTTATTTCACATGTTAAAGGCTAGAAAGAAAAAAGTGTGATTCAGTAGAAATTGTTCTTTGCTCCCGTCCTCGTGTGTTATTTCACATGTTAAAGGCTAGAAAGAAAAAGTGTGATTCAGTAGGAATTGTTCTTTGCTCCCGTTCTCGTGTGTTATTTCACATGTTAAAGGCTAGAAAGAAAAAGTGTGATTCAGTAGAAATTGTTCTTTGCTCCCGTCCTCGTGTGTTATTTCACATGTTAAAGGCTAGAAAGAAAAAGTGTGATTCAGTAGAAATTGTTCTTTGCTCCCGTCCTCGTGTGTTATTTCACATGTTAAAGGCTAGAAAGAAAAAGTGTGATTCAGTAGGAATTGTTCTTTGCTCCCGTCCTCGTGTGTTATTTCACATGTTAAAGGCTAGAAAGAAAAAGTGTGATTCAGTAGAAATTGTTCTTTGCTCCCGTCCTCGTGTGTTATTTCACATGTTAAAGGCTAGAAAGGTAAAAAAGAAGAAGGCGGCGATCCATTAACAATCATTGGATGAAGTTGGGCATGATATCAAGAATTATTCATACTAAAACTACGTCATCTACAGAAAATTTCCCATGTTTTGTAGGTGGCAAGACATTGAGAATTATCTGCAGGCTGTCAGCCAATCACAATCAAGACTTCACCATCATTGTATGATAATAACAATTATCACCAATCTGTCATTTATTGTTTTAACATTGTACCTTCGCTATGGTTTTAATATTGTACCTTCGCTATGGTTTTAGTATTGTACCTTCACTATGGTTTTAGTATTGTACCTTCGCTATGGTTTTAGTTGAAGGTAGTGCAGAAATTTTTTGTTAATAGTTACGTTAAATGATTGGTTGCTAATGAAGTGGGCGGATTGCACAATAGTGTCTTTTGATACAGTATGTGGATCATAGTGTGATAATAAACCTTTTAGCAAGTTTAGTACAGTTTTCAAAAGGCACTATCTATGAAATAATGTTGGAAAACTTACATAAATATCTCTTTGACCACTTACCTTTCCGGGTGCAAAATCTTTAAGGCCAAGAATTGATATACGGTCTGTTGGCTTGATTTTATCATAATCGGCTGGGTTATTAAATGTCAAAGGCAACATTCCTAGAAAGAGAAGTTGTATCAATTGACACTGGTCTACATTTATAACAAATAATTCAACAAACGTTAGCAAAACTGACCTTGTTTTTTAAGATTTGTCTCTATAAACAACATAAAAGATCATTGTAAGAAGTGCAAGTAATATATTAACCATAAAAAATAAACACAATAAAACGCGTGCGGTGATTGGTCTAGAGCTGTGTTTGCATTAGCCAGTGCAGAACACATCTGAGCTCAACCAATCAAATCAATCAAAACAATCAATTAGTCAAAGAGAATTTTCAAATCGATCATGAATACATTTTAGAGGAAAAATTAAAATTTTGTTTTTCGCATTTTGTTATTTTATAAAAGAAATAAAAATGTTTTCCGTGTTTTCCTATCTCGAGTTCTCCCAAAGGTCTCTTCAGTTTGCATAAGCCCGCGCAAACACAGGAAACATCTTTTATTTCTCAAATAATGACACCGTTATCGATAACGGCGTATCGATAACGGCGTATCGGCTCTTAAAAATAAAATTATTAGTAACGGTATTTTTTCTTGTTCATAATACCGATATTTAGACATTTCATTGAAATAGAAATACATTTGAAATGAATCATAGTTTAACATTACTAAATATATCACCTCAACAATTTCTGTTAAATTAATACTACTTAAAATTTGTTAGTTCCACAAAACATAGACATTGTGTTGTGAAATATGGCTGCAGTGTAAATGTCCACTTTGAATTTTATATTTTTTTTTTATCAAATGAACAGTCACTGGTGAGTACAATTTGGCATACTTTATGATGTTCAAGTTTCGTAAAATGGCGTAAAATAACGTTATCGGCACAATGTCGGCGTTTTAAAATCGGTATATCGGTAAAATCTTACATCGGTGCAACACTATCAACAAAACATTGCTGCCCACGTTTCATATAAAGTGCATATAAAAAAATTCATGTAAAGTATGGGCTTGGTAGCTCAACAGGTAAAGCGGCCGACTAGTATCACGAAGGTGCGAGTTCAAATCTCGTCCAAGTCACATGCTTTTCATGAGCATATTAAAACCGTGTTAGGATTTATATTATGTATATAAAGTGCATATGGAGCAAAAATTTCGCTGTTTTAAGTCTTTTAAAACAGAACTTTTAAAATGATAATGGCTTTCCAAACCAGTTTATGCGTGTTTCTTTTCATAATCAAAATATTGAGGTTTTTGTAGTGTTCAATTTATGCAACCCGTGACGTCACATTGCATAATGGAACATGAATTATCAGATATATTTGCTGATGCGTTACTTCAACATGGCAGAGTTCAATTCATTGTGAAGAATTAATTGTACAAAATCTTGTCTAACAGTTTCCACCTAAAGTTATCAGGATACTGACGAATATTATGCAAAATGACGTAACAAGTTAGGTAAATTGGACCAGCTGATTGGACAAAGCAAAACTTTTAAACCTCGATGATGAAAAGACATATGTATAAACTGCTTTGGAAAATAAAATCTCATTCTCAATGAAAATGTAATTTAAGTAGCAAAAATTTCGTGTCCTAGGCACATCAAGGCCAATCAGAATAATTCAAACGAGTTCAATACTTTCATAAAATCCAATAAAACTAAAGAATTAATCTGAATGAGAAATTCATATGATTTTTAGATCGAAAACTAGTACATTGACGTATTTAGGACATTTCGCTACACCAAAGATATTTCAGTATCCCAAAGGATATCTTATTGACGTGTTTAGGACATTTCGCTACACCATAGGATATTTCAGTATCCCTTCTATGAGTTCCACTGACAAGACTCACGACGCTAGAGACCCGACTCGATAACGTTTGTTACCAACTCACCGTGTATCCTTGCAAAGCTTTTGACGATTACAGCTCTACCACCAAGATGTCTGGGTTCAAGAGCAGCATGTTCACGACTGCTGCCTTCACCGTAGTTCTCATCACCAACAACCACCCAGTTAACACCGTTGGCCTGAATAATAAATATTGATGAAGACTGTAGACTGGAGTATATAAGAACTCAAGTTTCAACATCAGATCACTCCTCATGAAGACACTAGACTGAAGTATATAAGAACTAAAGTTTCAACATCAGATCACTCCTGATGAAGAGACTAGACTGGAGTACATAAGAACTCAAGTTTCAACATCAGATCACTCCTGATGAAGACACTAGACTGGAATATAAAAGAACTCAAGTTTCTCAACGCCAGATCACTCCTCATGAAGACACTAGACTGAAGTATATAAGAACTCAAGTCTGCATTATACACATTAACACCACAAAAGGAAAGATGTTTTTTCTTTAAAAAATATTCACCTTATAATATCTGGCAGTGTCAGGTACGGCACCATATTCTCCGTTTAGTTGATTCCGAACTTTATTAGCTTCGCCATTTTCCTCATTCACTGCCCTGGATAGAAACAGTAAATTATTTAATTTAAAGAAGTTTTACAAGTGACGCAGGGAGGGAGGTGAAACATATATAACTCACGCAATGAACATGTTGTTGGAGATATTATCCAAGTGTCCACGATATTTTAACCACGGACCAGCGGCACTAAAAAAGGCAAACGTTTACTAAATTTGCCACAATAAATGCCAGACGCTATGCTTACTATTGTCAACTTGAAACCTCAAAAACACTGCTCAAAGTTGTTGAACGCCATAATGTGGCCAGCACAATATCGTTCTAACCATTGAACTAGATATAACTGTATAGCTACCCGACAAAATTTGAAGCCAGCAATATAACTAGCCCCAATTTCTCCACGCACGGCCCAAAGAAAGTTTTTTTTCACGACAGAAAGCTAAAATGCGTGTATAGGCATGGATTCATGCAAGTATAGACATGTTTACTATAGCCAATTCCAGTTATGTATATAGTTCAATGGTTATAACAAGTTAGATTGCAGGCTCACTGTATTCAGCGGTACACCTGATGTGATCTGTTGTGCATTTACCAGTGATCTAATAAAGAAAAAACAATTTGTTTGAAAAGAGACAAGCTTTCACTCTTTAGAATATTTAATTATATTACTAATTAATTAGAACACATTCGAATAAAATTATAACTGTATAAACTTTTTAAATTATGTTGATAATTAAAATTAAATGTAAATAAGCCTCTAAATAAAATGATAATTTAACGCAAATGAAAAAAATCATTGGCAAAATTATTTCTACATTGGTAATGAAGCTGCAAAGTGGAAACGGGCTGTACGAGTTTGTGAAATCATAAAACGACAGTTAAAAATAAGCGAGAAAATAAAATCTATGATAGCACCTTTATTAGAATTGGCAGACCAACAAGATCTTCGCCATTCCAGGCGTCAAATGGCTGTAGAAGTTGTAAACGGTTACTAAAAGAAATTAAAATAGCATTTACTTTGATGGTCGCCATTGGGAATATGAAAACATAGGTTTGTGGTAGTAGAAAATAAGTCTTTGGTAAAATGAGTTAAATAAAATTTCAATTGTATAACAGCTGTGCAAGAAAACCGTAAACTCATGTTTTCAGATGACATAAATCGGTCCCAATATGTTTTAATTCTTTCTTCTGCTCATTCTGGCAAATGCAATTTTTCTTTTAACGACAAGCACTACAGTCGATGTTAATGAAAAACATTTTGTTGGCCTCAACTGCAACGAATTACGACAAATAGATTAAAGATCACGTGACGACAAATTATCTCTCCATTGAAAAACAACCTTTGACAAACAACAACAAATGGACAATGACAAACTATGTCGACATGAAAACCAGCCTTTATAGCGACAGCATGTTGTGTTTGGACTTCACAAAAAAAAACTGCCAAAGCGAAAAAGTTTTTTACAATCTGTATCATAATTTCTGAGCGGCAACAAATTTAAAAAACATTTAATAAAAACGACGATTTTTTTTAAGAGCAAACATGTTTCGATATTAACAAAATGCCATCTTCAGTACAAAATGATAGTGATATGAAATATGATACAGTATAGGGAGATCATCGACAACGATCAATCAACTTTCTCTCTCAAAATAAAAAAGAAGCTCTTCACATCAATAAAACTAATCCTGATCTAAATGTTCAAATTCACCATTACAACAGTATCTTTACTTTATAAAGGTCTAATTTCATTTATCGCCATTTTAATGTGCATACTTACTTATTTATGTACATTTTTTGTTTTAAACTTACTTTAAATAGATTACACTTCCATTCAATGTAAATAATTTATTCATACCTTCCTATAATGTATCATATTTCATATCACTATCATTTCGCACGGAAGATGGCATATTGTAATGTCGAAACATGTTTGCTTTTAAAAAAATCGTACTTTATATTAAATGTTTTTTAAATCTGTATCAATTTGCCACTAAATTGATGTATTCGAGATTCGCTTTTGTTTTACGTTATCTAAACAAACCTGCTCGGATCGACATTGACTTTTACCGCTGAGGAGTCGGACGGAGGATGTTGGTATGTATCTTCACCAGGATCAAATCCCTTTATTTTAGAAGAAAGTAAGGAACATAAAGGATCACAAATGAACAGCAAGCGTCAATGTTCTCACAATATCAAAGGTGAGCCGAAGCAAAACGTTACAAACACATGTACAGTATTAAAATAGTTAAAAATATGGCTCTAGGATTGATTAGTGGAAAAGTTTTGTCAACTTCCGGTCGACGTCCACGTCATCAAAAAACGTCACTTTCTAATTTACATTACCACATACACGAGTTGGTAGCTCATGACCGTTGGGATCGTCAAGTTTAAATTTTTCGCCTAAAATAAAAGTCTAAAGTTAGGCTTTCGAATAGGCTCACGACCAAAGGGTAGAGGGTGGGTTAAGGATTGAATTATCCCATTCTATACATACATCTCGAGCTCACATTCTTGAAATTATCAACGTACCGTTGGCTCCCTCCAGATAGTCTGATAGAGGATTGAACTTTAGGCTACCACCAAGAGCAAGGGCTGTAACAATCTAACACAAACAACAAAATATACACGTGAAAAACTGCTCCACTCAGTAGCAAAAATAGAAAATACGTGCAAAGAAAGAGAGGAGCTTGGGAACTAGTCTGGTCATATTCAAACAATTCTTTAAGTACAGCACGTTTCGACCAATGATTTAGAACCCAGTCTTCTAGATGTCTAACTACCGTGTCAAGCTGAGGCAAGGACGCCATCTTGAAAGGTGACAAAAAGCAAAACTCAAAATAAATAGTAAATTAAAACAAAGTTTAAAAAACCTATCCTATCAAACATTTTAAGAATCAAACCTAGACTACGAACTTTGCTACTCTATATCAACACAGGAAAAGCAGATGTTAGTCGTAAATATCGTCAGTTTTTCCACCTTTCAAGATGGCGGCTTGCCTCACTCGTAACTATACAAATTCGGCGGAGTCAGATAACCAGTAGATTGGGTTCTAGATCATTGGTTTCGACACGCTTGGCTACATCACTTTTGAGGAATGTTATTTTCGTTTACAATCAAGTAAAACCAATGACGTCACACCCCAAATTCTAAAAATCGCGAGTGCTTAGAAATGAAATGAGTAACGACGATTCTTTATTATATGACACGTACTAACGAATAAAATATTTATTTCAATGACTTCATCAACACCGTTCCCCATTGCTCGTTCTCAAGTTGATAAATTACACGTACCAAAACTTACAGTTAACAACGTTTCTATGGAGATTTATTCATCTGGGGAGGGAGGGAGGGGTGTTTGCAGATGGAAAAACAAAACCTTTACTTCCTTGGTCGCTACAAATATTAGTCAAAGCCCCTGATGTGACGAAAACATTTACAAGGTAGATGTGATCAGTTTAGGTGTTAAAGTTCTACCTACGGACTTGGTTGAAAGGTAATAGTTTGGCAATAAAGTAAGCTTGTACACAGTTGTACCCTGTTGTACCTCTGGAGAAGCGACGAACGCATGTGTTGCAGGATTCGCATCGTTTCTTCCAGTGAAATTTCGATTGTACGACGTAACTATGGTATTCTTTTCGCCTTTTTGATATCCTGTCTAAAAATCATGCAATCCGTCCAAATTTGCACATAGTAGAAAATGAAAAGCATTAAAATACAATATATACACTTGCTGTGATTGGATGGTTTAAGAGTTTAGAAAAGCGTGTAAAGCAGAATTTAAAGACGAGTTATTTTGTGTCGCTCTCATAACTCTCAAAAAATTCCCATGAGTTTGGATAGCCATAGCCTGCTCTCAGGCTGAACTTCCTTACTTAATAACGGTAAGTTCAGTCTGCTGATATTTAAGCTTAATCGTGTATAGCGGCGTAGACTATTCACAACGGTCACTTTGAATGAATGACAGGCATTCAAAATTATCTATGATAATTATTCAATTAATGTTGATGTGCATAATGGCGGAGCCAAATACTTTCGATTCTATTTGGAATTGGTTTTGTATTTTAAGTTTTTTGAGGAGAAATTATGATCAAAATACTCGTGCTTTTTGTTCGTTGTTTAACTATGTCCTTAATCAAAGGCACTACTTGAAAAATCAGAGACTTTCCAAGCGAAGTCGGCAAGTTTACGTAAGCGTGTTGGCCATTGAAGTATGCATTTAGCGCCTTAATTTGTTCGGGACAAAATTCCCTTAATCTGAAAGAACACACATTGCGCAAAGCGGACACCCAGAAACGATCTGGAACAAAAATCGCAGTGAAGAAACACCATTTTCATTTGTTTACCAAGAAATAATTTGGAAATTTAATGCTTGGAAATCAGAAAATTTTTTTATTGATTATCCAATTATAAGTAGCATCTTATTTCCTTGCGAATAGCCTAAGTCACGGTACATGATTAAGTTTAAATTTCAGCAGACTGAATTTACCGTTAAGTAAGAAATTCAGGATGTAAGCAGGCTAGGATGACCATGACCCAAGGTCATTCAAACCAATGAACACAGTTAAACAGTAAACATCGTAGTATTAGCATTGCAGCAAGAGCAAAAATGTCTGGCTACGTCACTGCTACATCACTGCTACGTACTTCCGTAAGGGTACCATACCTGTTCCATTGACCAATACAGGGACCACAAGCATTCGCCAGCACAGTTCCTCCAAAGTCTCTTAACGTTTTGGCCTAATAGAACATGATGATAAACACGTGACTTTATATTTTCTAGAAATTTATTTTCTAAAGATGCACAAGCCGGAGACCACCAGTCCGCAAGTTAGGAGATATCATGTAAACTTAAAACTCGTGAGCATTATTCATTTCTTTATGTCTCCATTGTTTTTACAGTGGAGTGAAAACCAAAATATTTACATAGCACGTCCAAACACGAGAGCTCGCTATGTTTTTACTAAAGACATTGCCCACAAAAACAACAGCAATTTAGGAAAGTAAAATCATACCACTTCATCACGTTCGATAGTCGCTCTAATCTGTTCAGAACCAGGTGTGACAGTAAATAATGATCTAAAGGATAAAGCATTTGAAAAGGTTGCTGAGATTTCAGTGGTTTTAATTCCTTTCTTTAATTGGTGGGATTGGACCATCACGGTTTTTAGAGTCTTTTAAAGTTGATAGCAGTGTACTGAAAAATAGACAACTGCTTCAAGAGCTGAGGGGAGAAGGGGGGAGGCCCAACGGTGGAGAGGGTTTAAGACCAGGAACAAATTTTAAAAGTTTATATGTTTGGTTGATTGTTCAATCAAATAGTGAAGCGGACCTTTACTAAACAAATGAATTAAATTAATCAAACGTAAAGAAGAAAATACCAAACGTAAATCCATTTACTTATTTGCATTTAACGTATTTTGATAGCAAGTCAAAATAATGAAATGAATGGTTTGAACCCGGGAGTATCGTTAAATGTTTGTAAATGTAGATCGTTCAGGTTAGTATAGTCCTGAGAAGGACTGTTGTTGTTGTTGACTGAAGTTTCTGCATCCTAAGAGGTAGTCATCTTCAGAGTCAAACTAAAATTTACTCCCCACTTGACTTTGAAGACGACTACCTCTAAATGTGTCGAAACATCAGTCGATACAAACATCAACAGTCCTTTCTCAGGACTGCACCAACCTGAACGATCTATATCTACAAACATGTACCGTCAAAATAATGCTATTTATGTTAACCTACTTGGCTCGAATACCGCGATCCAACGCCTGTTGAGCAATACTTGCTGATCGCGTCATATCCTCGTAGCTACTGTTTGTACAGCTACCGATTAACGCTGAAATATTCGGGAAAGAAGTTCATAGTGAAATGACAACAACCAACATCAAAATGATTTCCCACTCTATAACCACAGAATAGACATCTAACAACGTGCTTACCAACTTTGACATCCAAAGGCCAACCGTTCGTTTCGGCAACCTTCCCAAGTTTGGAAATAGGCGTACCCAAGTCAGGCGTGAACGGACCATTAACGTGAGGTTCAAGCTGCAATATTCAAAGATATACAGAATATTTTCACCGCGGTAGCGTTACACACAAGACCCCCTTCCACCATACAGACTATAAATAATGCTAGAGATGGAATTGATGACGAAATTGTGCGACGAGGAGTTGGGAGTTAGCCAATGTTATCCAGTGGAGAATTACTAATTACGGGGGCCTGTACACTGGGACTCTAGGCTACGAAAAAGTTGTTGGACCTAAAGTCGGATATCTATTCTTCCCACTAAGTTCAGTCTCTTTGATGACATTTGCGTTTCTTACGCTCCTTTGCCTTTACACTTCCCAGTTTGTTTTTGTAAATCATAGTATGAACATTAAGGAATAAATTTAAAGTTCAAACTGGGAAAACCCACTACTTCATGATATCTGATTAATGTGCATTTGAACAGTAGATCGTACGGTTTTAACAGCATAAATGGTCCAAATTAAGAACATTTAACTGGTCATTATTCCAAAGCCAACATCAAAGATTATACGTAATATAAATCCTAACACGGTTTTTAAACACGGTTTTGACTTGGTAGCTCAACAGGTAGAGCGGCAGACTAGCATCCCGAAGGTGCGAGTTCAAATCTCGTCCAAGTCACATGTTTCTCACGTGCGTATAAAAACCGTGTTAGGATTTATATTACGTTTAACTGGTCAGGAAAGGCAAAAACTAAAAACTAATTACGTCAAGACACAACGCGCCTCTCAAAAGCCTGGGCCTATAGGCTTCAGCCTATTTAGCCTACAAAGTAATCCGTCATTGATGCTACCTTTAGTATTATTTATAATCTCTATGCCTTCCACAACATCAACGCTCAGTAAAATGAGCAATTTTGTCGTTTTAGTATCCAAATAAGCATGATAATTAACGTGCAAACGGTACTACTGTTTGGCACAGAGTGAGGTATCCCCACCTGTTTTGAGGAAAAAAATGCATTATTTCAGGGGCATGACAATTTTAATTATCTCGCAAGCGGAGCTGCTGAGCTAGTTATAAGGAAAAGTCAAACAAAGTCAATACTTCATATTAGAGCCTCTGTAATACTAATCGAGTTAGTGATCATACCTCGTCGAGATTGATCTCAATCAGTTCATCATACTCGCAACCATCGTCCGCTTGTAACACATGTATGTTACTTTGCGCCAGGCCACTAATCGCCTCGCGGCCGGTCGCTTTGAGATAGTCTGCCATTCGAGAGTTGAAAGGAAACACGGAAGTTGTTGCTCCAATCTCAGCACCCATGTTGCAAATTGTGCCCATTCCTAATAGAGGTGGCGAAATTTGTAAGACTTAGCACTTCAGCCACTGAAGAAAAAATATTTCCTAATTACCTGTACATGAAATAGAGTCGACACCAGGCCCATGGTACTCAACGATTGCGCCAGTTCCGCCTTTTACAGTAAGAATGTCTGCGACTTTGAGAATTACGTCTAAATTGTTCAAAGATAACAGTGATAGTAAATATAAACAGGATATCGTTTTTAAGGTAAATAGATAGACGGTTGGTAAATGTATGGATGGTTGGTAAATGTATGGATGGTTGGTAAATGTATGATGAATGGATGACATTCATGGTTGGTTAATAAATGGATGGATGGCTGGCAAAATAGCAGATTAATGTCAAAAATATAAAAATATTTCCATTTTGAATGCTCAAGAGACCAGTACAAATATTCTTCTTGTAGCATTCATCACCAAAATTACACGCAATGAAATGTGTCATTTTATCAAATCACATATCACGAAGCACACAACTGTTCTACATTGTTCTACAATATGTTCTACAATGCTCCACGATGTTCTTCACTATCTTATATGAAAGTCTCATTTCTTATCTAAATATCCTAGGAACTGATCAAACACAAATCACTGCTTCAACATTGTTCTACAATATCCTAAAGCGTTCTACAATGCTCCACGATGTTCTTCACTATCTTATATGAAAGTCTCATTTCTTATATAAATATCCTAGTAACTGATCAAACACAAATCACTGCTTCAACATTGTTCTACAATATCCTAAAGCGTTCTACAATGCTCCACGATGTTCTTCACTATCTTATATGAAATCTCATTTCTTATATAAATATCCTAGGAACTGATCAAGCACAAAGCACTGCTTCAACATTGTTCTACAATATCCTAAAGCGTTCTACGATGCTCCACGATGTTCTTCGCTATCTTATATGAAAGTCTCATTTCTTATTTAAATATCCTAGGAACTGATCAAGCACAAAGCACTGCTTCAACATTGTTCTACAATATCCTAAAGCGTTCTACGATGCTCCACGATGTTCTTCGCTATCTTATATGAAAGTCTCATTTCTTATATAAATATCCTAGGAACTGATCAAGCACAAAGCACTGCTTCAACATTGTTCTACAATATCCTAAAGCGTTCTACGATGCTCCACGATGTTCTTCGCTATCTTATAGGAAAGTCTCATTTCTTATATAAATATCCTAGGAACTGATCAAGCACAAAACACTGCTTCAACATTGTTCTACAATATCGTAAAGCGTTTTACGATGCTCAACGATTTCTTCGCTATCTTATATGAAAGTCTCATTTCTTATATAAATATCCTAGTAACTGATCAAACACAAATCACTGCTTCAACATTGTTCTACAATATCCTAAAGCGTTCTACGATGCTCCACGATGTTCTTCGCTATCTTATATGAAAGTCTCATTTCTTATATAAATATCCTAGGAACTGATCAAGCACAAAGCACTGCTTCAACATTGTTCTACAATATCCTAAAGCGTTCTGAAATGCTCTGAGGTGTTCTCCTTAAACAATACGAACGCGTCATTTCTGATATAAGGAGGAAGGTTGAAAAAAAAATTACCTTTTGGCGATGTCCATCCACTAAGTTTGCCTGTTAATTTCACACCAATGACCTACAGGTGAAAAAATTTATAAACATTTATTATAGATTTTATAACAGTTACACAACAAAACGAGTGCGATGATTGGTTAATAGCCGTGTTTCGTGAGCTCAACCAATCACTGGAATCAATCAATCAAGGAGAATTTTCAAATTAATCAAGAATAAATACATGATAGAGGAAAAATAAAACGTTTGTTGAAAATTTGCCTGCTCCGCATTATTGTTATTTTATAAAAGAAAGAAAAGATGTTTTCTTATTTGCACAGGCTTATGCAAACCTCTCGGAGACATTTGCGAAAACCTTTGGTCTCCTTGGCTTGCAAAGACTCGTGCAAACACATTAAACATCTTTTATTAAATGTTGAGAAAGAACTACTGCAAACTCAGATAAAGCCAGATAAGTCATATTCAACACCACAATAGATAAGTAATGACGTAATGACCATGTTTAAACAATGTACTGTTCTCCAGAATGACGTAATGACCATGTTTAAACAATGTACTGTTCCCCAGAATGACGTAATGACCATGTTTAAACAATGTACTGTTCTCCAGAATGACGTAATGACCATGTTTAAATAATTTATTGTTCTCCCAGAAAGACGTAATGACCATGTTTAAATAATTTACTGTTCCCCCAGAATGACGTAATGACCATGTTTAAACAATGTACTGTTCTCCAAGAATGACGTAATGACCATGTTTAAATAATTTATTGTTCTCCCAGAAAGACGTAATGACCATGTTTAAACAATTTACTGTTCCCCAGAATGACGTAATGACCATATTTGAACAATGTACTGTTCCCACAGAATGAAATAATTACAATTTACATTGTCCAGTATTCACAGAATTAACAGTCTTTGAGAATACCCTCCCCTCCCCCCATATCAAGTTTGGTCCATTTATGATAAGGAAATCTTAAATACAATAAAAACTTACACAAATTACAAAGCAACATGAAATGCGCTACGTATACCTTAGGACATTTTAACTCCCATGGTATATCAGCCATGACATCTACAGCATCTGCACCACCAACACCAATAAACAACCCTCCTAGACCACCTATAAATAATTTGATGAACATTATCAGAATAGAGTTGACTGGGGGACTAAGGAGATTAACAATCCCTCAAATGTTGCCATGGATACATGGTGTACTGACCTCCATTAGGCGTATGACTGTCTGTGCCAATCAAGAGTGCACCAGGAAAAGCATAGTTCTCAAGAATAATTTGATGTATGATGCCACTTCCTGGTTTCCAAAAGCCGATGCCATACTTTGCCGATGCAGTGCCCAAGAAGCCATAAACCTCACTATTGATGTCTTTTGCCTTTGCAAGATCCTCACTTGCACCAACCTGAGCCTCGATAAGATGATCACAGTGGATGGTGGTTGGAACAGCAACCTAACAAAAGAAGGATTATTATAACCCTTGACTGAAGTACCATTGAAGAAGACCAGCATGTGCTATGGACAAGGTTAAAAACATTTGTCAATCTCAAGTCATGTGATGCATGTTCAACAAGTTACATAAAAAATTTACTGGCAAAAGAAGGCCATTTCACTACAATGTTGCTTGGAGTGAGAAGCGTTTGATTAACCCTTTAAGAATCATTGCATTAGATCTGCAACAATTTGCAAAGGACGGAAAATCGAAAGATAAAAAAATTTGCCCTTAAAAGGGTTTAAGTATGTAGATCTAGAGAATGGCAACAATTGACAAAACATAGCATGAATTATTTTTGAGAACAAGGTGCTACATTATTCAATGCATTCCACATGATTCCATCACTTAAGATTAGCAAGTAAAGATTACCTTGCTTAAACCACTTGATATGAACTGCAATACAGCCATCTACAACACATAATAAGATACTATAGTCTTGAAAGTGGTCAGTTTCTGAATAAGATACTACAGTCTCGAAAGTGGCTAGTTTCTGAATAAGATACTATAGTCTCGAAAGTGGTTAGTTTCTGAATAAGATACCATAGTCTTGAAAGTGGTTAGTTTCTGAATAAGATACTATAGTCTCGAAAATGGTTAGTTTCTGAATAAGATACTATAGTCTCGAAAATGGTTAGTTTCTGAATAAGATACTATAGTCTAGAAAGCGGTTAGTTTCTGAGGGGCTTAGTTTCAAACTTTTATTTTCAACATCAGTTAACTCCTATGGTTAACTCTTAATCCAAACTTTATATATGGTGTTCTTCAATGCAATTAAAGGTATAAATGTTGTAAAGCGCTTAAAAGCTTAATTAAGAGAGCAGTTACTTGTGCAGTTCTGTAGTAAGTGTTAAGAAAGCAGTTACTTTCATGGGGAAGGCTTTTTTGGAGACTCTATAGCAATACATGTCAGAGAAATGCACAGAATAGGGTTTAAATAAAACTATGTTTTGGTAAGCAACCTGTACATGCATCTCAAGATTGGTCAGGTAATTTGAGATAGGATGCCTTCAATATCCTATAAGAAATGTATCCTTTTAACCAGTGTATTTAGTTCAATGGTTAAAACTAATGATCACCATTATTATTATTGTCATGGCCTGCATGGAGAACAACTTCCTTTCATGAGTTCAGGTCTATATGAAGGCCACATGAAAGTATAAAAAGTGTGTCTATAGGTTGTGAATTTCAATACCTGGTTTATAGGATCATCCAAATGGCTATACAAGATCTTCTCAGACAATGTCATTGGTCGATTCAACCTTTCCCGGACAATTTTGAGATTTTTATCTAATGTTCGATAGTTTTGGCTGAGATCAGTGTGTGGTTCAAGACGACTCATAGCAATCTAAAGGTAGCATTCATTTATCAAGCCATATGAAAGAGCGCTATTTGTCGAGTTCAAAGGTCATTTTGTGCACACAGAAAAAAAATTGAGAAATATCTACCTTTTCATGATTGATGCAAGCAACACTGAATAGTCGAATACTGTTTCCATTCTTGGCAATATTGCCAGCCTAAAAAACCCAGAACTATGAATATTTTCTAGAGTTGGGAATTTGGATTTCTATAAATAGAATGGAATTTTTGAATATTACAAAAGAAAAGCTTTCTCTATTATTGTAACTGTTCATTCAATAACTGTTCAATAACACAAGATGCACAATTAAAACAATTTGGATGGTAACAAGATTAAACTTCAAACAAAAGCTAGACTTCTTTAAATATATTATAATCTATCAACATACATATACATACATTTAATTTACAAAGTTCAGAGATTACACAATTCTGCACGACAAACATCGACGGCAAATCATTAAGATTACAAAAAATAGTTCCAAATGGTGTATAAAATGCTCAATTGCAGTTTTTTTTTACCACGACTGCGATAAAATGCTTTAAAGACTCGACAAGCAGATTTCGACAGTACAAACATCGAAATCATTGTCAAAATTGCTGTTGAAACTAAGCACTTACTAACCTTTCTTGATGTTATGCGAAACATTTCTTATTAGTCTTTCTAAGAAACAGCGTTCCAAAAACTTAAAAACTCAATAAATTGACAATAAGAACAACGTTAATTAGCTTCGTCATAAACCATACTTCTCGCATGGGTTTACGACATATGATTTGTGACGTAGCCACACGTCTTAATGAGTTAAAATGAAATATGAAAATAACTGCCATTACTTCATGTAGCATACTGTGTACCGGATCGCCGGCACTCGTCAGCCAAACACTTCAATCTCTAGTGGAAATTTGCGTCAAATGTGTTTGAAAATTGTTTATATGTTGTTTCATTGATGAAATATTTCAATAATGTTTTGGTGAGAATCTCGAGATTTTCTGAATTCAAGAACTCCTTATGAAGTACTACTTGAAAGCATCAACTAACGATAAAAGGCGTTCCTGATACAAATGTGTGATGACTAAGCGATTTTAAAAATCGCCGACTGTTGCTGTTGGCCTCGAATCGCCACCTTTCCACTGTAAATAGGATTTTAAATTGTTAAATGGTAAGTGTCTTTTTAAGGGCATAATTCTATACATAGATGCTGTGCTTGTGTATTTCAATATAAACATCAGTGATCAACTTTAAAGGCGTTCCTTTAACTTTTTATTCTTTATATTTGTACATATATTAAATTGGATATCGGTATTTATTTTACGACATATAAGTAGATGTATAATCGGAGCTAAGTTTTGCAGTGTTGATAGATATGCTGGAATTCGTCAATAATTTATCAGCGTGGGTTAAAAAAATAAATGTGAAGTTGAAAGTCAGCATGTCACGTTTGTCAAGTTGGATGTTTAATTTATGCAAGTATCGTAATTACTCTAATTAAGTTATTAATTATAATTTTAATGAGTGTTGGATATTTTGTTTCTTTTAACCATATAAACCATGTGCTAATTTCAGGCATCAGACTACAAGTCGTCTCTTGAGGGTCTTGAAGGTTTGATGAATGAATTTTTTGCTACGACAAACAATGATCGCAAAAGGGAAATAGGTGATTGGCTAACATTAGTTTTCAAAACTTAAAACTTGCTCGTAATGATATTTATATACATTTTAATACCAATTCACAAGAGTATTGGAATATTCAAATTTTAATGTCAAATCACTTCTAATGATGTGGACAAGAACTGAAGTTTCAATGTCAGATCGCTCCTGATGAAGACACTAGACTGGAGTATATAAGAACTAAAGTTTCAACATCAGATCACTTCATATGAAGACACTAGACTGGAGTATATAAAGACTAAAGTTTTAACATCAGATCACTCCTGATGAAGACACTAGACTGGAGTATATAAGAACTAAAGTTTCAACATCAGATCACTTCATATGAAGACACTAGACTATATAAAGACTAAAGTTTTAACATCAGATCACTCCTGATGAAGACACTAGACTGGAGTATATAAGAACTAAAGTTTCAACATCAGATCACTTCATATGAAGATACTAGACAGGAGTATATAAGAACCAAAGTTTCAACATCAGATCTTTCCAGATGAAGACACTACACTGAAGTATATAAGAACTGAAGTTTCAACATCAGATCACTCCTGATGAAGACACTCAAGTGTCAGGAAATGAACACTCAAATCTAACAACATTTTTGTGTATAGAACATGCACTAAACAGTTTCATGCAACAAAATGAATCATGGCGATTTTGCAATTACTTCTTGAACAACACAAAAAACCATTATGTCTTGATGTATTCATTATCAGTCTTTGAAGTAAGTGATGTTTGTTTGTCCTCATTAAGTTGATTACAACATCAATAATTTGTTGAAAAAGAAAATAATTTTTACAGCATCTGGTTAACAAGAGATGGCCAGGAGTTGCTCAAACGGACAAGCTTGAAGTTCGCCATCTATTGTCGATGTATTTAATGAACAACCATCAAAATTTGCCAATTTTTATGAAGAATAAAATTATTAAGGTCATTGTTGATGTTGGACGGCAGGATTGGCCTCATTTTTACCCAGATTTCTTCTCAAATATACTAGAGGTTCGTTTGTGAATTTTTTGTGTTAATTTGCTTTCAAAAGCCTCTGCTAGTAATCATTTGTATGTTTTTTTTGACTCTGAAGATGACTACCGCTAAGGTTGTCGAAACGTCAGTCAACAACAACAGAAACAGTCCTTCTTAGGACCATTTGAATGTTCGTAAATTGAATGGAATTTTTGTTTTTGAAACGTTGAAAGCAATTAAACAAGTTTACAATTGACATTGAAACATAATGCTCAAATATGCAACCGCATAAACACAAATTGCTAAATGATCCTTGAAACTTCGAAAGCAGACAAGTGCAGTATAAAATTAACGCCGTGTATGTTCGTCCGACATCTAGTTTTTAATTTTCGCGTATATATGTTGCGTATTTTATAAACTTACGTTACGCTAGGTTTGTGTCGTCTAGTGGTAAGAGCAGAGTGAAAGAAGACTAGTTATACGAGTTCGAAACCCACCCCCCGCAGGTCGGATTTTGTTGAATTATTCAATAATTTTGTCGTCCTCAAAATCGACTTAATCTTTCATTTTGTTTTTCAACCAAAACATAAAAATGTAACAATAATCTTGGTTAGGGTTAGGGTTAGGTTTAGGTTTTTAAGTTTATTTAAGTTTTTAAGACAGAAATAGTTATGTCGGATAAATAGCGTTTGAACATTAAGTTGCGATGTTTGAGGAATATCCACGGCGTAAAATTAATTTATTGCTTTACATTTTCAAAGGTCCTTCATCAACCCTCCACGACAAGTCTCGGCTTGATAATGTTACGAATCACTTCGGAGGAGCTCGTCTCGCCATCGGAAGATTTGAGCGTACAACGAAAGGAAGAACTACATAAACTGTTACTACACCAAGTACCGACTCTCCTGGGGATGCTTGGCACATTTCTAGAGAATATTTTGGAAAAACACAGACGTGTCGTTAGCACTGCTACACCACCTCCTTCGCCAACTCATGGCGAGTCATCTCAGGCACAGAATATATCACCTTTATGCAAAGGAAACTTTGATCTGTTCTCTTTATCCCCTCCACATGGGAACAATAGCCGACAGTCACCGCTGATTAATCGCTTGCTCAATCATGTTAGTGAAACTGGTCTCAACAATCCCCTTCCCCCCCTTGATCCGGAGTCTGAAGAACTTAGTTCCCTGGCCCTTGCATGTCTAGCGCATCTTTTCAGTTGGATACCTCTCTCTGCTCACATAACCCCACCGCTTCTCGCAACCGTTTTTTGTTTTGCCGAGTTCGGTTGTGATGTGCTGGCTTCAAATTCTAGCGTGACCACTGCTGGGTCGAGCACACGCTTAGGTAAGGCTTGTGGCGGCGGGAGATGTGAAGTTGCTAGTTAAGGTGGTGGATCTGTTTCTATCTTCATTGGACGGTTTTCATGACGATTGTATAAAATATTGGCATGCGTAATACAAATGAAGACTAATCTAGCGCTCGGCTAGGAGTCAAAACTATTTGTACTTTACGTTATGAGTTTGACAATGTTTCAGTTTGTACTGCGCATGTAACGATTGTCTCAAAATCGTCTGATGAAAATCTGCCTGGATGCATGATCGTGTTTAGAAAAACGCAAGAATATTTTTATCCAGGCTTTTTCAGATAGGTCGGCGGAGATACTTTCGGCTTTTTCATAGCGTCTTACAAGCTGGTTTGTTTTCAAACTATCGTCGAAAACATAGTGTCTTACAAGCGGGTTTCTTTTCAAACTGTCGTCGAAAACATAGCGTTGTTTTCAAACTGTCGTCGAAAGAATAGCGTCTTTCAAGCGGGTTTGTTTTCAAACTGTCGCGGATAAATGTTATATAAAGGTTTTGAAGTGTGCAAATATCGTTTCCAGGTCGGCATTTAGGTCAGCATTGCCAAATATCGATCTGAGTTTCAAGGGTTGAACTCGTTTAGCATTTTTTAGGTGTTTTAGCGATGGATTGTGTGAACGAAATACTGTCTAAGAACTGCGTACCTGTGGAATTCGAGGAGTTTTTATTAAGACTCTTTCAACAAACGTTTCATCTTCTACAACGCATTACAAAGGACAGCTTACATCAATCTGCAGGGAATAAGTTAATGGAGTTAGATATGAGGTTTGTTATCATGAAATTCTAACCTTTGAGATCTTCAAACTTTTTATGATCGTTCATGCAGTAGTTGTGAACTGTTTTTTTTAATTGATCGTCCATCCAATAAGGATGTTTTCTTGTTTGTTTTTTTTTCCAAATATATTTGTTAAGGATAGAGAAAGTTATGGTTTTTCAAATATTTAGTAGGAATTGTCCCTCATTTATCTTTAGAAATTTTATTCATACCTTAAATCGTCCATGCAGGGCAGAAAAAGGATGTTGGTATTGGCGTTGACTAACACAAATTTAAAGAACCTGACATTTAGTTGTCATTTGACTATAAAATGACTACCACTAAGGATGTCAAAACAACAGTCAACACTAACACCAGTCCTTCTCAGGACTCTACTAACCTGAACGATCTACATCTATAAACATAAAAACATACTCCCCGGTTCAAACTATATGCTTTATATCCAGTAAGAATCGTCTTTATTTACTAGCTGATCTATATTTTACTAATCCGAAAGACGAATTAACTTTTGAAATAACATTGAATAGTTTTTCATGTATTTTAAGGTATGGATCAAAAGATGAACTTAATTTTTCTTGTTGCAAATTAATATTTTTTCCTTCGTATTTTTAGCTACGTAGAAAAGTTTACGGAATTTTTACGGCTCTTCGTCAGCGTTCACCTACGAAGAGTTGAAGCGAACCATAATTTTCCAGTTATTGATTTTATGTCAATGATTTTAGGATACACAACGAAACAGGTAAAATCATTTGCGTTTACCGATATGTTTCGCCTATGTAATTTACATATCGCGTGTAAAAATGTCCATTTAAAAGAGTAAAAGCTGTTTAAGGTGATACTTTATTTAATGATTATATGCCTATTCACAGGATGAAAATGGTTCAAAATTCTTTATCACACCTTCGTTATTTACATGTTTTTAATTTACACGTTTTTATTTACACATTTTTGTTGTGTGTTCTTTAATTACACATTCTATGTTTTACACGCTTATGTTTTCACGACCGATGTTAAAATAACCTTTTACGTCTTTCTCTTTTTTCACAGTCCGATAATGAGGTCTTTTTCTCTTGTCTTGATATTTGGATGATCTTTCTTGATTACTTAAGTTCAAGAAACTTAGATACAAAAGAGTCAACTTCGACGGAAACAAATCCAGCCGTCACAAGGTAGACAGAAACAGTCTTTAAATCGTTGCTCCATGTTGAACTGAGTATAACTGGATGGCTACTTTCCGCTAAAATTTGAAGCCAGCAATTTAATATAACAGTCTTTAAGTTGTTGCTCCACGTTGAACTGAGTATAACTGGATGGCTACTTCCCGCCAAAATTTGAAGCCAGCAGTTTAATTAGTCCCAATCTTTCTTCGCGCGGCCGAAGAAAGTTGATTTATGACAGTAAGCTAAAATGAGTGACCTTACTCCCAGACAAACCTTCAAGTTACATATTTAGTTCAGTGTTACTTCATTACTCGCCTCGTTGGGGATTTCTTTCACTTTTTACGTTTCTACTTCGGTCTTTTTTCATTATGGAAGTTTCCTGTCTTTATTTTGCAAATTTTGTATTTTCTTGTACAGATATCGCGAAATCTTATTACTGTTACTGACGGAAATTTTGAAGAAAATTCAGTTCACTTACAATCAAAGTGAACTTGAAGAACTAGACAACGAAGAGCTTAATGAAGATGTACGTTTCCTGAAACTACGAAACTTGTTTGTTGATTCTTGCTTTTGTATGCAAAGTGGCTTTTTTCATGTCTTCCTTTCCTTTTTCAGTCGGAAACCGAGTGGCAACGATTTCTACGTCATACTCTTGAAGTTGTGGCGAAGGTTGCCGAACTTCTACCGAATGATGCTTTCTCTATATTGGTAAATTTCATTTTTTAAGATTTTCTGAAATTCAGCCACTCGAATTCGTCCGTCAATATCGTTTCTCTTTTTGTTTTTAGTTTCCGTTGTTCGTCGAGTATTCGGAATTGTTCGTTGGCCTTCGGAGTCACATTGTGAAAACGCCCCAAGGTTAATATGCTTTTTTTAGAATACATGATTGTGAGTTTTTCTGAGAACGTATAATTTTACCTTCCCCTCCCCCCAGGGTATCACTTGAACGTAAAAGAGGAAGGTGAATGCAGGCGCATTCATTGTGCGTCACGTGATCTTGCAACCGTCCAAAGGATATTTGGTCGTCTAGCGGGACATTTTACTGGAGAAACTCACTTCGCGTCGCGATTCGAAGACGGTCTGTCGGTTGTCAAGAGGTACAATAATCTTGTCTTGAATACTCGAGTTTATAGATTTACTGCAAATCAGCAATAAGACTGAAATCTGTGGCATCAACTGTCGATGACTGACCTTCATATTTTTGAATTCCGTCATTTGCTTAAAACGTTCTCATCACTTATCTTGCTCTTTTTTAGAGTTCGAGATTTGGCGTTATTTAATACGGAAATGAAGATATTTTGCTTGAAAAACGACGCTGCGCTCGTTTTAGCTACGGATTTTAGAGAAGTGTGAGTTTATTTCATATTTGCTAAAATGTACAATCAACAACGCAAAAGGGAGAAAAAATTAAGTTTGCCTTTTATCATACTTCAAATTCCTATTTATATGACTGCATGACACAAAGTATTTAAAAGACTTTTTTACTAAATGGCGTGGGGGGGGGGGCCTGGGACTGATTGCATGAAGCGGGAATAGTGACGTACATTGGATGGTGATTTTTGAATGAATATTTCATTTTATTTTTTGTGCCAATAGACATTGCTATCCAATAAATAGCCTTATCCATACTGTAACTGGACCATGCAATCATAACATTTAACTGGATGACTAGTTCCCGCCAAAAATTAAAGCAAACACTTTAACTAGTCACAGTCTTCCCACGCACGACCTAAAAAAAGTTTCTTTTACGGTAGTAGGGCGTTACATTACAGTAAGACAAGCGTGACGTTGCGTAAAATTTAGCTTCATCCAAGATTAGACATGTTTATATAAAGGTAGCCATCCAGTTAGGTATACAGTTCAATAGAGATAGTTTGCAACCATTCCCTTGCGAGTGAGAGAACAATAGAATGATCGCATGTCGGAGTTTATTTGCATTGTAAATAAGGAAAATCCTTTGTTTAAACAATCCAGTATGGCGTCGTTGACATAGCTTGCATACCAAGAATAGGTCATAATCATTATCATCGATTTCCCCGTTTCCGATGTAGCACTAGGTTATAAAGCGATTCTTTCCGAATCATTACGACTTATGCTGCATTATTGAATTTTAATGATTTCATTTCAAAGTGCTGCAGAAACACTTGCTTGTCTTCAAGTGTGCTGTCACTGGATCTCACAACTTCATCTTCATTCTCAAGCCTTTAAACAATACGAAACTGAGTTTATGTCAATCGTGTCTAGTTGCGTGGACGCTTCGATACCATTACTAAACGAAGAGGTACGCTAAGCTGTCTTTTGGTCGCATCTTTAATGTGAAACTGAGGTATTTGACTGTCTTTCATAGGTTCCAGCACGCGTCATGCTTCCCGCGTCTCATTTTCTGGTTTCCTTGACGACTACTGTTCGCCCATCATTTTTTGTCGCTTTAGAAAAGGTGCAACAACTTTTTCACGATGTGACTGCCGGTAAACTCAGAAGAACACCCTTAGAGGTAAAAACGATTCCATTTCGTCTCAGGGAAAGATAAAGTTTGACGCGAAGTTTTTAATAATTTCTCTTTTTCACCAAATGGATGTATACGCGTTTTTCGCGATCCAGTTCTTTAAATTTTTATATTTATTTCCATTGAGAGAAACTTTCTTTTTTGATTGTAGATCGAGACGTTGATTTTTCGAGCTTTGTCTAATTCTCTTGTGCTACCTTGGCCAAATCAAGCGGACGATAAACAGGTTTGTATTTTTTTCGGTCGTTTTAATAAATCATTTGAATAACTCCATGTACAGAAAATATAACCTAATGCAAACATGACGCTAAGAAGCGCTTTCCGTTTGATTGAAAATCTGGAAATCTTAGTTAAAAATGAATATGGTTCTGGGTGGAAAGATATTTCGAAAATTTTTGCTCAAACCCTTGACATTGTCCACAAATCAGGAAATTTTGAAAATTTTGAACTTTTTAAGTCCCTTTTTCACGTTTTGCGTTTTTCGTTTCCAGTCTTTAACGAGTCAGTACTCCAATAAACTAAAATAGTTTTTTCCTGATAGCACTCTTGATTTAGATATAAATAAGGAAGCATATATCTTAAGTACGAAGAAATTGTTCAATCATAAAATCCATCTATGCACAATTTAAATTGCTCCGTATTGGTTGTTACTCAAAATAACAGAATTGTTGCAAAAATGAACGTTTTAGAAAGCGGCAAAGCTGCTTAAATATATCGCCATTTACGTTAACTAATTCCACGAGCCTGCCTTCATTGCATTGTTCCATATTCCCATCAAATATTTCGTAAATTGCTCCGTGGCTTAATTGTTTGCGAAAGAAAAGAGCCCAAGAAAAGCGCCTCATTACAACTAGATTTCAATGAATCGGAAGGAACTTTTGCATGCAAATAGCAACACTGAATCAACACGAAGTAAAGTCGTAGAACTCCTAGTAAACGGTGTTGAATCAATAGACCTATCAAGTCTACAATCCTTTTCGGTTTGATGTGCGTTGAACTGTTGTAAAATATTAAATATCAGTATTCATAGTTCAAATGTTACCTCTCTAGGATTGGCCATCTCGCAGCAACAATCACGACAATTTGATAAAGGCTCTGACGATTAACTACCAAGAAATGGCTGCTTATAGAAATACTGACAGCAAACGTTTTCATCCTGAAGGTATGGTGTTTCTCTTCTATTTCTTAAACGTGCTTTTTCGAACATGAAAAGAAGTTGATTCGTGGTCTTTTAGTTGTGAATAACTTCATTGCTTTTCGTTTCAGCCAAAAGTTTCATTAGAAGGACGCTGAGTATCCTCACAGACTTGGTGGAAGCCGTTTCAGGCGAAGGAACTAAACCCAAAACAATTGTTTATAAATCAATTCAAGAATCCCTTCATACAAGTCTTGCGCTTTTTCCTGTTTACATCCACGAGCCCGGTAATAGTCGATAATAGCTATGATCACAAACACATTAATCAGCCAGGTTTTCATTTCATATCTACCGCTGACCAATACGTTCGTCCTGGCTTCTTGATAAGCGAATGGAATGTTTGCAAAATATGACGTCAAAGCGACCATGTTGGGGGAGTACATCAAAAGGCTGATTCTTAACGGACCATGAAATTAACATAAATTCTTTTCATTATGTGCGATGTTCCTCCAACATGGCGACTGAAGAAAAGACTCTCTTATGACAAGCTGTGGCAAAGCCAGCTCGATCGTTTACTCTTACGTAAAATGCAAATTTTTCAGAGAATTATTATTCATTTCTGTAGAAAATGAATTCTATTCATTGCGCTTCATTGCATTTATGGCTTGCCTCTAGATTTTGCCAATAGAAGTTTGACAGCACTTTGCAACTAATGTATTTTCTTTCTTTATTATTATTTTATAATTTATTTGAACTTACTTATTCATAGGCGTCGTGGACGACATTATCGGCTTTTTTCTCGCTGTATTCGGTGCTCTGCAACCGCAACTAGGCGTGGCTTATACAGAACAAATCATCCATAGACTGCTTGGTATGTTCACCCAACAACAGTTAGAGGAGACAATTGCACAAGAAATGTCCGCTGGCTCAAGAGTTTTAGAGAAGTTTTACGCATTTTAAGACTTTTGGCTCAACAAACTGGATCGTCGTTCAAGACGCTCCTGCCAAATATCATCAATTTTTGTTTGGATCAAATATATCCTCTAATAGCAGAGGTAATTTTCATTGGTGTGTAAGATAAATGATTTGCCGATCCTAATTGCAAGACTAACATTTTCAATTGTTTTAAGCACGATGCATGTTATTAGATTTTGATTAACGAAATTACACGTTAGGAAATATGTAATGCGTGTAATATTGTGTGTAGTATTGTGTGTAGTTTTGTGTGAAATATTGTTTGTGATTTAGTATGCAATAAGTATTAATGTAGTTTGTATTGTTGTGTATAATGTATTGTGTAATACTGTGAGTTTTATTCTGTGTAATATAGTCTCAAGGTAAATGGTTTGAACTGGAGTATCGTTACATGTTTGTAAATGTAGATCGTCCAGGTTGGTATAGTCCTGAGAAGGACTGTGTAAATGACATTTGACTCTGAAGATGACAACCGCTAAGGTTGTCGAAACGTCAGTCAACAACAACAAAAACAGTCCTTCTCAGGACTATACCAACCTGGACGATCTATATTTACAAACATGTATAGTCTCAAGGTCTCAAAGCATGCACGAAAATCTTCAATATGTTAATCTTGTAATTAGGACTGGCCCAACATGTGGCACATAACGAAACAACAAGTACTTGTCAAGTTAAAACTTTATCTAAAAACATGTCAAATAATCACACTTTAATACATCCTGTATATTATCACACCAATTGTAGGCGCAACTTTACACCTTAACCACTTGCAAATAGTATTTTAGTAAAACACAAAACGATTGATACTCCGTAAAAAGTAAACATTTATTTTTAACTGTTTCGACAAGTACATGTCATCGTCAGTAGAAGATTTCATATATTATTGTGTTTTACTAAAATTACACACTTTATTTCACAATATATTACGCAAAACGTACTACACCCTACATTCCACCCTACATTAATACAATATAACACGCCATATCACACACAATTTTACATACAATTTTACACAGAATATTACACATCACATTTTACACAATATATTACACAAAACTCTACTACTCGCAACATTACACACAACATTTATACCATAAACATTCCATATCACAAACAATTTTACACACAACATTTTACACAATATTGCACAACATTTACACAATGCACTTTTTCTCACTCTACATTAATACTATATAGCACGCCGTATCACACACAAGTTTACACAGAATATTACACACTACATTGCACATAATAATACACACAACATTTTACACAATATATTACAAAAAAGGCTACTACAACACACAACATAGACACAACAACTATTCCATGTAACACATCGTATCACGGACAATTTTACACACAAGATTTTACACAATATTACACGCAATAATTTACACACTGCACTTTTTTTCCAACCTACAAGTTCATTGTTAATAGCGTCCTGCTCCCGACATCAAAACAGAATTTTTCGAGTTGCTACATCAAGTACTTCTCAACAACTGGAGGTATTTCTTTCGTCCTAACGTCCAAACACGTCTAACCCATGGAGACGATGGAACCTGCGAGAATCAAGGACAATTTGTAAAGATGATGGAGGTTTGTGATCTCTAAAGTATTACCGTGAACTGATTATGGCAGCAATTTCCCGTTAACTCGAAGATAGCAAAGTTTTATTTTTCTTTATGAAATAAAAAAACTATAAAACGCGTGCGCTCATTGGTCTGTAGCTGTGTTTGCATCAGCCAGTGTAAAACCGCTCTGAGCTCAACCAATTAAATCATTCAAAAGAATTTGCAAATCAATCATGAATACATGTTAGAGGAAAAATCAAAACATTTGTTTTAAATTTATCTGTTTTGCAATACTGTTATTTTATAAAAGATTTTTTCGTGTTTCCACAGGTTTATGCAAACCACGGAGACGTTTGTGAAAACTCTCGAGCTTCCACATCGGGTTTGAACTGATCTGCTCTTGAGTTCTCAAAGGTCTCCTCGATTTGCATAAGACAGCGCAAACATAGTAAGCATCTTTTAATCCGTAGAATATGCAACCATCTTTGATATGCGCTTAAAATTTTAAAATCATTATCCAATAGCGTAATTCGACATACAGGCTTCGTGCAACCGGCGTCTGGTTGAAGAATTGATCATACAAGCGCAATTATTATCAGAAGAATTACTTTGCCTACTTGTTATTGTTCAATATTCTTCTTTAAGGCGTTTGGTCAGACATTTACTCAAGAGGATATCACTGTATTCAAGCAAAATCTGCAAAGTTTAGAAGATTTAAATTTGAAACGTAAACTTTATCAAAAGGTAGAGTAGTGAAAGAGGTCGTCGTATGTCGTAATTTGGGAATCCTGCTTGATCTTTGATGATTGATACGCGCCTTTTAATAGATATAATTTATGGTTCTTTTCAATTTTTTAGCCAATATTCAGCGATGGAATGCTATTTCATTTTTTGAATGTTTTGCTTCAAGTCTTGGTCCGTCGTTCGCACGATTTACTACAAGAAGAAATCGCGATAGCTTTATATAACATGGCATCCGCGGATTTTGACAAATTTTATCTTAGTTTTCTTCCTGAATTCTTGAAAGGATGTGATGGTCTTTATGCTGAACAAAAGTCTGAGCTGTCGAAGTCTTTCAAAATGGATAAGGTGATACGGCACTGTTTTGGTTCATACCATTGAACTGAGTATAACTGGACAGCTACTTCCCGCCAAAATTTGAAGCCAGCAATTTAACTAGTCCTAATCTTTCCACGCACAGCCCAAAGAAACTTTATTTATGACAGAAAGCTGAAATGCGTGACTTCACGCGTGTCAGTGTCATCCAGTTATATATTTACTTCAATGGTTTAACCGAGAGTAGCACTGACTAAACAATGGCGGGTCCAAAGTCAAGTCAAAAAAACACAATAACAGTTCATTGTTAAAAAAGCAGTTAGATTGAGTTTTTTCCTTTGCAAATTCAATAACAGCAGTTTTGTTGTCAAGGTATTTCGAATTCAAAAGTAACTGCTAAACTTTACGCTGCATCTGCCATTGTTATAGTTTTTGTCGGGAATTAGCAAAAAAGGAAATAATTCCCTGTTCTACAATAGTAAAATTACGTAAAATTGATCCATAACCCCTAACCATTAATCTTAATAAGATTGGATTAGGGATCAATTTTGCGCGTAGTTGTAAAACAAGGAATGGATAGACAACTAATAAAGAATGCCTATCTCAGAACAAGAAGTTTGACTATAGTAAATTTCGCTATTTTCATTACTTTTTTAGGATTTACCTTCGTTTACTCGTGGAATTCATCGGTTTGTCAGCGACGTTCGATACTATAGACTATACAACAGTAGTTTGCCTTCAGGAACCGTCACGTTTTAGAAAATACCCAGCTAAAGATTGTGAATAAAAATGAATATGTTAACATACATTTTATTTATATAGTTGTATATGAATTATTTGTTGCAATTAAATGAAATTAAAGTTCTTTTATTCCCGGGTTAAGGGGTTTGTGATTAATTATCTGTAATCATATTTAAACTGTCACTATATTCCTTGCTTTGCAGCTCACAATTGTAAATAAACAGTAATACCTTGGTTAATGGTCGTGTAAGAAATAATGCGACCGTACGACGTCTGTAATGGTATTATTACAAACAATCCCAAATTTTGAGCTTGAAATACGCAATAAAAATCGCCATAAAGTATTCTCAAAAACTTAAAAACATTTAATTTACACCATCGTTGACAGTGTGTGAAGCACTGACTAAAACATTTCGGCAATCATAGTTTTACAATGTAATTATTCTAATACAATGGTAGTGAGGTTACTTATTGAATGCACTCGAAAGCCTCGGGAGGTTTAGTGAAGTCCCGAAGCACGGATATATCAAGATTTACTCAAACTTGAGCTATCTTCATATCACTTTTACGGCTCACAATTGTAAATAAACATGAAAACTGGAATAGCTTAAGTATAATTCATAAAAAATAGGAAAATTTACCTCACACTCATCAGCTTAAACTCCCGCTAATTCGAATAACTTTCCGTTTTTCGTGAGTGTTCGAGTAGTCGGGATTTTATTGTATTGGTTTATTGTCATCTACCACTACACATGACGTCAAGGCCGTCCCTAGGTCGTTGATTGGTGGTGGTAAAGCCAGAGGGGGCGTTTATTAATATATTTAGTTGCGCTCGACTTTACTTCTTTTGATAGGAGATTAAGTGAATTGCTTTCAAAAGAAATCAAGTAACACTCTTGTGACGGCCCTACATGACGACTGGCGAGGGTAAAACTTATGTTGCGCCTGGTTGAAATGTTGTTCATATCGTTACAACTTCCCTACATGAAGTAATTCATTGTCCTTTTCGGAAAAGATCATAAGCGACGAATGACTGTGTTTACAGTTAAAGTTGAACCATTATATGAATGAATATTTTTGCTATGAACAACGATGGGCAATGAAGAGTATGGCAACGAAAAAGTGATACTTGCTACAGCTGGTTACGACCATTCCATAAGATTTTGGCAAGCGCACAATGGAGTGAGTCATCGAACTGTTCCACATTCCGACTCCATATCCTTTTGAATATGTAAATAATATGCACCTCGAAAAGGTTAATTTCATTTGAATCGAGCACGTACATCGTGCATAAAATTGTACGGTTGATTCAAATGAATCCAGTCTGGATAAATGTCTTGCACATCGGAAATTTTCCGTTTTCCATACCTTAGGGCTTAGGACATCTGTAATATTTGTTTTTTTTGTGAGAATTAAGGCATGTTCTACTCAATGTTGGACTGTCGTGCACAGTACGATAAAGCTGGTTTTATTCGGAGTGTTTTTCTCATCCAGTAATTAACAAAACATGTTTAAAATGTTCAAGGTTAGTGACAAATTTGAGATAATCCATCGCTTTGTGCACACCGTTGGACGATAAAATTTGTAGTTCTGCAATACAGTGATAATTACACTGTGTATTGTAAAGATCCCCATAAGAACAATTTAACAACATACTTTCTGGTAATTGACAGGTAATTGACAATAGCAGTTTATGCATGTATATCTAAGAGCTATTATGTGCACCAATTGAACAAATTCTCTAGCACTTCAGTCATATGCCCGTATTTGTTGTCTAATCCTGAAGCAATACATCATCAAAGTTATTCTAGGCATCAACCGACATGTGCAAGCAATGTTGTTTTGTAAATGTTCAAATGTTGATTTATATCATGGACAGATTTTATTTTACAGGGGGGGTGCTAAAAGTTTTAGTTTTAGGTTAACAGTCTAGAATTTAAGGAGGTCTGATAGTGCAGCTGTTGAAGGATGTGTAGAAAGTTGAAATTTAGCTTTAAAAAACTCGGTTTAACCATACTACGAAATTGTTTTGCTAAAAAGTTTGGGGGAGAGGGGTTAAAATGATTTTGCAGAGGTGAGCAATTTATTTAGGTGGGTGAAATCTGATGTTTGGAGCATGGCACCCACCTAGCAAATCCGTCCATGATTTATATCATGTGAATACGGATGCAATAATAATATGGAATAACTCACCTTTCATTTTCAAAAGTTCTGAAGTGACTTCTCAGCTCTTCTGTTCCAATCATTTGCTTTAATTTTGTGGACAAATATGTCATTCTTCAACACAATGCCTTTGGCAGCCTGTCTGGTCATTTACTTCCGCACATATTTCTCTGTCACTCTCTGTGAAAGCATTGGCTTTCTCAAGAAACAAATAGTGATAATGTCCTAAAATTTATACAGCCTGATGAAAACTTCATGCAGTGCATGTCACTGCATGTACACTAAAGGTATTTTAAACAGCATTACATGAAGTAAATGATGTAAATTACATTACAACCAACTTGAGTTGCTCTGCTTATACCAAAATGTCTGGAACTTAAACTGTCTTATATGAAAAACTTTAACATTAATGTACCAGATCAATGACATGGCCATCACACCAGATAGACGTCATTTGGCAGCTGCAGGTACAGTTTTATCAAAACTACATGCAGTGCATCTGGCAAGGGGGAAGGAGGGCAATCATGCCAATGTTAATATTTTCATGACTGTAGTCTTTATTCTACCATAAAAAATATATGTAAGTGTAATATGTCAGGGACACTTTTATCTTCACCACAACCCCCTAGAAAAAAGTATTGTCACTGTCTACATGGTTTTGTTGTGTTTATGAAGTACATGAGAACACAATGTGTTACCAAACTAAATAATTAAACCCCCCCCCTCCTCCGGAGTATTGTTTATATTGTTATAGATGTTAATCGTCCCAGTTACTATAGTCCAGAGAAAGAATGTCAGCATTATTATTGATTGACATTTCAACATCCTTAGTGGTAGTGAAAATATTTCTGATTATTTCATGCTTTTTAGGTTACCAACACATAAAGATGTACGACATTAAAACCAGTAATATTAATCCAGTAAGTATTTTACTGACCAATTATACTTTTTCTTTATTCTTATATTTCAGACTTTTTTCACTTAATGAATGTTATTGTACAAAATTCTTAATCACTTCCAAATAATTAAGGAAACTCAACACAAACTGTAACTTCTCATTAACTATTCCAATAATTTTATTAATGTTGATAACAAAAAACTTACGCTGGTTGCGTTTGAATTGAGTGTATGTTTCGAAGAATATATACTCAACAAAATACCAGCGTGCTTGCGTGCGAATTTTAAACTCACCAACGAGTGCGTTTGACGATATCCTCATAACAAAACTTCTGGCTTTCCCTGTCTCCATCATGCAGTTCAGTTTTATGATTCCAGGTCATTTTCGTGGTCGTCCATCGAAGATAATTTATTTCAACCACTTTTTTAAACAGCAATAATTTCATACAGCGCACGTCTCTATGAAGAGTCCGAGGACGGTTACACGAAGCCCGGGGCGTTGAACTAACTATATATCTGGAATGTTATATTTTTATAAAAATGCCTGGATGGTTATGGGCGTAGGAAGATCGATAATTAGTTGAAGGCTCATATGGTATAATCCGTTGGGAACAATGGATTTCAAAGGAACTTAACACTGCATCTCATGCGTTTATTATGAATATGAACCCCCCCTCCCTAACTATCTTCCGATCTTCCTACACCAATGATTTTGCACGAAGCCCCCCCCCGGGCATCGAACTAATTATACAGCGTGTCACGAAAAACGGAACCCACATAAATAATTATGTATTTGCTGTAATTATTATGCACAATAATGAAATTAACATTCACAACAGTTTAATAAACTTGTCAGTTCTGCCTCCGGATTTACTAGGTTTTGTACTGTATTAAAGCAAAACAAGTTAAAAGTACTGTCATACACAACATTTTACATAAGTTGTAACGAACATGGAAAGACTAACGTGTGACAAAATTGACCAGGCTGAAGTTAACAGCTTTTGCTCACTAAATCATCTTGTGCAGATTTCATTTTCACGCATACGTAATTATATGTGCGGGTTCCAGTTTCTTGAGGGCATTTTCCATAAGTTGTAACGAACATGGACAGACTAACGTGTAACAAAATTGACCAGGCTGAAGTTAACAGCTTTTGCTCACTAAATCATCTTGTGCAGATTTCATTTTCACGCATACATAATTATATGTGCGGGTTACAGTTTCTTGAAAGGGGGGGGGGCACCCTACGCAACTTGAAAGATATCTTTATGTAATAATGCCTGTACTTGCATAAAGTCAAATTTTGCCAACAGACACTTTGTAGTTCATCTTCGTAAATGAACTTTCTTAGGGCAGTGCGTGGAAAGATTGGGACTAGTTAAATTGTTGGTAAATCAAATTTTGACAGGAAGTAGCATTCCAGTTATACCTAGTTCAGTAGCCTGGGGCTGGTTGCGTGCGAAGCCTAGGGTTGATTGCACGAACCTGCATCTTGCTAGATCTCGCTGTGCACTGGGATGACTTTTCAATCGCATTGAAAATGTGGTTGTATTTTCTTCCCGATTCGTTATCTTTGAATCGACATTTTATTTTGTTGAATGTTCATTTGAAATCATAGAATTTTCTCTTAACAAAGATTTTTGATATAATGGACTAAATCGTTGTCGAGGCTTAGCGCCACCAACCTCCAGCAAACATCAACGACACCCAATCGCTCGATTGCCATTTTAGATTTTGAACTACGATGGAATTTCGAAGAACACGACGTCCGTTGGTTTTCAAGAAGACGGAAAATGGATGTTTACCGGTGGTGAAGATTGTTCTGCAAGGATTTGGGACCTTCGTTCAAGAAATCTGCAATGTCAACGAGTTTATCAAGCGAAGTCTGCCGTCAACTGTGTCGTCCTACATCCAAATCAAGTATAATGCACCAACGCTATTCCAGTAGTGTTCAATGCGCATGTGCGAGCACCAGGGAGATGCGGGGAGGCCTCGTGCTCCCAATAATTTTGAAGGAATAAAAAATTGCATCAAATGTCACAAATCACAACAATGTAGCGTGACTATTATATTAAATTATAACTATTTCCTTAGGAAAAGCCACAACGCTAAGAAGCACAAAACTTTAGCGGTTAAAAATACTAGAATAGACCATCATTAAGCTAAATTTAAACTTTAATGGTTCAGCTGATAAGAATATCCTTAAGCCAGGATAGTGTTGTCCGTTGGATAATGACAAAGCGTATTACAAAGATTGTTACATTTTCATCAAAACTTTTTTTAAATAAAACATTGCATTACTAATTTAACTTTTGTATGTTTACTTTTGTATATCTGCTTCAAATCGTAGCCTTTGGTATTTTACATGAATTGTGAAGCAGCCGAAAATTGCTATTCAGGGAAATGCTCTAACCTGGCTTAAGCTCTTTTCCACTCATCGCAAGACGTACTCGCAAGCTCGCTGCGAGTGCCTGCGAGTTACTCGCAGCGAGCTTACCATGACTTGCAGCATAGTTAAATTAATTGAACAAAATTTTTTGATCGCGCAAACAGACTCGCAAGCTCGCAGCGATGAGTGGAAAACAGCCCTTAGTGTTACGGGCTCGCTGTGGTCGGTGACGAAACACGTTGTTGAATGATGCAAAGGTGTAGTTTACAAGTGATCGTAACAAACTTTACCGTTCGGCTAAATTAAGGGTGTTTGCTCAAATTATAGTGATATATTTTGATGTTCATATCATGGTTTATCTTAATAGAGAACAATTTGAGATTTTACCTGTAAAAAACCATTGCCTTCCCCTCTACCACCGCCTAAGGAGACATTTTTATTATTTTTGTCATATTCACAGAGTGAACTGATCGTCGGTGACGACAGCGGTGCGATACATGTGTGGGATTTGAGAACTGATCGCAGTGAGAAGCTTGTAAGAATGTACTTAATTTTACTGACATTACTGAAAAGAAAAATGACATCATATTTATAGATAGTTTTTTTACATACTTTCACACAGTTTTACACATATTTACTTTCACACTGTTTTACACATATTTACTTTCACACTGTTTTGCACATATTTACTTTCACACTGTTTTGCACATACTTTCATACTGTTTCACACATACTTACTTTCACACAGTTTTATCTTTACATAGTTTTGTACATATTTACATACTGTTTTTATACTTTCATACTGTTTACATACTTACTTTCACAATTTTACTTCTTACACTGTTTATTTTTACATAATTTTTTAATACTTTCACTTTTCACATTATTTCTCACATGTTTTTACTTTAGTTTTGTAATATTTACTTTCACACTGTTTTGCATACTCTTATATAATTGTTTCACATAATTTCTTATTTCATCACACTGTTTTTTCAAACTGTTTCACATACTTTCACAAGTTTTACATACTCATAATGTTCACTGCACTTACTCATACTGTTTTACACATACTTTCACACAGTTTTACACATACTTTCATACTGTTTCACACATACTTACTTTCACACTGTTTCACTTATAACATAAAATGGTTTTAAACATAGTTTTTCTCACATTGTGTGATTTTTATCAAGTTTCTAACCTGTCCATTAAGATACCTGAAGCAGAAGCCGCTGTGTTATCTTTGAGTATCAACGAGGATGCAACATACATGGCAGCCATTAACAACCAGGTGAAAATATAAATTAAGTTGGACAAGCCACTTTTTGTGCGTATTGTAGTAATTGTGTTTTCTACACCTTACCTTTGTTAAAGCACGCAAATTTGTATGTGAAACTTACTACGTGCTCTGTGTTTTATACATCTTTTTAACCACACACAAACTTGTATGTGAAATTTACTACGTGCTCTGTGTTTTCTACATCTTTTTAACCGCACACAACTTGTATGTGAAATTTACTACGTGCTCTGTGTTTTCTACATCTTTTTAACCACACACAAATTTGTATGTGAAATTTACTACGTGCTCTGTGTTTTATACATCTTTTTAACCACACACAAATTTGTATGTGAAATTTACTACGTGCTCTGTGTTTTCTACATCTTTTTAACCGCACACAACTTGTATGTGAAATTTACTACGTGCTCTGTGTTTTCTACATCTTTTTAACCACACAAATTTGTATGTGAAATTTACTACGTGCTCTGTGTTTTATACATCTTTTTAACCACACACCAATTTGTACGTGAAATTTACTACGTGCTCTGTGTTTTCTGCATCTTTTTAACCACACACAAATTTGTATGTGAAATTTACTACGTGCTCTGTGTTTTCTACATCTTTTTAACCACACACAAATTTGTGTGTGAAATTTACTACGTGCTCTGTGTTTTCTACATCTTTTTAACCACACACAAATTTGTGTGTGAAATTTACTACGTGCTCTGTATTTTCTACATCTTTTTAACCGCACACAAATTTGTGTGTGAAATTTACTACGTGCTCTGTGTTTTCTACATCTTTTTAACCACACACAAATTTTTATGTGAAATTTACTACGTGCTCTGTGTTTTCTACATCTTTTTAATCACACACAAATTTGTGTGTTAAATTTCGTGTTTCAAACTTTCCTGTAAAATCAAAATGTTACGCAGATTATTGGTATGTGAATTTACTTGTTAAAATTTTTCGTGCCCATACCTAGGGAAACTGTTACGTGTGGAGTTTATCGTCTGGTACAACAACGGAGCCAACTGTCTTGAGACCGCGATCAAAACTCGTGAAAGCCCACGAGAAAGCTGGTTTGAAATGCTTATTCAGTCCAGATTCGTGGTAGGTTTATGACTCTAAGAAGGACTGTTGGTGTAACTGTTGACTGACGTTTTGACAATCTTATGACCACCGCTGAGGTTGTCGAAACGTCAGTCGACATCGACACCAACAATACCTCTCTGGATTCTACTGACCTGGACGAGCTACATCAACAAACATCGAACGATACTCACCATTCAAACCATTCACTTCAAACCATTCACTTTAGAAGCTTATATTCCTTACATGAAATACGTAGCTTTTAGGTTTTTATCAGTCGTCGATTTTAGTACCCGAGTCAAATCCTTAATCAAAATAATTTAACAATACTTTTCTTGTTCACACATGTTGTTGATTGGATTACTCATCTCTTCCACTCAGAACGCTTCGTTTAATGTTTCATGAGTCGCTATATTTTCAAATTCAAATTGAAGTAATTTTTTTGCCAGCTTGTTAGCGACCACCTCTGCTGATCAGAGCATAAAGATATGGCGTACGAGTGATTTTACATTAAAATCGACGCTCAAGGACGACGAGCAACGTTGGGTTTGGGACTGTGATTTTTCTGATGATTCACAATACCTTGTTACAGGTACGCCAAACGAATTTGGTTTATTGAACTCAATGTATAACTGGATGGCTACCTCTAGGTAAACATGCCTATACTTGCGTGATCTTGAGGCAAAGTCTCCGCATTTAAGCTTAACTTTTGGCCGTGCGTGGAAAGATTGGCACTAGTTGCATTGCTGGCTTAACATTTGGCGGGAGGTAGCCATACAGTTGCACATAGTTCAGTGAATTAGCTCTAGGAAACACGATGCTTACTACGAGAAAAAATATACCAATGCAGATGGTTGCTAGAAGCCAATGTCTAATGAGGTGACGTCATGTGCATTAATTTCAAAGAATTGTATGATAACCAAGATGCATTGTGCGCTTTTGTTTATGTTTGCATCGTTACTTTTTGAGCTTGCGGCACAATGAACTCAATGTCGTCACAACGTCGTCCAGTTTATCTGAAAAGTTAGTAAAAAAACATTGATCAAAAACTCTATTTTACATTAATTATTATCGTTTGCTCAAGTTGCATGGACTACAATAACAAAATCCGCCATTTTTTTGACCCACAAAATGGCCGCCACTCAGTGATTAACGCGCAATGCATCATGGTTGACACATATTCTTTAAGGGCTGTACAACGGAACCGGAGTTCTGCCTCCGACTAAAACTCCAGGGGTGATGACGCAATAGTCATCAGGTTTTAGTGATGTTCGATTAATTTTTTATCAGTATTTGATTCTTTATCACACCAAAACCTTGTGCCCTGCATGCCGCAAAATGATCAAAAGAATAATTAAAAGAAAAATGTTTTCTTCACATTGAAATGAACAATTTTCTTTAACTATGAAATTTCCATAGGTTTTCAGATTTGGAAACCTACTGCCGAAGCTTTAATATTTCAACCTACGTAAGCAGATGTTCATTTTGTCCAGTACTTGCTGAATGAAAATTTTTGGAATTTTTCCAGCGCGATTCTTTGTTTTTCAACATAACTTGAATTTTTCCGGCGCAGTGAAATTCTAAAATCACATGAGATGAATTTGATAATCGTTATGTTGCTTTCGTAAGCGTGATTTATCATCTTTTCTTAGTGCTTATAGCTAAGAATTTTTCCTTTTTTATTTGCAGTTTCGTCTGACGCAATTGGACGCTTGTGGTCTTTGGAACAAGAAGAGGTCGTTCGTAAATACAAAGGACATCAGAAAGCGCTCGTGTCACTCGCTTTCAAAGACGTACGCATCGACTGAGCATGCGCAGAATGTACTTGTACAAGATATTATACAAAGACGTACCACAACTCTCGAACTGTTCATACTGAATGTCCCATTTAAACAAACCTTGTGTTTCATAATTGACGTCGCTATGTGAAGAATCTGTCAAGAAAATGAATAGATGTTTATAAAAAAGCATTGATTGTTAGAGTCAAATGAAATACGAAATAAAATAAACTGACCATTAAGGTTCCGAGAGCTTGTTCAGTACACAACAAAAATTTGGACAAGAGACCTCTGTTGATTTGCAATCTTAAATATTCTAAAACCCATTTAAGAAATAAAAGATGTTTTTGTGTTTGCACACGCTCACGCACAAAGAGGAGACCAATAGGAGAACTCGAGAGCAGATTCCACTTGCACGAGGTTTGCATAAGCCAGTGCAAATACGAAAAACATCTTTTATTTCTTTTATGATATAACAATTATGCCACGGTTTGCCAACCGCACAAAATTAAAACAAACGTTTTAAGTTTCCTCTGAAATACATTTATGATTGATTTGCAAATTCTCTTTGATTGATGGATCGATTTGATTGATTTAATCACAGATCCGTTTTGCACTGACTAATGTAAACACAGCTATAGACCAATCAGCCCACGCGTTTTTTTGTGTTTATTTTATAATATAAATTACGAAGCAATTATATCAGCTATAATGAAAGAACGACCTTTGAACATAGCTAAACGCATATACAGGCATAGGTGGTACATTTCTATGTACTATTCTAAGTGCGAGTAAAAAAAATATCTTTACAGAAAATTTTTTTTATCTTTGGCAAATTTTCTGCGCAATAACATTCAATGTACTTTGAAAAAATTAATCAATCTTAGGTGAAAATCAAGTGCATTCTGGTTCAGTGTGCTATCAAAAATTCCTCAAAAAATTCCTTTTAAGAAATCCTTTCACCTTTAGCGAAAACGCAGTACAATCAGAGTGAGTGTACTTTGAAGAGTTTTTCTATCTTAGGAGAAAACTCTGTACAATCAGAATGGGTGTACTTTTGTGCAATAATTGTGCAATCATACTCAATGTATTTTCATAAAATTCTTCATTTTTAGGTGAAAATGCTGCACATTAAGATTCAATGCAGCTGTATGAAAGTCTTCCCCAGACCTTTGCAATTTTGGTATGATGATGTCTTCGACGAAATCCAATCACGACTGATCAAATGCAGAACGAAATTTCTACATCTCATGGCATCTTCACGTTTGCTCCTTTTCGTTTTCACGTGGCAAAGTGATCGCGCGAGGCGTGCTGTATTCGCCGCTCCTCCCGTGAACGTCAATTGCGCGCACGGAAAAGTAGTACGTACAACCAGATACGAACTGAGTGAGGGTGCACGCCATTGGTAAAGGCAGAGCTTTAACTATACCCAGTTTTTTCCATGTGATTTTCGAGCTGTTACCTTGGTTGTGATCCTGGCAAGCGTACAGCTGGTACGAATCAATGGGGGCGCACTCCTGTGGTACAAACATATCCCAAGACAATACAATACCATTCGCCGCTCCGGATATGGAAACGGTCGGCTTAGGCGGAGGCTGGCCATTTGGTCTAACATTAAGCGAAGCTTGGGGATGAGATGTGGGAGCTGAGGGATGAGAAAAGGGTGTTGTGTGGCGCGTTTGGGGTCTGGTATCGGGCACAGGATGGTAAGGAGGTCTCTGTCGAAGCGCATAACGCTGTGCATTGTTTACAGGGGCACGTGAGTACATATGAGTTTGAGCTCTGACCAAAGGTGGGGGGTTCACTGGAATATGGCCAGCAGTAAGTGAACCAGAATGAATCAAATTAGGACGAGAACCACCAACATGTGATGTGTTAGCAATTGTGACTGGACGGCTGTTCACCTGCAGTAAGGTAAGAAATAAGCTTTTTAAACCTTTTTGTTATGTCTTCAACCAATCACAATAATTATTAAAGAACAGTGTTATAGCCATGTTGCTAGTTATTTGAAATATGGCATGCGAGGTAGTAGAACACGAACGACAGTAAATTCTTCAACAAACAAAGCTTGTGTTACACTTAGAAAGCGCAATTATCGAGCACTCGATCTCCTTTACGGTGTTTGTTTGCCTCAAACAAGAGCAGTTTTTACCTGAGTACGCAATCTGGCATTTGCTACTGAGTAGCTAGGTGGGGGGTAGTAAGGGCTAGTGGACCTTACTTCTCGCATTTGAGGCACCCTATGGGGCGGTAACCCTCGTAGATCCCCAGTAACTTGATTCACAATATATCGGCCATGGGGTTGTGCTTGCGTATGGACCATGGGTCCTTGAGAATTGAACGTGATTCTATTGGATGATAAAGGCAACGGTGGAGGTCCTCTGTGTGCTACAAGGGTACTTGGGGATGCTTGGAGGTTCTGCGGTTGCGGACGTACAGTGGCAGTGGGTTGAATTGTTGGAGTCTGAGTTCTTTGTATTCCGGTATTTTGACGGCTGACTTGTTTATACGGAGCTAAAACATACGAGAAGTTTCATCAGCACAGACACATGTGTATATCAAAAAATTACCTGAAGTTTAAAACCAGGTCCCAGACCACTTCAGGTCAAGAGTGACTATGCTTCGCTGCTTCGCACAGGCTCACACCAGTTCCAGTTAACTGTAATAGGATTACGTCGGTGTAAGACAGTGTATATCACTACCTGAACGCACAGTTTCTTGTATTACGCCGTTCATAGGTAAGTATTCACTAGGTTTTTGTCACATTTCACCAAAATTTTACTTTACCAACACTGTTTGTACAGCCAAAAGGATCCCCATGCAGGTGTACTAAGCACGCAATTTCTTCTGACTTCGAATTAACCCACCCCCGCAGTGGCGTAGCTAGACAAAAACAACTGGTCGTGCTATAGCGAGAACAAACATGTAGTTCCTGTACCGTTGGTGGCAACATAAGTTTTGCGACTTTGATATTTCATGCTTTTGGCAATCGCCCAGTAAATAATGCATGTTAATATAATTAATTTGAGTCAATGTAGTGGACTTTGAAGGAAACAGTAAAAAAGAAAACAAAATAACCGCTGTTTCTCCACACAAGTGCACAACCAATCTTTCCTTTCGCACCAAGACTGTCGGAACCCCTTATCTCTCGTTTTCAGTGTGAGCGTAGGTGTTGGTCGTGGCATACAAACAAAATATTTTTACTGTATAGCGTTGTGTGAACTGACAATCCTTCGTAAAAGCTCAGAAACAATATCTTTGACTCTTCGAGCTTCAGACGCGACGTTTGACTGTCCTTTACTAATTTTTATGTTCACACACAAAAATAAATTCAATAACACAGTAAAACGATGAATAATTCGACAATATTTGAAGTACTCGTGCGAATAACGTTGGGCACGACCAAAGGAAAATATTCGGCGAATGAGCATGCGTACGACTCAATGCAGCCTTATATATTATTAGTAATTTATGTTTGGTCGTTCTCGTCTGATCAAAGCACGACAAAACTAAGGCTGACTATACCCATTTTAACAGACTGTGAGGTTTTCTAGCCAATCAGCGCTTAGGAATATATAAGTTGGTCGTGTCGGCCTGAGTAGAGCACGACCAAAAACGGGCGAATGCCGTTCCACGTGCTTTTAGGCAATGATTAGGCAGATGTCGGGCAGAAACATAATATAGTTTAAGTAATATGAAGTACATGTTTCAAAATGCAAATGAAGCATCAGAAATAGATTTTGATTTCGCTAGTATCTGTTAACATTAAAAACAATAGGTTGAAAAACATTAGTTTGAAAAATGTTTGGTCGTGCTGAGCACGACCAGCACGACCTCTAGCTACGCCACTGCCCCCGACTCAATCATGATGTTTTTACAACAGTTTACAAGGATATAAACTTACCATCATCGTAGAGCCGATTACGAAAATAACATCAATTAGCTTAAAAATCTACCCCCCCTGCCAATCAGTCAAATTCATGAGGTTTTTACAACAATTCACTTGGTTTTAAGCTTACCATCACTGTACAGACGGGGTTCACCAGCAGCCGTTGTAAGAACATAACTTCCACTCGACAAATATCGCGATGGATTCGTCTTCCCTGTAGGTGATCGTGCTAGGTATGGCGGAGGAGCTGAGATAACTGGCGAGAAAGTCTGGAGCACAGTCATTGCTGGCTGCTTATTGGACACATCTGCTTCAGAAACAAGTAATGCTGATTTCCCGACCTGAGGAGACGTCACGTGGATCGTGTGTGAAACTGAAGTTAATGACTAAAAAACGAGGTTGAACTGTAACAATTTTTCGAATGTTAAATTTACGGGTCCTTTTCTCGGGAGAGGCTTTGGAATTTAATATCTACATTTGCATGGCATGTAGTACCTCAAAGGATTTGAATATGCGACTGCAAGGTTTGAAGGAATTCTAAGCAATGTAAAAGAGTTAAATGAACAAGCATAGAGAACAGACATTATAGAAGTACTTCAGAAATTAAAAATTAATAAAATCTTAATTTTAGGATAAGAGATCTTATTGGGACCAGGGTCCCTCTTTAGGTTTAGAGCCTAGGATCTACCTATTGAACTGAATATAACTGGATGGCTACTTCCGCAAAAATTTAAAGCTTGCATTTTGACGAGTCCCAATCTTTTCACACACGGCGAAAAGAAAGTTACTTCACGACGACAAGCTAAAATGCGGAATTTGAAACCAGACTAGTGTGTGTGGGTGCAAAATTTTGCTTCATGCAAGAACATTCATGTTTATATAAAGGTAGCATTCCAGTTATGTATTTAGTTCAATGGAGTATCTAGAGATGCCTGAGGCGGCAAAATTCTGTTTCATGCAAGTACAGGCATGTTTATCCAATGGTAGTATTCTAGTTATATATTTAGTTCAATGGACCCACTTAACCACACCCATTTAGTGTCCCCGGTGGTAAAAAACAGGGGCTCCCTCCTCCCCACAATAAAAATGTCTGAGAAGCAGGGGGGTCGGGGTTTAGTAAAATATTCACAAAAATAGCATTCCATATCATACATATCTTGCTCATATCGTGAAAACTTATAAAAGTTTTAATGCTAACCGGTGGCAAAGGGAAACCAGCTTGAACAGCAACATCGATTCGAGCAGTCTGTTTTTAAAAATAAAGCATTGTATAATCTACACATTAAAACAGAGTGTATAGGGCAAATTATACCTAAATTCACATACGAAACTCAAGATAAAACCGAGACAAAAAACTGTTTTATTTTGATTTTTTTCTTGCTTTTGTCTTGTTAGTTTTTTCTCGATTTTATCTTGGGTTTTGTGGTTTTATTTGGTTTCAATCCATTCACCATGGCAATTGCTCTCTTTAAGGTGATATTCAAATAAAAATAATGCAAAAAAGACGAATTTAAAACAAACGTTTGAACTCGTGATTGATTTGCAAATTCTCTTACATTGATTGATCGATGTGATTGGTTGAGCTCAGATGTATTTTGCAGAGTCAAATGCGAACACAGCTATAGACCAATCAGCGCAACGCGTTTTATTGTGTTTATTTTATGAGCATTAAAACTCTTCGCAACGCAAATCACAGAATATTGAATATACAATGGACCTACTCCATCGAATCTTTTTTGATTATCATAATGTAAGCCAGTCAATTGCTGCTTTAGACAAACAAAAATAAAGAAATTCCTATAATCTAATTACATATATAGCATTAACTTGCACATCAAAGTGAACCGACAATATATTCCTAATTGCGTGAACACAAATTCGTGAATAAATCGACAAAGAATTTCTAATAACTAACCTCTGAAGGCTTCTTTTGCTCGTATTCCACCTTACTCAATTTTTCTTGTAGTTGATTCGAGTGCTCAGACAGGCGTTTGTTTTCAACTTCTAAAGCCGATATTTTTCTCTCCAAATCCGGTATAATCTTTTCGACGTACTTTTCTTCTATCTTTTTACACTTTTCATTCACTAATTTTTGCAAAACCTACATCAAAATTAAAATCAAAATGATTTCCATGGTAAGTACAACACACGGAGATTCTTCAAGCTCTCAGAATAGAATAGAAAACTACACTCCCAAATTAGAGTAGAAAACTACACTCTCAAAACAGAATAGAAAAATACACTCTTAAATTAGAATAGAAAACTACTCTCTCAAAATAGAGTAGAAAACTACACTCTTAAATTAGAGTAGAAAACTACACTCTCAAAATAGAATAGAAAACTACACTCTTAAATTAGAGTAGAAAACTACACTCTCAAAATAGAATAGAAAACTACACTCTCAAAATAGAATAGAAAACTACACTCTCAAAATAGAGTAGAAAACTACACTCTCAAAATAGAATAGAAAACTACACTTTCAAAATAGAGTAGAAAATTGCACTCTCAAAATAGAATAGAAAACTACACTTTCAAAAGAGAGTAGAAAACTACACTCTCAAAGTAGAGTAGAAAACTACACTCTTAAATTAGAGCAGAAAACTACACTCTCAAAACAGGGTAGAAAAATACACTCTTAAATTAGAATAGAAAACTACTCTCTCAAAATAGAGTAGAAAACTACACTCTTAAATTAGAGTAGAAAACTACACTCTTAAATTAGAGTAGAAAACTACACTCTCAAAATAGAATAGAAAACTACACTCTCAAAATAGAATAGAAAACTACACTCTCAAAATAGAGTAGAAAACTACATCAAAATAGAATAGAAAACTACACTTTCAAAATAGAGTAGAAAACTACACTCTCAAAAAATAGAATAGAAAACTACACTTTCAAAATAGAGAGAAAACTACACTCAAAATAGAATAGAAAACTACACTCTCAAAATAGAGTAGAAAACTACACTCTCAAAATAGAATAGAAAACTACACTTTCAAAATAGAGTAGAAAACTACACTCTCAAAATAGAATAGAAAACTACACTCTCAAAATAGAGTAGAAAACTACACTCTCAAAATAGAATAGAAAACTACACTCTCAAAATAGAGTAGAAAACTACACTCTCAAAATAGAGTAGAAAACTACACTCTCAAAATAGAAAAGAAAACTACACTTTCAAAATAGAGTAGAAAACTACACTCTCAAAATAGAATAGAAAACTACACTTTCAAAATAGAGTGGAAAACTACACTCTCAAAATAGAATAGAAAACTACACTCACAAAATAGAATAGAAAACTACACTCTCAAAATACAATAGAAAACTACACTTTCAAAATAGAGTAGAAAACTACACTCTCAAAATAGAATAGAAAACAACACTTTCAAAATAGAGTAGAAAACTACACTTTCAAAATAGAGTAGAAAACTACACTCTCAAAATAGAATAGAAAACTACACTCTCAAAATAGAGTAGAAAACTACACTCTCAAAATAGAATAGAAAACAACACTTTCAAAATAGAGTAGAAAACTACACTCTCAAAATAGGGAAAACTACACTTTCAAAATAGAGTAGAAAACTACAATTTCAAAATAGAATAGAAAACTACACTCTCAAAATAGAGTAGAAAACTACACTCTCAAAATCGAGTAGAAAACTACACTCCCAAAATAGAGTAGAAAACTACATTCTCAAAATAAAATAGAAAACTACACTCTCAAAATAGAATAGAAAACTACACTCTCAAAATAGAGTAGAACACTACACTCTCAAAATAGAGTAGAAAACTACACTCTCAAAATAAAATAGAAAACTACACTCACAAATAGAGTTTTCTTATACAAAATTTTCGTTTTACTGAACGAAAAACGAACTTGTACTTACAGCATAAAGCTCTTCTTTTGATATAGAACCAGAAGTAGAGACATCTTTTTTCTTCTGCACTTCTGCATCGGCCGTTTCATGGCCGGAACTCTTATTTATGGGTGTTTTACCATCGTGCATTTTCACTACATTAATGCTCGCATCTTCTTCCGACGATTTTAAACTTTCGTCTTGCTGTGCTAGTGACGCAAGGCGAGCATGAAGCTCGAAGGGGTCGACGGACTTAGATAGCGCGGCCAAGTAATTAGAGCGTGGTGACGAGGAAGGGGAAGAACCCACGGATGAGATGACAAACTCATCGTCAGGTTTTGGGTTTTGATTTTTTTCTTTACAACTCGTTGCAATCCGTTGCTTAAGTTTTTGTAATTTATCCAGCTTTAGAGAAACCGCGACAATTTCACTCGCAGATCGAGACTTCTCCTTTGTAACCCCGCCATTAGATGATTTTTCTAATGTAAATAATATAAATGAAAAAATATTTTACTTTTGACGTCTTCATTAATTATGTTAATTATGCAAGCTCCTTTAAAATCAATTGTTTTTTTTGGCTTATAATATGCATTATGTCAATATTAGCCACCCCTCCCCAAATTATCGATGAACGAAACAGACATGATCGGCGTGAACCTTTTTTCTAAAACATAGTTTCTTGTTTTGCTAGATACACTCTTCATTCATCTTTTTTTGCCAAACACACTCTTCATTCATCTTTTTTTGTCAAACACACTCTTCATTCATCTTTCTTTGTTTTGTCATTTTCTCCAAACAATAACTTCTGGTCTTCTTTCCTGAACATAACCGTCTTTTGTCTTTTTTAATAAGCAGAACTTTTTGCCTTCTTTCCAAAACACGATTTTCTTCCTCTTTTTTATTAAACATAACATTTTGTCTTCTGTCCCAAATAGAACCTTCTTTCGTCTTTTTTCTTATACAAAAATTTGGTCTTCTTTTCAAAACCCAATCTTCTTTTGTCTTTTTCATAAACATAATCCTTTGTTTCCTTTCCCCAAAATAACCTTTTTTCGTTATTTTTCTTAAACCATAACACCTTGTCTTCTGTCCCAAACAGAACCTTCTTTCGTCTTTTTTACTGGACATAACGTTTGACCTTCTTTCTCAAACATAACCTTTTATCTTTCTCCAAACATAATCTTTGGTCTTCTTTCGCAACCAGAACTTTCTTCTCTCTTTTTTTTCTTTCTCAAAAATAATCCGTTCTTGTCCTTTTGGAAAACACATTATTTGGTGTTCTTTCAAAACACAACTTTCTCTTGTCTTTTTCGCAAACATAATCTTTGGTCTTCATTTAAGATAGGTTTACGAAAGAGTTTGTGTCAGGGTATTAGGTGTGTGACGGGTGGATACAATAGGGTAGGTGTGCCACTGTAGGATCTTCATCCACTGAACTGCAATTTTAAATGACTCGTTTCTTTTTATTTTATTCCACTGAAAGTTAAAATAATGATGGAAAATTCATCTTAAAATCAATTAAGCGTCCACGCTATTTAAATCACTGAGTCGCACAGTCATCAAACGTTTCCTTAGATCACAGCTCGTTGTACAATTCTGCTTCTTCCCTCATACCCAAACATCAGTAAGTCTATTTCTGTTATAATATCTGGTTAACTTACGGTTAAATAACTACAAAATCTCTGGCCGACCTGAAATTTGTCCGTTCAAATTTATATTACAGAAAATTGAATTACACTTTATTACTATTTGAAGTCTATTTGACATACAACACTTTAATTATAAAAACTAAATTAGATGAAATTATTGTTCTACAAAAGTAAATAAAACATTACATTTTGAATTTGAATTTGAATATAGCACACTTGTCCAAAACTGTGGCACTTTCTGGTCGGCAACTTTTTGCTAAAACGATTTTTCCTAATGTAAAGGCCTCAGACACTCTCTACTTGAACATATTTCAGATTGCAGCAACAAAATCAATCCGCCATTTGCACGTTGGCTGAGCAAAATGTTATTCTACCGATATGAAAACATTATATTTTCTCAACATCGAATGAAAATTATACATATAGTAAATGCAAATGACACTTAACAAAGTATTTTATTGGCAGCTGGGCTAATAAACAATAAAAAATTGTTAGAATGCTTACTGTCATGAACGCCCTCCGTCCGCCTAAATGCAAGAAAAAACAAAACGTAACTTATGAAAGACATTCAATGCAATATTCGCATTATACAATACAATATGTTATTTAAATATAACATGTTTACAAAAAAATAGAACCTGCATAATAACATTTCAAAGCTATTTGTATGATACCATAAAATGCATAATAATAAAACAGATATAATATAACATAATCCACTCCAATCCAATCAAATTCAATCCAATACAAAACAAAAATACAATACAATACAATGTATTATAATACAAAACAATCAGCTTATACCTTTTTTTTAATGGCACCGGGTCATCCATATTCAACGTCATTCAATTCCAAGTATATTAATTTGCTCATATGTCAACTACAAAATTCGAGCTCCTGGTTATATAGATATCATTAATAATGTACACAGCCTGGTTCATTGAAAGATTACCATTTAAATATTAAATTTACTTTGACGATTCATCTACTAAAAAAAATGGGAGTGGTCGTGGTTCCAAAGCTGTTTTACGGTCCGAAAAATACAAATGGAATTTTTTAAGATTTTAAAGCAAAGCCTAGTGACGCAATAAATGTATATATGTTATTTAACGGCTGGGAGGTCCGTATTGAAAAAATACTTTCACAAAAATATTTTTATGAACGAACCAACCTAAACTGTAAATAACATACGTACTTTTTTATTTTCATAAAGAAACTCGCGCAATAAAATGGCCGATGCGGTTTGTTGAGACTAGAATACATTTTGCTTTCTCCGAGCACAATTTGCAAGGTTCGTAAATCTATTTTAAAAATTTAAATAGAACTTTGTAATCGAATACAATGCACAAAAATAAGACTTTTGGACCACCATCAAGATATCACAAAAAGCTGCCCACTAATTCAGCCAATCAGATTGCAGGAAATCAAAAAATATCACTGCGCATGCATAAATGACAAAAGTAAAGAATCGTACTTCATATTCTTACAATTGTAATACAATCAGATTGCAGGAAATCAAAAAATATCACTGCGCATGTATAAATAACAAAAATAAAGAATCGTACTTCATATTCTTACAATTGTAATACAATCAGATTGCAGGAAATCAAAGAATATCACTGCGCATGCATAAATAACAAAATTAAAGAATCGTAATTCATATTCTTACAATTGTAATCCAATCAGATTGCAGGAAATCAAAGAACATCACTGCGCATGCATAAATAACAAAATTAAAGAATCGTAATTCATATTCCTACAATTGTAATCCAATCAGATTGCAGGAAATCAAAGAATATCACTGCGCATGCATAAATAACAAAACTAAAGAATCGTACTTCATATTCTTACAATTGTAATCCAATCAGATTGCAGGAAATCAAAAAATATCACCACGCATGCATAAATAACAAAAGTAAAGAATCGTAATTCATATTCTAACAATTATAATCCAATCAGATTGCAGGAAATCAAAGAATATCACTGCGCATGCATAAATAACAAAAGTAAAGAATCGTACTTCATATTCTTACAATTGTAATCCAATCCGATGGCAGGAAATCAAAGAATATCACTGCGCATGCATAAATAACAAAAATAAAGAAGCATACTTCATATTCTTACAATTGTAATCCAAACACATTGCAGGAAATCAAGAATATCACTGCGCATGCATAAATAACAAAAATAAAGAATCGTACTTCATATTCTTACAATTGTAATCCAATCAGATTGCAGGAAATCAAAAATATCACTGCGCATGCATAAATAACAAAAGTAAAGAATCGTACTTCATATTCTTACAATTGTAATCCAATCAGATTGCAGGAAATCAAACAATATCACTGCGCATGCATAAATATCAAGAATAAACAATCATACTTCATATTCTTACAATTGTAATCCAATCAGATTGCAGGAAATCAAAAAATATCACCGCGCATGCAAAAATAACAAAAGTAAAGAACCGTAATTCATATTCTTACAATTGTAATCCAATCAGATTGCAGGAAATCAAAGAATATCACTCCGCATGCATAAATAACAAAAGTAAAGAATCGTACTTCATATTCTTACAATTGTAATCCAATCAGATTGCAGGAAATCAAACAATATCACTGCGCATGCATAAATATCAAGAATAAACAATCGTACTTCATATTCTTACAATTGTAATCCAATCAGATTGCAGGAAATCAAAAAATATCACCGCGCATGCATAAATAACAAAAGTAAAGAATCGTAATTCATATTCTTACAATTGTAATCCAATCAGATTGCAGGAAATCAAAGAATATCACTGCGCATGCATAAATAACAAAATTAAAGAATCGTAATTCATATTCTTACAATTGTAATCCAATCAGATTGCAGGAAATCAAAGAACATCACTGCGCATGCATAAATAACAAAATTAAAGAATCGTAATTCATATTCCTACAATTGTAATCCAATCAGATTGCAGGAAATCAAAGAATATCACTGCGCATGCATAAATAACAAAACTAAAGAATCGTACTTCATATTCTTACAATTGTAATCCAATCAGATTGCAGGAAATCAAAAAATATCACCGCATGCATAAATAACAAAAGTAAAGAATCGTAATTCATATTCTTACAATTGTAATCCAATCAGATTGCAGGAAATCAAAGAATATCACTGCGCATGCATAAATAACAAAATTAAAGAATCGTAATTCATATTCTTACAATTGTAATCCAATCAGATTGCAGGAAATCAAAGAACATCACTGCGCATGCATAAATAACAAAATTAAAGAATCGTAATTCATATTCCTACAATTGTAATCCAATCAGATTGCAGGAAATCAAAGAATATCACTGCGCATGCATAAATAACAAAACTAAAGAATCGTACTTCATATTCTTACAATTGTAATCCAATCAGATTGCAGGAAATCAAAAAATATCACCACGCATGCATAAATAACAAAAGTAAAGAATCGTAATTCATATTCTTACAATTATAATCCAATCAGATTGCAGGAAATCAAAGAATATCACTGCGCATGCATAAATAACAAAAGTAAAGAATCGTACTTCATATTCTTACAATTGTAATCCAATCCGATGGCAGGAAATCAAAGAATATCACTGCGCATGCATAAATAACAAAAATAAAGAAGCGTACTTCATATTCTTACAATTGTAATCCAATCAGATTGCAGGAAATCAAGAATATCACTGCGCATGCATAAATAACAAAAATAAAGAATCGTACTTCATATTCTTACAATTGTAATCCAAACACATTGCAGGAAATCAAGAATATCACTGCGCATGCATAAATAACAAAAATAAAGAATCGTACTTCATATTCTTACAATTGTAATCCAATCAGATTGCAGGAAATCAAAGAATATCACTGCGCATGCATAAATAACAAAAGTAAAGAATCGTACTTCATATTCTTACAATTGTAATCCAATCAGATTGCAGGAAATCAAAAATATCACTGCGCATGCATAAATATCAAGAATAAACAATCGTACTTCATATTCTTACAATTGTAATCCAATCAGATTGCAGGAAATCAAACAATATCACTGCGCATGCATAAATATCAAGAACAAACAATCGTACTTCATATTCTTACAATTGTAATCCAATCAGATTGCAAGAAATCAAAGAATATCACTGCGCATGCATAAATACCAAAATTAAAGAATCGTAGTTCATATTCTTACAATTGTAATCCAATCAGATTGCAGGAAATCAAACAATATCACTGCGCATGCATAAATAACAAAAATAAAGAATCGTACTTTATAATCTTACAATTGTAATCAAATCATATTGCAGGAAATCAAAGAACATCACTGCGCATGCATAAATAACAAAAATAAAGAATCGTACTTCATATTCTTACCATTATAATCCAATCAGATTGCAGGCAATCAAAGAATATCACTGCGCATGAAAAAATAACAAAAATAAACAATCGTACTTCATATTTATACAATTGTAATACAATCTTTTAGATACTCTTGCTCCTACGGCCTGTTTATATGAGCCGGGCAGGGACGCTTTCCGGCAAGACGGGCCAGCCCGCTTCTTATATGAATCAAAATTTGAAATTGTAAGCAAATACTAAAAGAGGCGAGATCTCACTACTGCTGGGCTAGCGGCGAAGCGGGCCAGCTCGACTCATACGAACAGGCCCTTACTGCTATATATTTTTTACAAAATATCAAACGATTATCAACGATTCAATGATTCGTACAAACAATGATTCTACCTGCAAAGCATAAACTATGATTGCGGCTGTTCCGACGCTTTGAAATTGCAAACTTTGTTTTCTCATTCTCAAAGAGGTTTCATTTATAATTTGATAAATGAAACGCAGATATAGATTAAGCGGTAGGGAAGGAGACGCGTAACGACTCTAATTAAACGATTAATTAAGTGATTCATTTAAGTATTTAAATACAGTAAAAAACAAAAACAAGACATTTGAAATTACAATTAAATTAGATTACAATTACATTCTGATTCGTATTTCGTAATCTCAAAGAATTAAATTAGATTACAAATACATTCTGATTCATATTTCGTAATCTCAAACAATTAAATTAAATTACAATTACATTCTGATTCATATTTCGTAATCTCAAAATGTCTTGTTTCTTCGGAATTTGTTTTAACTACACTTTTTTTAAATTGTCGGCTGGACATAGTTCAAGTACTTAAAACTTTTGCAATGCTTGCTAGAGGCGAAAACACTCGCAGATTTTGCCGATTGGATCTACTGTCGAAATTTTCCTTGTCTCGTCGCTATGGGCCAGACTGTAAAAGGTTTGTGGCTAATAATGCTATGATATGTTATGATAATTGTTTCTTTGCTGCCGAGGTTTCACTGCATGGACGACAAGAGTTGTGTGATCGGATTTGTTCATGAAATGGCAGAAAATGAAGATTACGGAGTGACATTACTACTAAAAGCACACGGTATTTTAAAACTTTTAACAATTTCGCATGACAACAACGTACTTTTCCACCCGTAGACAAAGTCCAACTGATTTATTATAAATTGTTTTTATTATAAAATTAGGCTCGCACATCATGCATCATTTTTAATTACATCCAACAGAGTGGTTAAGTTCGAGTCGAGTTTAAAAGACAGTTAAGACACACGTTTATAACGAACTACACATTTTCTGCCTTTTGGAAAGGAACTAAAAGCGAAAGCAGTTTGTGTTGTAACAACATTGTTGCTAAATCGAATGATTTATATCAAGGAGTGCCGCGTTGCTTGTTTGAACATTTTGACCGTTCGCGTACTTGACTTTGAGCATGACTACCCCTAAGGATGTCAAAATGTCAGTCAATACAATACTAACACCAACAGTCCTTCTCAATACCCTCACTAAAACCTGGACGATGTACAAGCATTGAACAATTAACATGAAAGAATATTTAAGAGAGAATACTGAGGATAAAATCTTCAGTTAATTGGGAGCAGTTAGCTTTAAATGTTTGTCCCGTAATAGCAATACTTTAGAGAAAATAAAAAATTAAAAAAAATTCAAAGTATGATACAAACATTATAAGATGCCTGTTCTTCAAATACTTTTGTAGAAGATTAGCCACTTCGAGTTTGAATTTTTATCGTTCTCAAGCACCGAGCACATAAAAGGTAAAAATGCCTTCGGGCTAAACTATTATCAATTTATTATTGCTAACCACAAGAAGATGCAAATAAGACGTCATGGGGAGAGAAAAACCTTTTATAATTGTATCTCATTCTATATGGTCTCATGTTGAGACGCGAAGAATATCGGCTGTGGCGGGTTCGCTTCATAGGTAACATTTTCACTCTGTGATGTTATCCTAAAAAAAAGTTCTCCCGCTTTGGACAAGTTTCAAAACTTGCTTTATTGATTTCATACAAAATATTTTCGTGTGAAATCGATGACACGGACACGTGTAATCAATGGAATAACTTTTAAAAAAACGCATTCCTCCGATTCGCGAAATTACAATCATGTCAATCCTGGCCTATAAGTAATTAAAGACAAAGCCGCAACATTTAACAATCTTAAAGCCTTAACTACACACAACTACCAAATGATGAGTGTGAAATTTACATGTCCTAACATGAATTTAACACCCGAAAGAAATATCTGGAAAGTAGATGTCTGTCTACTGACACTTAGCGGAAAAAATTTTTCTTAAAATTAAACGTGTAAGAGAATTTTGCCATCTATAACCAATGATATTGATATGCGCGAATCAGTTGGGTGATTATTTAATCGTTGTCACGTTTAGATTTAAGATTTGTCATATTGAATTTCGCAAACTAGAATATTACTCATTTTAGCAAAGACAAGCCGATATACAAGCGAGAAAAATTTGCTCTTTAGACGAGAATGAGAAATTGCCTTTGCTGATTTAACTACACGAGCGATTGATATAAATTGCATTATAACACGAGTTTAATTATTCAAAATACAATGAAACGCTTCGATAGTTGGACAAGCACTTGTAGCCAGTGCAAACTGCAATATAATTTAGATTTGTACATTCAATCCGAACCACGCTATGAGGAAATATCAAACGTTTAACACAAATAGCTAAACTTCCACGTGGAAAGTCTACTCTGTTTACTATCGTATCATCAAATTTTCTCACTTGAGAAGTAACTTTGTTGCATATACTTGACATAAGGCGAAGATTGTATGATAAAAACTACTGCGATGGGATGAAACGCCTCTAAATACAAGAAATCGAGCCACTATTAAGAAAACTTACCCTTGTTGTCGTCGCCTTCTCGGTCATAAAGTAAAATGGCGGACTTAGCAAACGCATGCGCAGTAAAACAACATAATCTATTTATAGATTAGGGAATACTTCAACGTCGGTTATTTTATGTTTCTTACGCATTTCAATTCTATTTTGCTAAATTTCAATGCCTCATCGGCAGTTGTAGCTTTCTTTTGATTTATGAACAAAGAAATTGTATTTATAAATCAAATGAAAGAATCGTGTACAAAGATTTGACAATTAAAATATGGGTATATTTTCGGTAGAACTTTACATAAATTTTATGTATCACAATGCAAACAGTTATTACACATTGATATTTCCAAATTATACAAACTACAACAAATACTTACCATTCAACTGTGAAGACGCGGTTTGCAGTGAGAATAATTCTTACTGAATATTTACTTTCAAAGCGCCATCAATTGCAGAAAGTCGGACGCTAAATGTATACGTATATATATGGAAGGGTCTTTATAGATAAACACAGTTTCTGAGAGTTTTCAATTAGCAATACGAGAATCGTAGCTTACTTGTGAGACATCACTATCGTTGAACCAAAGCTTTACATTAATTTTACAATGACAACGGAAACGTGCTGGATGAAAGAAACACAAACCCACGTGGGTTTGATTGACAGCTCACGTCAAGCGTGTTAGTATTATGTAAATTAAAATTTACGAAATTTGAAAAAAACATTTATAATTCTCCCGAATTTGATAAAAAATTGATCACAAATACCTTATTCGATAATGCTAATATGATTAAAGATAGTTATGAAAGAATTGATCAACATCGAGGCTTCAAAAAGTGAGTATTTTGAAATATTTTTTTGATGAAACGGCATGTCTAGAATGCGCTAAAATCACATGACCGCTCCCTCCCACTTGCATATTTGTAAATTAACACCGCTGGGTAAAATAGCCTAAATAACATTGCTAACAAACTTTGCGCTGACTTCACCAGGGTGAATAGCGATTTTATGTCGTAGTGCGAAGGGATTTTTTTTGAAAAAAAGCAAGCAGAAATTCAAAACTCTTTATTTGATTACTCTTGAAAAGCTAAGTCTAAAAACGTTAAAGCTTGAAGAAGGCAGTCACTAAGATCATCTTTCTTTTTCTCGGCGATGAAATAATCGACCAAACTCTGAGGTACTACGGCATGCCATTTCTCATCAAGCCATGGTTCCACCATTGTCGAATTAGCAGCTAAAATTGTACGCACCGTCTCTTTTCCGTATTTTAAACTAGAAATATTGTCAAAAAATTCCGAACGTGACTCCTTCAGACGCTGTACATTTTCAGATTTTTGTATCATAAATGAAATCAAGTCAACTGCTGCTCTTTTCTTTTTCATACCAACGGGCAGACCGAAATGACGAGCGGTAATCACTGGATTAATGTCAAAAACTAACTTATCCTTCAGAAGACAATGAAGCATCGCTTCCATTATTCGAAGTTGAAGGACAAAAGGGAACATAGCTGGATCAGCACGAGATGCACGATGACTTTGTAGTTCGATGATATACAAATCAACTTCGGGTAGACGCGACACCACCTGCTGTACCTTAGCGTCATATTAAAAAAAATTCTGTTTACAAAATCAATTTCTGTTCAATTTTCAATAAAAAGTTCAATTAGAGCCACAAATTTGAAGGTCAAATTCAGATAATGTTTTTTTGAATTATTCAAGTCTGTTGAACAACAAACTAAAAAAATTGTTTCGTTCGAGCTTAATCAATTTAACGAAGGCATGTTGATGATTTGAAATAGCCATTCATGTTTCATGTTTATTTATAACGTGTGTACGAATTTGACCTTCAAAACTATCGATTAAAGTCATTAAACTACGTCAAGCGGCATATACACATGAGCCTGTGCGCGAGACGGAATGCTTATTATTATATATGTATGCAGGATTCACACTATTTCTAATTAAGTAATTGTCAATGAAAAATTAAGCCCGTGGGGAGTTGTAAATAAAATAAAATGTTGTGTGGTATTATATTATTTTAACCCCAGAAACGTGATCTGAAATTTACAGTGAGAAAATTCTAGTAATTTTAACAAAGGTTTCGACACTTGCTATCAAATTTAATCTCTTTTAAAAGCACTTTGCTTTAAAAGCGCTTTCCGCCCGGTATATCCCTGGTCACTAACTATCAAATTAACAGTCAAGTTAATGTGTCAAACTGACGTGGACGAGAGACTCAACTAATTGAAATTCGATTTTGGCTTTGCCATTATAGTAGGGTGTTTGTGGCAGCTTTTGATAAAAAAATCGAAACTGACAAAAAAATTTTGTGAAATGGATTTTTTTTTAATACTTTTGTATTTTCAAGTTTTCGAATTTTTATGATAAAATTATAATCATCAGCCGAACAAAGCCACAATTCGGCAAAATTTACCGTCAGCAAGCGCTCATACGCAACAACAGTTACCAGTCTTCTTTAATCGTTTTTAAACAAAAGTCGTTTTTTTTTGGATTTTGCAATTTTTTTCGTAACGAGGCAATCGAATAATTTCAATCGCGCCCCAACTTTTCAGGTACAAATACATTGACCCGAGCACTTTAAAAGAAAAACTTAAATCCGAAATGGAATTCGGAAAAATCAATTGGGAATTTTTTCAAATACTCACTGCTTTCATAAAATCGACAGGACTGTACGATTTTTGGATTGTTACAGACATTCTTTCCCAGCCAAGAACACGTTTATTTCGATCAATGTGTACATACGCTGTATTACTGACGCCGATATCAATGGAGACCAAACTCGATATTGTCTAATGAATAAACGAAAATTTTCTGCTTTATAAAATAGCAAAAATATATCTGTCTTCGTTACTCTTAGCTATTGCTAAAATACATGGGTACAAAGTTTAATAATAGCTATTATTAATATCAGAACTTTGTTTGAAAAATTTTTACATACACACATTTTTGAATAATAATGAGGAACTAGGCTTCATTGACTTTTCAAATATGGCCTGCTTTAACATTTCAAGCAACTACAAGACCAATACCGAAAGATGAAAAAAATTAGCGACTTTAAAATTAAATTGTTTGCTATAGTTTTTCTAAAAACAAAAAGTATTCCATTTACACAGAGAATTTATAGCACTGAAAAATTAAATAATTTCAAGTAAAACACACTTCAGTTTAGTCATCCATATCTTCATCTTTTGTATTTAATGATAATCAATGTCCTCTCGAGCAATATCTGCGCGTACTCAAAATGGTATCTTCATATATGAAAGAAGAGATATTTGCTGTGTTTGTAAAACTAACTCATCGCAAACACAAAAAACATCTTTTATTTCTTTTATGACAAAACCGATCGTTTAAAAGCAAATATTTTAATTTGTCATCCAACATGTATTGATGATTGATTAGGAAATTCTCTTTAGCTACTTGACTAAATTAATCGAGCTCAGACCTGTTTGCAGAGATTAAAGTAAACTCAACTTTGACCAATTCAGCGCATAGCGTAGCCAACAAAGGTTATTTACCTAGTCCAGATATTTTAATTTTTCTAATTTTTCTGTGTTTACTTACTATGAAAACGACAGATTTCTAAAGAAATTAATAATAATATAGCTCTGAAATTTACATAGCTGGACCAAGACACGTGGACTGACTACGCAACAGCTCATATTGTTATTATTTCATAAAAAATAATCTTGTTCTAAATTCTGATCCAATTAATGACGGTTCGGAGATCTTCTCTGTTTCGTCGAAAAAATCTCGACAAGATGGTATAAAAATGTTTGACATTCATAAATAAAATCCTTTAAAAATTATTTCTTCCAAAAATAAAAGGCACAACTCTCAACTGTCTGCCGGTAGTTCCTTCACTAATCTATTTCTTGTTCCATGAAAATATCAAATATATAGTGCTTTATTTTGATGACCATTGGAGTTCACATGCGCCATACGTTTATCAAAATATTGGCCTAACTCTATTTACAGTTCGTCAGCTTTGATGTTGAAGTCGTGCACATGGGCTTTTAACGAGTTATCATAATGTAGGTTAACCAAAAAGGATTCACGACCGAACGCGCGGCGTATATCTCAGCAACGCATCTAACTTCATTGCCAGTTGCAAAGCTAGCTGCATGGCTACAAGAGTGATGTTTTTAGTCAGCTGCAGATTTATTAGTACGACGTCATAGATAGCAAGCTGCTCAATACGTTTTTTATTTATGGCTTTAACTAAATTTCAATGCGATACTGTTTGTCCAAAGCAATGTATATAAATACTCCATGTTATTTTTTTGTCTGGTTGTGGTATTTTGAATGATTTTGACACTACAAAAAATTGTTTTTATAAAATCATCTTAAAACTGTTAAATTTTCACGAGATGTTTTTATTATTTTGAACGCTATCAAAACGTAGTGAATGCAAGGCGTCCGTGTTGTGGCAAAAATAATCCTTGGTACACCACGTGCGAGCTAATTGTAAAATTGATGAAATGCTTTGCTGGAGAGATAAAGTGAAAAGTTGCTTTCGTATCTGCGGCGTCCTTTTACTAAGGAATAATTTCGTCTGTTTTCACCAACGAAAAATACATCTCCTCACACATACAACAGCTTGGCAGGTCATGATTAAACGCATTCTTAATTCATCCCTAGACTTTTGTTAATTTACAAAAATGCTTGTTCTTATTTGGAGCACAGAATTGGAAATAAACAGAAGGCCAACTAAGGGGTGCAATGTGTCCCAGATATTTTATGCGCTTATGTCAGATCTGCCATTACTCTGGAAAGTACTGTGGGTGTTGGTATTATAAATTACATAGTACAATGGAATATTTGTGTAAGAAAATCGCGCTTTTAACAGTTCTCTTTCATCAATGGTGGGAATCTTGCTCAGTAATTGAATTTTAATAAGTAAGGCACAATTTTGATGCGATAAAAGTGATTTGACTACAAAATAGGCAAATTGGCAGTATTAACATTATATTTTGATGTTCTTAAAACTAGAACGAAGATTTAGAAAGTAAACCTCCACAATGTGTAATTAATGTTTTTGCACAATATAATTATATACAAATTCCTTTGCCAGTACTTGCCAGAGTACATGCGCCAGGACACTGACTTCAAAGGCTCCGACACTAAGTTTGCCTTCTGTTCATTTCCTATTCTGTGGTTTGGAACGAGCCCGTGAGAAAACGAAAGCAAAATGAATTGCCATCGCCGATTAGCGCTTACATAAGAATTTCATAAGTCGGCGAGTGTTATAATTGTTCAAGAAGGCGAACCGAATTCAACTTCTACAACAGCTTCGGAGCTCACGATTAGATGAAATTACAACAATTAAAAATCGCGTTCACTTGCAGTTAATTGTTGTAGTTCTTCATCACCCATAGAATTACAGCATTTACCACCATATGTGAACTGGGCAAAGTTTGTGCAATGTGTAGATACCTGAAAGAGTCAGATAAAACACAAAAGTCACCCGTGATCGCCATGTTCTAATTTTGCCGCACATTCTTTGTTTCGTTTGTAATTGCAGACATAAAGATGATTTGTGATAACAATGCCTCCACATGTGGTCGCGTTATTGACGTCGTCGCGCAGCGTGTCGTTGTAGGGCTTCCTGTGAGAATCCCTAAACCATATCTCCATGTACACTGCACATGAGACAGACAATGTAAAAATATTTCCAACGTTTTCAAAGGCTGTAACTTGCTTGAACAAAGCTGGTAAAATCAATATATGGCTTTCTCCATGTAGGCTTAACATAATCTTCAAAAGCTACACATTTATGTGAAATATGTCATCTTTGAGTGGAACCGAACCGGTTGTATTACGGAAACTTAGGTTAGAAACGGTGCTTTTATCTTGATCAAAATAACTTTCAATTAATGCGTTTTCATTTTCACTATTACATTTTACAAATATTTCCATTTCCGTTTTGGTCTTATGTCACATGCATAAAATAATATGTTTGTAATAATATCTTCATCCGGTTTTATTTTGTTACTACTATTATCATTATTGACCGCTACGTTATAATCATTATCTTGGTTTTCCTTCTTATTTCATTACCTAAAACAGTATACATTCTCCAGGCTTAGGAAAACATTGTCATCGCTTATTATAAATTAAAATACCTTACAACAATGCCATTGGTTATGAATTTGCAAAGAATAAAATCATACTAATGCATATTATAGCTCTATAGTAACACTATTGTATATTATACATGCACATAAATACTTATAACTCTATTGGCTTAGGCCAATATCAGTTCACTGCACTTAAAAGTTCGTACTTTTGACAAGATTTGCAATGCAAATAGTAGACAATATTAGGATGTCGTCTCAAGCATTCCCTGTAAATTATTTTGATTCACTCGAGATATTGCTACTTTTGCTGCATTCCTGTAATTACTTTGTTCCACTCGCATTATTATTTAGTTTCGAATGCTGCATTCCCTGTAAATTATTTTGATTCACTCGAGATATTGCTACTTTTGCTGCATTCCTGTAATTACTTTGTTCCACTCGCATTATTATTTAGTTTCGAATGCTGCATTCCCTGTAAATTAATTTGATTCACTCGAGATATTGTTACTTTTGCTGCATTCCTGTAATTACTTTGTTCCACTCGCATTATTATTTAGTTTCGAATGCTGCATTCCCTGTAAATTAATTTGATTCACTAGTGTTATCATTCAGTATTTGTGACATTTCATGCCGTAACGTATTTTGCTCCTTTCGCCTTGATGTGAATACTTTTAATTTATTCACAAAAAGATTTATGCAAAAGTTAGTCGGCACATTCACCTAATTTTGACTGCTTGCCAGCCTAAAATACTTTCTACTTACAGAAATATGTATGTAACTTTAAATACAGTGACTATTTCTCTGAAGCTGTATGGATGGATAACGATTTTAGTACAATCTTTCGTAGTAATGCAAATGTAGGATAATGTGTACAGTGGCGGATCTAGTGTAAGTCAAAATAATTTACTGCAGCACCTCAGAGGTACAACCACTGGAGAAAAAATATTTTTTAGAAATTCAAAACCAATAGTGTTTTTCTAAAGTACTTTGAATTTAAAATTGAGCAGCATAATTTATTTTGACTGACGCTGGATCCGCTACTGAATGTATATATGAATAACTGTCTGCAAGGGTTGTCAAAAATTAATTGAGTTTCAATTAACTGCAATTATTTGTAACCAATTAATTGATTGGACAAAGCATCAATTAAAATTAATTGATTGGACAAAGCATCAATTTCAATTAATTGATTGGGCAGACCAATTTAATTGCAATCAATTATTGACAACCCCTGACTGTCTGCACTGCAAACCTAATTTTTACCATAATAATTACAATTATATGTTTGTAAACCATTTACTTTAATTCCAATTATGTTATGATTATAATATAATTATTATATTACTATAATAAAAAAAATAATAGTGATAATGAATGATAATTATCAATATTATGTTTCTCTGAGTATATTGTATAAATTTTCAACAATCATATTTACTAATATATAAATGACCCTTAATTTTCATTTCATAAAATTAGAAGGCATTATCCAGCAAATTTTTGATCGAATTTTTGATTGCCAATAAAAGTTAACATTCGGAGTTCGGACAACACCTAGTATTGTCGAGACCATTTTCTGCATTTCATATAAAAGCCTTTGTGTTTGTTTTAGTTTCCTTTGCATCAAAAAAACTCATTGACTTTTTTTGTCAATTCTTTCATTCTGTCATTACAACATCCGACTTATATATAACTTCAACATGATAACGTTAGTGTCGCTCACGGGGTTCAAAGCACAATTGCTGATACTTTTGTATTGTTTTAATTCCTCTTATTCTCCATATTTTCTTCAGCAGGACATGTCATGTCCACCATCTCAATCTTCTGTCCCACCACCTCGATCCTCTGTCCACTCCACCAACTCAATCCTCTTCGGTTTTACACACAGTGCAAGGTCAGTATGTATTGAAAATCCTATCGGTTTTACAAATTGTAGTACATGGTCAGTATGTATTGAAAAATCCCATTGGTTTTTCGCACTTCTTTCTCTAGTCCTGGCTTAGGGTATATGTTCATCAAAGTTTTCTCTTTACAAATCTGCTAGAGAATTTAATTACTCTTCTCCCCGATTGTGTCTCCTTTTTGTTCTCTGTTTTTGCTAAATTCTTGGCCTTCACCAACGATATGGTTGACACTTTCATTGACTCTTCTTAGACATACGACATTTACTGTTTTGTTGAGTTTTAAAGATTTTAGTTTCTACCACAGATTTTTTGTCAGCGCTTATTCATGCGCTACCATGATAGCTGTCCATCTATACATTTTCATTTTGGAGTCACAATGTTGCTTAACTACAGCTTTTGTGGTTAGGGAACAGTTAAGAAACGGCAAATGACCTGCCTGCTTTGCTCCCACTGTTTGCTTGAAAAACAAGCCTTTCAGACGCGGAAACCAGGCTCGACCACGTGTACTCCACTTGTTTGTTCGACATGGGTACGAACACATCTCTTCTTGTTTAGTTTCTTGTTTTTTTTTTCCTGCAAATTTTATAAACATTTGAATTTCAAAGTTGTCTGCTAAAAGCTACATTCTGTGTTTTGCCAAATACCAAAACAGGCAATATCATTGCCCTTTTTAAAGAGTAAATTGAAGTAACGCTGCTAAATTTGCATTTCGCCCGTTTTAAAACTTTTCAACAGCCTTCGAGCCTCCGAATTTCTTTCATCTCAGTCGACCTCAACGGCGGTTCATCTAACCAAAACCGGGATTCCCTGACTTCTCCATTATTTCTTCCGTTTGTCGAACAAGTTGTCTACGAGAAATCTTTTCTCTCAAGTCTCAACTGATCTTTTCTCTTTTTCCCGTATTTTGCATTAAAAAATATTCATATTTTAAACGATATAGCTCTTCTGAGCTCGTAGGCAATTATTTTCAAGAGGCCGTTTCATTACTACAGGTATTTAGAAAACGCTGTATGAAATAAAATTACAGCAAATACAAGACACAGACTAAAATATTAAACTACACAGAATAAAAATTTAAACTACACAGACAAAAAATTAAATTAAATTCGCTAACTTATCCATAAGCTATCATACAAAGCGACATCCATTATCTTTAAGTTGCTAATATTCAGTCAAGCGCTGCAACGCGGATTTTATTAATGCTTGGGCATTTTATTTTTACCCCGGAGTCCATTTCTAACTCTTAACTCAATCTTATATTATGTGGTTCAGGTTCAAAGTTCATAGTCATAAATAATATTTATTATATGATATATAATAGGAGTATAATCATCATTTTTATCGACCCTATTCAGGTTGGAACAGTAGGGGTTGTCAACTTCAATCGACCCCAGGTAAAGTAATAATTGTCTTCAATGTTTGTCATTCAGCAATGACCTTGATTGAACTATTCACAATACTATCTATTCGCTAGCTATAACGTCTACAAACCATTCATAATCGTTTTTGTTGCATTTCTAAAGAGTCAAAGCGTTCTTTGAGTCTGTCGAATCGATATGCCAGCCGAAAAAGCATAAAATCGTCGCATACATCATTAAATAAATCGTCGCATACATCATTAAATAAATCGTCGCATACATCATTAACTAAATTGTCGCAATATTGTCGCATTAGTCGCATACATCATTAAATAAATCGTCGCATACATCATTAACTAAATTGTCGCAATATTTTCGCATTAACTCGTATCGACGATTTTATGCATACAACATAAAGTCGTCGCTTATGAATAATATCGTTAAATATTGGTATAGTCCTGAGAAAGACCAACCTGGACGATCTACATTTACAAACGTGTAACGATCGTTAAACATTGTTAAGCAGAAACAACGTTCACCTCTGTGAGTCATCGGTCATATAACTTTCATAAGATTTTATACTATTTATAGACGACAGTGATAGCTACAAAGTCCGTTTAAAGCAAACAAAAAATTTTAATTATGCCAGCGTCGAATTTGTTTACACGCCGCGAGCCACTAACAACAAACAGATTTAGATCTCACAAGGCGACGTTAAAGACGATTTTGGTTAAACGAGGCGATCTTGATGGACCATATCGTCGTCTTTACAAAGCAAACTGAAATATTTTTCTCATTCATTAACAAACACAACAAGCGTTTGAAATTTTATACTGCCTGGTTGACACTAGTGACATAACGATATTACATTCATTACATTCCTAGTGTTGATTTGTTTGTAGTGTGAGCAAAACATTTTATTTCCTTATAAAGTAAATGGAAATAAAAATCCAAAAACATGTTATTTCCTTATGTCGACATGTTCCTGTCATTGTGCTGCTGTTATGTCGATAAAATATTTTGTTAACACTACAAACATAATAACACAAGAAGTGTGATGATACTGTCTTTTGTCACTAGTGTGAACCAGGCTTAATTTAGTCGTTTGTTTCCATAGTTGCAGAGAATCTATGTAGGCTGAACAGTAGGAATACAATCGTTCCTTGTTGATCGAAAGAGAAATGTGATAAGTTACCATTAACAAACAATTATAATAATTTTGTCTTAAATTTTATTCACAATACCAGTACTTTATGGGAATTCAATATAAGATATGCAAAATTAAGAAACTTCAAAATCCATTACCAGGCTACCTGCCGACAATTTTATGTAGTACAAAATGAAGCATACACCGAATAAGTAGAGCGTCAGTTGGCTTGTAAATATAGTCTGATGATGAATTTGTAACAAATTCGAAATATAACTATTCAAATAAAAATTGTCTTGTTTACTTAATTATTGAGTTAAATGTGAACTTTTTATTAGCGTACCTGGGCTAGTCTCAATTCTTTTTTAATTGCCCGAAAAATTACCAAATAGGAATTTTTCTCCGAAACACGGAAAAATTTTCCCGGAAAAGTCGATATCTCAACAAATTTTTTTGGCTCGTACGCTCTGTACGGCTGTGTCTCTTGATATTTAAGATTAAAAATACGAGGTTTGATTACATACAAAGTAGATATAGCTAATATTTCAAATGGCAAATGTCTTTGAAATAAAGACGAATAATTACAAACTCTAAGCTCTCAAAACCCTTATTTCTAACCTCGAATATCAAGAAAATGAGATGTCTACGTTCGGAATTTCGTATTTTTTAAAGTTGCCTTCTTGTCGTGGTTATTGGATTTCCGAAGGCAAAATTTGTGTTGCTTTTTATTGTAAACGTTATGTATCGTGGTTAGAATTGCTTGGAATTTTTTTCCATTTGCTAACATGGAAGACCCATTTCTAACACAAAAAAATGAATGCAAGCAACACAAAGTAATCATTTAAGTCAGTTTGGAGGAAGAATATTAACATCAATAAACTCTTAGCGACTGATTCACGGCGAATCGGAATAAATTACATTGTAAAATAGCCTTTAAAAACACGCGGGCGCTGATTGGTTCAATGCTGGAAAAACCCGTGTTTACAATGACATAACTCTATATTTCACCTCGAAAGTCTCGCAGTTTCGTGTTTTGTACGGCGGAAATTTTAAAGTCAAAAATACAAACAATATGTCATTAAAATAAATAAATTTATCTTTTCAATATTAATTTTTATAAAGGAAATACAAAACTCGTTTAATTGTTCCTATCGAATCATAGAAACACTTTTTAAAGTGAAAAGAAAGATCTGAATAATTCTTGATATCATGCAAAAGTCGAGTTCAATAACTTTTTTATCTAAGAAATAAAAATGCTACTGTGTTTGCACAGGCTTATGCAAACCGAGGAGACCTTTTGGAGAACTCGAGAGCATATCAGTGCAAGCCCGATACCAAAGGTCGAGGGTTGCACATGCTCGAGAGTTCTCACAAAACATCTCCGAGGTTTGCATAAGCCTGTACAAACGCAAAAAATATCTTTTTTTCTTTTAGAAAATAACACACTAGAATGTGTAATAAGTGATTTAAAAATTCTCTTTGATTGATTGATTTAATAGGGTGAACTCAGATTTGTTTTTCATAGGCTAATGCAAAAACAGAAATAGACCAATCAGCGTGCACATTTTATTGTGCTTATTTTATAATATACAATTATAAAGGAAGAAGCTAGCTTTCAAACTATTTTGTACAGAAGCCATAAAGTTTTCCGTGCCTCAACAAACAAAAATTTTGGCAGTTCGGTTTCGTCTTTTTCCCTTAAATACTCGATGAACTCTCCTGAATTTTAGTGTAAACCTTTCCGTTTATTTGTACGTCTTTATGCCCCAAAATTCGGGTGAAAATAGTCTGTAAAACGCTTGAAAATGCCGAGCCAGATTCCGCTATTATACTTTTTTGTTTACAATTTTCACATGAATAATTACGTCACCTACAGATAATTTTCGTTATTTTGTACTCGGTAAGACGTTGAGAATTACCTGTAGGCTCTTAGTCAATCACAATCGAGATTGCGTCGACATTGTAAACAAAAGCATATATATATGCAACGTTATAACTTCTTAGAAAAGAAACTGGAAGAACTGCCAGGCAATGGGTCCAGAAAAACCTACCTTTTTCTGTTCATCAGATAACAGACTTGAGAGCTTGTGCTTTTTTTTTCGAACAGATAAAACGCAGTCAGAACTGAGTAAATTTTGAAAAAACACTCTTCCTAAACCTTTCACGGCCGCCAACGAAGCAAGATTTGAAAACGGCCCATGCTTCATTCTGTGCTCGATTATAGCTTTCCCGCGAGCAGGCCCTACACCCTTAGTGCAACTCAAATCGTCCAAGGACTTTTTGTTCATTTGATCCAAAACGAGCTGAAACAATTTTAACCAATTTCCAAGCATTTTAGATGGAATCTTGCAAAATTAATTATTTAATCAAACCTAAATTACCTTAGTTTGTTCATTTGTAAACATTTGTAGCTCAGGATACAGCCTTGGTAAAGCTTCCGAAAAATTTGTTGAAGCGCATTTCAATTGGTTACCGATATAGCCTTTAAATATAATCTTAGACTTCAATAGTTTGATCATAGTGACGACGAGATCTGACGAGTAAATTGCAATATTCAGTTTTAAAATTTCTCCTATCTTTATCATATCGCAGCCATATTGAAATTTATATCGGAGCTTTCCGGTACTTTTCGCAACCATTCGGTTATCCGTCATTTATCATCGTGACGGATGCGAGTTAACGTGATGTAAACAACTATACAAAACATACAGCAAACATGGCAGGTCGATGGCGAGTTTGGGACTCGTTGTACATGGAAGAAGAGTTTTTATGTATATCAAACATTGAGGCATCCCATTCTAATGAAACGGATATTTTGCCCGTCCCAGGATGTAGAAGTATACCTTCAATTGACGTTTTTTCGTTCACCCTTCCGAAAGAGGCGTTGGACTTAGAACACGATTCATCTTCATGGCGAACTCGTGGTCGTGGCAAGTCCCTTGCAGATCGAGCACTTAGATCACGAGAGCTGTGTCGTAGACCTGGCAATGAGATGAAAAACACAGTAGGTTTTTGTGTTATGTTAGGTGGTGCAAGCGAACGGATGCGCGCTTGTCGAAAAGCAAATTTGATTGGTCAATGAGTACAATGTGCTGTCTTGTTTTATAGACCAATGAGGTTTGGTCATAAACAATCGTTTCTTGTAAAATGGGGAATGATTGGTTAATAGTCTAAGACTGACGTAATCTATTCTCGTATAGGCATTTGCCGATTGTGCTAGTAAAAGTGGTATATTATGCTAGTGGCAGTGCTCGTTTTTTGCCCAAATTATGCTCAAATTATGCTCGCTTTTCAAAATTATGCTAATGACCATTCTGCTAAAGATTCTTTTAGTTTTATCTATGCTACTTTTTTAAAAAATTATTCTGTGCACAAACTTCACAACTCACAAGACAAGTTTGAAAATGTATTTTATTAACCCTGGCCAGACGTTCTGGGCTCGGTTGTTCAAAACCTGGGTAACTTTATCCGGTGGTTGGGCCTATACGGCGAATAAATCTGCTATCCAGCGGATAGTTATCCAGCGAACAAAAGTAGGTTGCACAAAGCCTGGATAGTGTGGTGGATAACTATCCGCGGATAGCTTGCTAGTTGCCAACCATCGCGTGTAGCAGAGCACGACACAGTTTGCGCAAGGTTTTGCACTCAAATGGCCTCCAGTTACCATGGTAAAGTATGCAAGTTTCGAGTAAACAACGAACGGTGCGCGCTAACAACAACGAACTGTGCGCGCTGGGTTTCAAAACAAATAAAAACAAATACAGTGAAAACTTAACCATGCAGTTTCTGACAAAGCCCTGGATAACAAATTTAACATTGAATAATCTCGCTCGTTTCTGAACCACGCAGTCCGGCTTGACTTCTCTAATTCGTTCTCCAACAGTTAATTAGCGCTTGTTATATTGAAGCATCACACTTGCTTGCAAGTAATCTGCAAGTGCACGATCTTGTTGATCGTTGAATGAAGCTGCCAGGATGCTGAATACTCTCTCTGCGGCAGCAGACGATGGTTGGACCAACAGTATTTTCTTCACTGCCATGGACCAATTTGGGAGACGGTATGCGTGGGCCTGCCACCACTCCACCTTCTTTTCCTCTTGTTCAATGACCACATCCTGAGCAGCAGCGACGTACTGTGGAAGCTCTCTAATTAGGCCATTGATAGTTGCATCATTGTCGAGGAAAGGGAAAATCCTTAGGGCTTCTATTGTGGCGGGTGTAGGCCTCATCCATTGAACGGCAACTGGACACATGATTCTTAGAGCTTTGAAGGCCGTGACGGTGTCATAGAGCTTCACGTTAAACTTCTGCAAGAACCAAAGTATAGCCGGCTGTACACAAGCTTTTCCCTTCCGTTCTAGATCCGCGGCTCTCTGAGTAGCATCTTCGTTGGCAATTGCGGCAGCAACTGCGCGTACATTAGGAAAGTGCGGAGCTTGGCATGCCTCGGCGACAGCCTTTAACTTCTCGTAGCATGGAAACACAAGGGGCCCGTCACCTTCCAAGTAGTATGTAGCTTTGACAGAATGCTCTCCTACATCAATGGTCACAGCCAACTCGAGCTTAAGCTCGACAAGGCGCTGAGGATCTGAGAGTATAGCTCGAAGCAGTGTCACAATCTTTGGAGCAATGTTCTCTACTTCCGCATCATTCAGGAATCCAACAACGTCTCCAAACTGCTCCAGTAGCTGCCTGTAAACTTCCCATTTTGACCACCAGCGTGTTTCGCTATAAGATTTCGGCTTTCGATCTGTTAGATCCTGCCATGCCAACTTTGCTTTATGGCTGTGACTGAATAAGCGTACCCACAGGTTTCCAAACTCCAAAAGAGTAGGAATTTCCAGATGTTTGCCAACATTATCGAACGTGTGGGAAAAGCAGACAATGTTCAACATCTTTGGGAAGATGAATGCTATCCGATCCAATGCTGCTTGATTGACACTTGCTCCATCCCTCATCGCTGCAAGCAAAGAGTTCGCCTTGATCGCAAATTCAACGCAAAGGGCTTCGTTGAGAACTCTTGCTAGTTCTTCTGAATTCACCGACTTTGGGCAAATGTCAATTCTTATAAGACGCTGTGTTATCATCCACTCATCATTAATAAAGCGAAGGATTATCGCAATAGCCTCACCTTGCCTGGTGCTCCCGTCAAATATCACTGAAACGTCCCTTGTCATATCTTCTCCTGGCAAAGACAGTTCCTTCTTTATTCTCTCAACCTCTTGCTCGAAAATAAGAGAAACATACTGTCCGAGATGCGCACTATGAGTGAGGCGATACCCATTTTTCTCTAGCAAAGGACGTAGCCTGTCTACCTTCCCGATTGGAATCACTGCTTTCAAGAATTCCTCCGCTACTTCCTGTCGGTATGCTTGCTCAGCCAACGGCAGCGTGTTGTCTTTACGAGTCTTCTCTCTGCTGAGTGCCTCGGCTATCGTTTGTTCTCTTAACCTTGATCTCTTCAGCGCATCTTTCCCTTTGGCATGTTTTCTTGAACTACAATGTGATGCTAAAATGCTCTTTTTGGATGATACCATTTCTCTGCAGGCATTGCAAAAGATCGTTGTGCCTCTGACACTCAGGTGCTGATCAGGGAACTGATTAATACGATCTTGCAAAGGGACATTTTTCGCATTAGTGACATTACTCGTCCCCCTCCTTATGTATTTTCCAGTGGTGGATTCGAGGCGTCTATCCCGGGCAAGTTGTGCAGGCTTTGGTCTATCCTCTCTGTTCTCGCAACCTTGTAAACTATCTGGATGTAAGTTCACTGCACTTGACTGGTTTGCCGTGGCGGCCGCCATTTTGAAACGAGCACTGGGAGAAAGACTAAGGAGTCTGGGACCGAGACACAGACTTCCGGTTCCGTTTCATCGAACTCCCGCGGTATCTCAACACAAGTAAAAAAAAATCGAAAAATAGGAGTGGAAGCAACTGTTAATAGTAATCTATCGTTTTTAGTAGCTGAGATCTTCGTTTTCTTGAATTATTCTAAAATTGTGCTATTAAGACAAGAAAATATACGGATTATGCTAGCAGTGCTACTTTTTGAAAAAGGGCAAAAATTATGCTCAATTCCTCAGATTATGCCAAAAATTATGCTAGCACAATCGGCAAGAGCCTATTCTCGTACAAGTGCTACACTTAGGGCTTTCACAACTAAATCGAAGAATTCGTTTTGTTTCCTAATTGGTCTAAAAATTGCAAATTGCCCTATCTCGTAAATTCGCTAAGTTGGCTTTAAAATCGCTTATTCCCCAAATAAAATAACGTTGTAACATGAAGTATTCACTATACGTAGCATACAAAGCATACAAACACTTCAAGTAAAATTCTATAAGCCATGATGTAACATGACTGATTATATTCCTAGACATGTGTGACATAAGGCATGTAAGACATGTCTAAATACAGAACGTGACGTTCAATAACTACCTGCAAGCTGCGAATGACACATGTCGTTCAAAATTTACGCAAAGCCTGCCAATTGAAACTTTACCAAAACTGGAAAATTGTTACATTTTGGGAGAGTTGTTTGGGGGAATTGCTTTTTTTGGGACATTTATGTGGATGTTGAGACTGATGTTATTAAAGTGCGAGCCGATAATTTCGAGCACAAATCAGAAGACTCGCTATTAGCGAGAATAAAATTAATGTGACTTAATTGACGCCGAATCTTCAAGGAAATTGGAACAAAATAACGACAAATCCAAACGAAAAAATCTGACTACTGGATAATTTTGATAACTGTAATGATTATAACTGAAGTTTATAAACTAACATTCGTAAAGCTATAAAATGTGAGTGTTGTTGCTTTGTTTTTGACGTCTTTGAAAATTGACTTTGAGCCTAATATTTAAGCACACTTACATCTTTATAATTAAGAATTAACCTTATAGCAAATCCTGGATAAGAACATTTTTCGTCTGTACTCAGAAAATAAATAAAAACATTGAGCCTTAGCAAATCGTTGCTGGTTTTGACAAAAAAATATTTTTTTTATTTCCCTAAGGCTGCATCCGAAAAATCACAAACTAGTGGGAAGCATTTCATGAATTCGGAATTAAATTACGATGAACTTTTCCCATCTTTAAACGCGTCTATTTCCAAAAAAACTGACAGAAAGCCTGCTGTTCGGAAAAAGACCGAACGTTGTCGAGGTAAAAAAAACAGTAGAACGGAAACTAGTGATGATTTGAAGATAGGGGATGCAGTTGATCAACCAGATATACTTGAAAAGGTTAATGAATCGGAAAACTTCATCAAGACGTCCAATCATTATGTAAAAGGACTTTTGAAAAAACATGATGGCATTATGGCTGGTCGTGTTGACGAAGAAGAAAAAATTAATGAGGAGTATTTGTCGGAAGATGTTCATAATTATGGAAATACTGCAAGAAAGCAATTTGATGACGAGCGGAAAAATTTTTTACCGGAACAAAATGACGGCCTTCACGCATTTCAATGCAAAGGATTGAACAACGATGCAGGCAGCGATGACGTAGAAAAAGAAATCCAATCAAAAGATTTACTGCAGGGTGGATTTTTTAAGAAAGAGCGTGACAAGGATGAAGCGCAGACAGGATCAAATTACGAAACAGAGGAGGAAAAGGAGGGAAAAACTGCCAATGGTTTTCAAGAATGCATGAGTGATAATCATTGCAATGATTTCCTGGACAGCAGCAAGTTTTCTTTTGAACGTCACTGGAGTAGAAAGAATTCAATTTCCCAAGAGAGAACACTTAACGTGTTTATGAACGAAGTTGAAAACAAAACTACCGACAAAGGCAATTGTAGTAACCGCTTACTTGACAACTTACCTGAAAATTTTCATAGCTTTGCGAAAGCAGATATCCAAAATAGTTTTAAAAACTCGATAAGTGTTGCGCCCATGAAAACCCACATGTCACTCAAAGAAACCAACGTGATGTCAGAGGAAGTCCATGTGACAACACAAGAAACCCTGTTGACCCCTCAGGAAAGCTCAGTGACACCACAGGAAACCCTAGTGACACCACAGGAAACCCTATTGACACCACAGGATACCCAGGTGACGAATGAGGAAATCCAAGTTACACCACAGGAGACTCAGGTGACATCGGAGGAAATCCAAGTCACACCACAGGAGACCTTAGTGACACCACAGGAGACCCAAGTGACAACAGAGAAAATCCAAGTTACACCACAGGAGACCCAGGTGACGACAGAGAAAATCCTAGTGACACCACAGGAGACTCAGGTGACATCAGAAGAAATCCAAGTCACACCACAGGAGACCTTAGTGACACCACTGGAGACCCAGTTGACGACAGAGGAAATCCAAGTTATACCACTGGAGACCGAAGTGACAACAGAGAAAATCCAAGTGACACCACAGGAGACTCTGGTGACATCAGAGGAAATCCAAGTCACATCACAGGAGACCTTAGTGACACCACTGGAGACCCAGTTGACGACAGAGGAAATCCAAGTTATACCACTGGAGACCGAAGTGACAACAGAGAAAATCCAAGTGACACCACAGGTGACGTCAGAGGTAATCCAAGTGACCCCAAAGGAAACCCACGTGACAACAAATGAAACCCGGGTGACACCACACGAAGCACAAATTTCTCCACAGGAAGTCCAGGTGACACAAAACAAAACCCAGATGACGAAAGTAAAAATGATCATTGATACTGACAAAAGTAGTACGGATGATTCTGCAGCTGTCGGCACCATGGTTAAAGACGCCGAATCAATAACTTGTGACAATGAAGATAAATACGACGGATTTAAACATGTTACGGAAGACGCTCTTGAGGTTTTATCAACCAGTGATGAGGTAAAAATCTGCCTCGATGGAGCAATCAAATATCTGTCGAAAACAAACTTTTCTAGCAAAAGTTGTTGTTTAACCGTGTACTTCACATATTTTTTTAAGGATACTGGACCTTGCGATGTTTTGATGGAGAATCTGCCGCTGACATTCACTGAAGAGGTAAAACTATGAATAAAAAACGTACCTGACACAAACCTTTGATGTGTAACACCAATGTCTAGTTGTAAGAAAAGAAATGATTTTTATCTCATTTATTCTCTTCAAGGAACTTCGTGAAATGGTTGAACCGTATGGCAAGATGGTTTCTTTTCATTTCACGGAAACGGATAACTCCCTATCGTGTACAATCAGGTCTCTTCTTTCCACGTATTTTTTTCTTACATCAAAACGATTTAAAAATCTTAGAATTAGGCGCGTTTTCTGCGGGTAGTACCATTAAATAAACACCATTAAACAAATTGGTTTGCTGTACTTTGGTTTTTGCAGCACTTTGGTATGCTTTTCACTCCCCCCAGGAAGATTCGGCCAACTGCCCCTGGAATCTATGCGTTATCTAAGTTATGCTGGAGTCATGCGACATATTAAACCTCTACATTGATACATATGGGACACACTCCCGAATAAGAATATTTAATCCCGCATTCGGCTATTAAACATTTGATAAATTATTTCATTTATACAATTTTAATTATAGAATTTCAAACTCATCGAGCGGTGAATTGTTGGCCGTTTCCTTGGACGGTTTAGAGATTAATGGTAGGTCATCCTGAAGAATGTGTTTATTAAAAATGAAATTTAGTCAGACAGGGGGGGAGGAAGCCAGCCCCCCCCAGACAGAAAAACCTGGCTACGCCACTTAAATAAATTCTGTTATCTGACTGTTTCATTTTGTTAACAGGTCAACGCGCGAAAGTGACAGTCGACTGAGATGATGTAGCCAGAGGGCGGGAACCAGACCACTGCCCCACAGACAAAAAAACCTGGCTGCGCCACTTAAATAAATTCTGTTATCCGACTGTTTCATTTTGTTAACAGGTCAACGCGCGAAAGTGACAGTCGACGAGAACGATATTTAACATGAAAAATATTTCAAGATTTTTCATATCAAGTGTTGCAAGTTCAAAGACAACTTGAAATTCAATGTGGAGATCAAGACAATTTTTAGTTAGATCTATTCTAATTGTTATTAATGGACTTCTTTGCTCAAGTTCAGTTGGTATTTCTGAAGTTTTTTGAAGTATAGTTTTGTTTTCGAAGCACGTTTGCCGTATTCCACTATGAAAATCCGAAATCGGTTCGTCAAACGGCCGGAAAACTCCGTTAGTTAATTTCCGTAAAACGAATCTCACACGGTAACTTCAATCATGAATGCACGAGGTTCTAGTAGTTGATAAGGTACATTATACATATAGCACGGCATTTTTCGTTCAATTTGCTATTTATTAATGAGAACGTTTTTAATGCTTGAAGAGAGTCACTTGTGATTCTGACACTGCTTGTAAGTCAAATATTGACTCGATCATATCAATAGATACCGAAGTGAAACATTTCATTAAAATACTAATTTGACAAAACCAGTAGCGTATGAAAATACTTTTGTGTTTACTGACCGCGAGAGCAATAGATTTCTAGAGAAATGAATAATGGTAATCTTTTAAAACTTTACACAGCGGGTTTAAATCTGCAGGTTGGCCACCTTACTGCAGGACACTCTCTTTACTTAAACAAATACGACACATCAGCAATTCAAGATTTTTGGAACATTTATTTTCATTCGCTTGCAACTTGGTTATTTATGCTCTGTATCCACGGCTGTTTCTGCGCCCGCGAGCTTGCTCAAACTTGCGTCCTCTAGCGCGAACACGGGCCCGTGTCTTGCTATGAGGAACACCAGGAGCCAGACCAAAGTACCTTTCTGCCGTACGGGCCTTCCGTGGACCTGGAGATCATTGTAATAATAACTTGTAATTGCAATAAAACAACAATTACAACGGGTGGGCTGACAGGTCTGTATGACTCAGCTATTGTATAATAGCTGAGTTTGCATTAGCCTGTGCAAACACAGTTCACATCTTTTAATTAAGAAAGAAAACATGTTTATTGTGTTCATACAGGCTTATGAAAACCGAGGAATCCTTTTTGAGGTCAGTGGAAGTACAAGACTAAACGTTCTCGCAAAATGAGAGTTTTCACAAACATCACCGAGGTTTGCATAAGCCTGTGCAAACACGAAAACATCTCATATTTCTTTTACAAGATAACAATAACGCGAAACAGATGTATTTAAAACAAACGCTTCAATTTTTCTACTCGCATAATTTATTTAAAACAATCAGCCCATGCGTTTTATTTCACAATTCAAAGTCAGATTTTTGTAGTGAAGTTATTGGGTCAGAAAACACATTGTCAACATTAATAAATCTGAAGACCGTCGTGTTAGTATTCATCATTCCCAGTGCTGCGCACCGGAGTTGCGGCTCTTTTAGCCTGCCGGAGCAGAAAAACCGGTGTTTTCACAGCCCTAAATTTCATTCCCAAAATCAAGAACAATGATGCTTTGTAAATAAGTTTCTAACGACTCTATATGAGCTCATTCAATGAAATTAGAGAATTTGCAAATCAATCGTCAATACATGTTAAATGAAAAAATAACAAATTTGTCTTAAATATATCTGTTTTTCATGTTTGCACTGGCTTATGCAAACCTCAAGGGGAACTCTCAAGCAGGTGCAAATCCTCAATGTTGGTGTCAGGATTAAACTGATGGGCTCATAAGTTCTCCCAAAGGTCTCTTTTGGTATGCATAAGCCAGTGAAAACACAACAAACATCTTTTATTTCTCAATTAAATAAATACTGTCCAACAACACACAAGACAGACTACAACTAAAGATCAACAGTGGATACTTCACTATGTACAACTAAAGATCAACAGTGGATACTTCACTACAACTAAAGATCAACAGTGGACACTTCACTACAACTAAAGATCAACAGTGGATACTTCACTATGTACAACTAAAGATCAACAGTGGATACTTAACTACAACTAAAGATCAACAGTGGATACTTCAGTACAACTAAAGATCAACAGTGGACACTTCACTACAACTAAAGATCAACAGTGGATACTTCACTACAACTAAAGATCAACAGTTGATACTTCACTATGTACAACTAAAGATCAACAGTGGATACTTCACTACAACTAAAGATCAACAGTGGACACTTCACTACAACTTAAGATCAACAGTGGACACTTCACTACAACTAAAGATCAACAGTGGATACTTCATTATGTACAACTAAAGATCAACAGTGGATACTTCCCTACAACTAAAGATCAACAGTGGATACTTCACTACAACTAAAGATCAACAGTGGATACTTCACTACAACTAAAGATCAACAGTGGACACTTCACTACAACTAAAGATCAACAGTGGATACTTCACTATGTACAACTAAAGATCAACAGTGGATACTTCACTACAACTAAAGATCAACAGTGGATACTTCACTATGTACAACTAAAGATCAACAGTGGATACTTCACTACAACTAAAGATCAACAGTGGATACTTCACTACAACTTAAGATCAACAGTGGACACTTCACTACAACTAAAGATCAACAGTGGATACTTCACTATGTACAACTAAAGATCAACAGTGGATACTTCACTACAACTAAAGATCAACAGTGGATACTTCACTACAACTTAAGATCAACAGTGGACACTTCACTACAACTAAAGATCAACAGTGGATACTTCACTATGTACAACTAAAGATCAACAGTGGATACTTCACTACAACTAAAGATCAACAGTGGATACTTCACTATGTACAACTAAAGATCAACAGTGGATACTTCACTACAACTAAAGATCAACAGTGGATACTTCACTACAACTTAAGATCAACAGTGGACACTTCACTACAACTAAAGATCAACAGTGGATACTTCACTACAACTTAAGATCAACAGTGGATACTTCACTACAACTAAAGATCAACAGTGGACACTTCACTACAACTAAAGATCAACAGTGGACACTTCACTACAACTAAAGATCAACAGTGGATACTTCACTACAACTAAAGATCAACAGTGGATACTTCACTACAACTAAAGATCAACAGTGGATACTTCACTTCACATTAAAACTGTGTGTACCAAACATCATTTTAGAGCTATCACACGAAATATCTTCTATAAGTAGCCCGTCACAGCTGACCTTGCTGGATGCATGCACTCATAGATTGTAAAAACATAATAAATACCTTGCAACAAGACCGTATGCTGTCCTTTAGGAGCTCTCAAAGCCAACTGATCAAAAGTTATAATCTCCCCTCCGGCTTTCAGGATCCTTGCTTGGGCTCCATCAGTAATGTGTAACGCACAAACAGTTATCCTGGGGATCTCATAAATCCTTTTATCATCTGTAATGGTTCCCACGACAACAGCTATCTTGCCCTCAAACCCATAAGGTTTCATTTTACGTATCTATAATGTAAACAGAAGAACAATTGAGCAATGAACACATATTTCGAACATATTTACAACCTCCAGCTTTAGGAAAAACTTCTTCAATTAACAATATTAAACGCTTAATTCAAGTAGCATGCATGTAAATAAAAGATATAGATGTAGTTAGCAAAGTCAGATCAATGCTCATTTCACAGGAAGGGTGCAGATTTTCCAAGGGGGGCATAATTGTCCAAGCTAAAGGTGCCAGGAACTCGGGCTGTTGTAGATTTATAGGCTGAGTGAACCTTGCAAAATGAAAGTATTATGTAACTTCATACAGAATTTTTGTATAAAGTGAAGTAAGTTAATAATCCTAGTTGTATAGCTGTACCCTACTTCCTTATATAATCAACAAGCTTCATAAATATGCATCCAAATATTGCCAAGGAAAAGTAAAACATGACTACAACAGTTGATTCCACACATGACCAACCAGGGGACAGGAAAACATGTGGGAAACAGAGTTGACATGAGAAAGTAACAGGTTCCTTTGCATTTTGTAATTTATTTTGGTTTTAAGGTTTTAATGAACAATGCACAGTAGTAACTTAATTTCAAATGGTGACAGTATAAAATATGTAATTGTCTTTTGAATGATGATATCAAAAGTTTCACTTTTTACTCAGTTTTGCTGGACAATTTTCTGGTTTCTAATAATATTACAGTGTGCAAATTAGTTGAGAAAAACGATGTGCAATTTTTTTGACAAAAGTGTTTCTTTAGAGGTATATCAAATCAATATTACGTTAATTATTATACAGCGCTAATTGCTAAATTAATATTTTTAAACGTGAACAAATTCATATGATTTATGACTGTGTTTTTCATTAGAACTGCTAATTTGTGAAGAAATTTAACATAATGTGGCATACTAAGATTTAAGTACAAGCCTTCAAAGACAAATATTGCCGCAGGACCCCTATAGAAAGGCTTACATCTTTCGTGTTTAACATGAAGCCCTGCCAATACATTGTGTCTGACCATGCAAGTGCTGCCCCACCATCAGGCGACTTAACAAGGAAAAGAAATGACTGTAAATCATATTATTTCCATACATACCAATCGTGCAATGGATAAAGGAGGACGATTGACTTTACTCATGCAGAGTCTCTTCAAAACGACCTTATTGAACTTGGAGTCTGTGCGACGGACCAGGAATTTGTAAAGCTATTTCACAGGACATAAAGACATTTTTAAAGTGAATGGCAGAAAACCAAAAAACATACAATTATCACTGTAGGAGTTTTAAATAGCTACCTTCACCAGCAAACGAAGGTAAATGTTCTCCGAGACCGGATCTCGGCGACCCTTTTTCTTTTGGTGTTTGTGTTTTATGTCTATTCCCTAAATGGAAGGAATAAAATCAGATAGAACGAGAAATGTTGCTATAAATAAATAAAACCACTTATATTGTTTCAGTTTAGAATCAAACAAAGACACAAACTCAAAAGATGGATGTATAAATCGATGGATTTCAATTCCACTACACAATGACCAAATACACTCACCATTTTGAAAAAGAAGAGAGGGAAAGATGGAGCTTGGCACGAGCAAATGTTCCTCATATCGCGGGCTCATATTGTACACGCAGAACAATTGACGCGGAGGCATTTACGAATGGTTAGAAATCACAGAGAAAATAGAGAAAACCGGTCGCTTCGATGAATAATTATATGCATTTATTATTTATTTACATTACATGTGTAATATGAATTGGCTTGATCACGATTTGGGGACATTGTTTCATTCATCCAGCTCATATTCCTCAGTCTGTCTTCGTTCTCCTCATAATTCATTCTCTCAGCTTATCTCCTGGAAAAACGTCATGTAATTCATGTTGAAAAATAGTTTTGAAAAGAATTGTTATTGTTAACGTTCACTAAAGTAGAAATTAAATATTCATTCCGCAACTGCTATTCAAATTGAACATTTGAACGGCGGTATCGTTTGCTGTGCCACGCAAACATGTCAAGCGTACTGCCATTTGTTATAAATCTAGTGAATACTGCCTTTGGAGTGACGGTTTTGGCTGTTCCGTACTGCTTCCATCAGGTTCGTTAAGAATTTCAATAATTGTTATGGTTTTGTAAACTACCATTTTATGTTTGATTACTTTTGTGAATTTCTTCATTAATAATATAGCTTTTAAATTTTTTCACTTCCGTAACACGTCATAAAAAGTATTCTACTACTCTTGCTGTTGCAAGTTTGCAACAATTTGTTGCATCAGATTGTTTGAATAGAAGTTTAATGGTTTAAGACTGTTCTCTCACCTGTGACATGAACGTAAATATAAGCATTACCTTTAGTATTTTCACTTTCAATAAACACAAAGTTTATGCTTATGTTTATGTTGCAAGCAAGGATCCGGCTTGAAAAATATGTTAGATTGGAACTTTTTTTGCGAGTTTTCTTTCCTGAAAACCACAGCAAAGTCTTTGAAAGAAATTTTATGGGTTTGAAAGTCGTTGACAGTTTAAAATATGAATTCGGATTTTCATATGAGACAACATTTCACCTTTTGCCTAGTAGACATTTTACCATTAGGAAAAAAAGCTGACAAATCCTTTTTTTTGGGCATTTGTTTGACACACTTAAGATATGTCATGCTGTAAACTTTTCTTGAAATTAACTAGTTTCAAAATTTGTTTTCAAACCAAATGTAATGAATTCAATTATTCTGCCACTACAGTGCTAAAGTGTTGGTGACCATCCGGTTAATTAGTTCCCAGTCCCAACAGTTAGAGTAAAAAGTTGTATACATGACTATATATATATAAATTCCTTTTAGTGTGGGCTGATATTGGGTTCATTGTTGTTATTTGCTTCCTCGTATGCAACCAAAAAGTCATGCAGTTATTTGCTGAGAGCTTCACAGATATCACGAAAACGTGATTTTGAATCATTAGGTGAGAGTATGTTTTGTCATGTTGGGTATTGTCCATGTATTGTATTAAAGTACCCCTTAAAGCACATGAATGTACTGGTTCTGACTTGAATCATTGTACAGTCCTGTTGGTACACATCAATGCATTGATTTGAAAAATGTTCCAATTTTTTTATAAGGTTTCCATGTTGGGGGAGATTTGGGCAAATTAATTGTTGAAATGAGGTATGTATTTCTTTGGCATGAAAATATTTGCTCGTACAAAGTAATATTGAGCTGATGGTTAATATCCCTGCTTCTCCACTTGTTAATACTTATGATATATGACACTGGTTTGTATATTTTGGAGAAATCAGTTGTAGAAATGGCCGGGGACCTTCTGTTTGTCATTAAGGGATAAGTTTTAGGAATAACCAAGGTTTTTGTACATCATCAAGTTGTAAAGATGGTCTGAGGTTTCTTTATATCACCAAAAGCTAAGTTGACCAAAAGCTAAGGATGACCATCACAGGCTTTTGTGCTCCTTAGGAATAATTTGTTGGACTAATGCACTTCACCTGAAAAGAAAATAACAGGTCAAACAATCGCGTCGTAAATTGCTGCATTTTTGTACATGACAACAATGAACTATTTGAAATAAGTCTAAAACATCAGATGAATTTGTTTGCTATCTATTGTCAAGAATTAAAGCAAGCCTGTGGCTTCTGGGTGCACCCCCTCTTCATCTTAGTTGTACTGGGTGCACCCCCCTATATATCCAGGGAGCACTGGGTGGTGCACCCCTTATAATTCTATGAGGTCTGTTTTTTAAAAGTGTGACAAAAAAAAGTAATCGATAATAATTGAAACTGTCTTTTGAAATTCAAACATAAAAAGATGCCGCTGCAATTGAACTCAATGACATGTTTGTTTCTCTGGCAGAACCAAGGTTATTGGTTGCATACAAAACATTAACATCAATTATAATGGTAATAATATCACAAATACAAGTCTGTTTTTCTTAAATGTGCACTGCAGCCCTCCCTAAAACTTTCTCATTACCGCACTGTTAAGTCTATTGTCTGTAAATTGTCTGGTTAGTCTTAGCTTTATTATGTATCATGTAAAGAGCTCTGGTCATATAAATAAAGCTAGACTAGTGTAGTCAAACTAAATGGCTTATTTAAGACTGTTTAATGTGCTTTCCTTTCAGCCTCATTGGTTATCTATTGGGTACAGCCATAGCATGGTTTGTTGTGATTGGTGATGTAGCCCCACCAGTTGTATCAAGTATATTGGGCTTGAATGTAAGACATGATTCTTTTGTTTACCATCTCGTCATAGTTAATATGAACACTTGACTTGGCCTTTAGTGGCTGCATCATAAGAAATTAAGCCAATTTCATCTCTTAAATTGTTCCAAACTGAATAGCTCTAACTATTATATATTACCTGTATGCAGCATATTGCCCTTTGCAGACCTTGAAGACATTTGTAAGAACTCTCGGGGAGGTTGTCGACCTTTGGTCTAGGGCTAGCACTGATCTGCTCTTGAGTTCTCCCAAAGGTCTCCTTGGTTTTCATAAGTCTGTGCAAACACAGTGAACATCTTTTATTTCTTAAAGCTATTATGTATTGACTGCGTGCAGGCCAGAGCTGGATAGGATCAAATCTTAATGGTTCCTACTAGAGCAGGCTAGACCAGGATCTTGCAGAATCTTAGAGGAGTTCTTACAAATGTCTTCAAGGTTTGCAAAGGGCAATATGCTGCATACAGGTAATATATAATAGTTAGAGCTATTCAGTTTGGAACAATTTAAGAGATGAAATTGGTTTAATTTCTTATGATGCAGCCACTAAAGGCCAAGTCAAGTCTTAAAGGTTCCTTCTAGAGCAGGCTAGACCAGGATCCTGCAGGATCTTACAGGATCTAATCTTAAAGGTTTCTTCTAGAGCAGGCTAGACCAGGATCCTGCAGGATCTTGCAGGATCTAATCTTGCAGTAGCCTGTAAGGTCCTACTTTGGAAATTCTTGGATTCCAACCAACCTCCAGGGAATTATTCAACAATGTTGCTCGCCCACCACGGCTGGTGCCCTTAATAGCATTAATAAAATATTCTTTTGTATTGAACCAACATGGCGCCCGTGACGTAAAATGGACACCAAGAATTCACCAGAAAAACTAAAGTAAAAAAACATTTTTATTTTCTGATTTTATAGAACACATGGGGTCTTCGAACCGTTTTGATCGTTCTCATTGGTGTATGCATTGTTCTACCGTTGTCTTTAGTGAAAGACATCACCAGTTTAAGCAACGCCAGCAATATTGCCATAGCGATGTATATAATCTTTGCTTTACAGGTGAATAAAAAATCCCATTCAAAGCAAGCCCGTGTTTTACTCCCATGATGGAAGTATTTTCATGTTGATTCCCTGAAAAACAACGAACAGAATTATTTTTCTAAAGAAATGAATGGCGTATTCGCAATCTGGGGCCGGTTGCACGAAGCATAGATAACATTATCCATCGGATAGCAAAAATCTTCAAACTTGTAAAAAAGGGGTTTATATTTTTCTTACGACAATGAAATGTTGTAATCTTCGAAACAATATTTTATTTCAGTGATTGTTCAGTTCGAATCTTATACTTTCTGGTTTTTAAAAGGTTTTGTAAAAGTTTAAAAAAAGTTGCTATCAAATGGTTAACGCTATCCAGGCTTCGTACAACCGACACCTGTAGTGTACAAATTTACACCCGCTATGTAAATTCTGAAAGATTACCATTATTCATTTCTTTAGAAATCTATTTTTCTAACAGTTAGTGAACACAAATATATATACATAGCGAAAGTTAAAAGTCAGGCTGGCTACGCTACTGTCATTTTAGTAAACACAAATATGTATACATAGCGAAAGTTTAAAGTCAGGCTGGCTACGCTACTGTCATTTTAGTGAACACAAATATATATACATAGCGAAAGTTTAAAGTCAGGCTGGCTACGCTACTGTCATTTTAGTGAACACAAATATATATACATAGCGAAAGTTTAAAGTCAGGCTGGCTACGCTACTGTCATTTTAGTGAACACAAATATATATACATAGCGAAAGTTTAAAGTCAGGCTGGCTACGCTACTGTCATTTTAGTGAACACAAATATATATACATAGCGAAAGTTTAAAGTCAGGCTGGCTACGCTACTGTCATTTTAGTGAACACAAATATATATACATAGCGAAAGTTTAAAGTCAGGCTGGCTACGCTACTGTCATTTTAGTGAACACAAATATGTATACATAGCGAAAGTTTAAAGTCAGGCTGGCTACGCTACTGTCATTTTAGTGAACACAAATATGTATACATAGCAAAAGTTTAAAGTCAGGCTGGCTACGCTACTGTCATTACATATAGCGATGATGTGTTATTCTTTCGCCGTTAAGCTGTAGCAAACCAAACCAATATTTCATTCCTTCCTCATTTTTAGCTGTTTCTCGACACATTGCCGCAAATTTTGGCGGGCGATTGGCTAACGGGATTAAATTTCTGGAAGCCAGAGGGCGTGCTACAATGTTTACCAATCTTTGGTATTTCCTTCCTTTGTCAAACGTATGTATTGGTGGTAAATGAGTGATAATGTCGTAAGAGAACCCACCAAGTTGTCGCTGGTGACGGGAACTGTCTTGCCTGCCAATCTAGTTTCTCACACCTGTCATGACTGCAAATCTAGTTTCACATCTGCCACGCCTGCCAATCTAGTTTCTCACACCTGTCATGACTGCAAGTCTAGTTTCACATCTGTCAAGCCTGCAAATCTAGTTTCACATCTGCCACGCCTGCAAATCTAGTTTCACATCTGTCATGCCTGCAAATCTAGTTTCACACCTGTCAATCCTGCAAATCTAGTTTCACATCTGTCATGCCTGCCAATCTAGTTTCACATCTGTCAATCCTGCAAATCTAGTTTCACATCTGTCAATCCTACAAATCTAGTTTCACATCTGCCACGCCTGCAAATCTAGTTTCACATCTGTCAATCCTGCAAATCTAGTTTCACATCTGCCACGCCTGCAAATCTAGTTTCACACCTGTCAATCCTGCAAATCTAGTTTCACATCTGCCACACCTGCAAATCTAGTTTCACATCTGTCATGCCTGAAAATCCTGTTTTACAAATGTCATGCCTGCAATCTTTTTTACATAGAATTTGGATTTGAATAAACATGCTTAAGTACATTGGTAGGGGAGGCGTGCAGTATTGACTCGTCTCAGCCAAAGCAATACTACATTCTACGCAAAGTTTTTTAGTATTCTGCATCCCTTTAAAAGACATAGCACCCCCTCCGTTTACTGTCAAAAAGCTTTAAACCAAAGCTATGTTACATTCTCTACAGGGTTCTGTTTGTTCTTTACGATGCTTTGCCCGAGCCCTCCGTGAAGAAAATGGAGCATGTTGTCAATAGAGCAATGGATATTGTGCTTTTTCTCTCATTCTTGGTAAGTCCGACTTCTTGCAAATGAAGCACGCGGATGACAACATTAGTAACTGACTGACTGACTGACTGGCTGACTGACTGACTGACCGACCGACCGACCGACCGACTGCCCTTAGAAAAAAAATATAGAAAATCTTGTCCATTGTCCCTAGAGTTAAAAATTTCTTCATCATCAGAATTGAAGCGATGTCTTTAAGACAATAGAAAAAAGTCATGCTGTACTCTACAGTATGGGTGCTGTTGAGTAGGAATTATCGGCGATGTTAATGTGGGGACTGTGTGACGCTCATTGATATGTATGTATGTTAAGGTGAATAACGCATCTGGTGTAAAAGTTGAAACCGGAAGTTGGCTTATTTGTATATATTTTTTCAATCCCACTTTCTATATTTTGATGATTTAAATACTTTACAGATCTGTCTTTCCATTTCATAGTATTTTTATGTATCAGTAGTGATGTCTTAAAGGAATAAAAATGCAATATGTGTAACTTTGTAATACAAAAGTATAGAAAATTAGAACCGATAAAACTATGCAAATGAGCCAAGATCCGGCTTCAATTTTTAAGCTATTTTTCATACGTGGTTGCCTATCCAGTTTTTAATACATATAAGTGCTAAAATTGAGAAACTGTTCGATTTTTACCATTTAAAATCGCGCTTCCGTAAAATTAAACTTCATTTGACGTTTTCTAAACTTGTCGACCCAGTCCTTTTCAACGGCCAATCATTGCGTTTACCACGTGACAGCAATACTCTATTTATCGACCCAGTCCTTTCAAACCGTTCGATGCTTGGGATGCCCACGTGACAACAATGCTATGATTTTATAGGTTGGCTTCTCCGGTTATGTGCGATATTTCAACAAAGGCGTCGAAGGAGATTTATTGAAAAATTATAAACACGATTTCCTATCGGAGCTCATTCGCTTAGGTAAATAATGTTAATGTGCCAGAGTAATGTTGAGCGAACAATCAAAAGTTTAAGAAGTTGAACTGCCTTTTCTCCGTTTTACGTCACTTCCGGAGCGATGTCACCTACTTGTAGGTCCAAAAAACCCATGAAGATGAAATTTTCGACCTATGAAATATATTGCAGTGTTTTTGAATTTGAAATGGACATTCGAGCCTATCAAGGAAACAGGTCCATATGGATGTGGATCTCTTTCAAGTGCTGTGCTCGCCAATGGTTTTCTACTATAGATCAGTGAACTGGAATATAAACTGGAACGCTAACTCTAATGCTAGTTCTATATGCCATTTTAAAGCCAGTTGTTATGATGTATTTTTAACTAAGTTTTTAGGTTTATTACCAAATTATGTGTGGTAAAACTTTTCATTGCAATTTGTGAGTATTTATTTACTGTAGATTGTTGCTGATTTTCTAAAATTTTATTATGAAAATTTGAAAAACTCAAGAAAATGAGCTTCATTTTCGTCTTCAAAGATGGCGGCGTTGTTAGCGTTCCAGTGGACACTACAGTTCACTGCAATGAATTATCACTACAACACCCAAAAAATGGCGACACGCAATGCATTGTGGTAGGGCGAGGTTTGCAGAAAAAGACAGAGGTCTGATATTTCTCCGTAAAGACCGAGAAAGCGAGGTTATTAAAAGGCTTATTATAAGGCATTATTTGACCTTAAACAAAGCTTGCTTTCTTTCTAGTCCTTGCTGTTTTTTTACGGGTTGACTTTCACTTTTCTAGTTTTTGTCAGTTAAAAATAAATCGTCTGGATAGTTAAACTGTTTTTGGAGTGTTTTTCCTTCGACTCATATTCGCAAATGGCTATTTGTTTCTTTTATTTTGCGTTTTGCGGTTACGAAGTTTGTTTACTTTTGGCAGTAAAACGTACGCGTTTTGGACTTGCGGGAAAATATTAGACCGGCAAAAATGTTTCTGAGCCAATCAAAGCGCGCCATTTTGCCGGAAGTGACACTTGCCATATAATAATTACTATTAAACTGATTGGGATAAACTTCCATGGACATACGGGAACTGTTATTGTGAAAAAGCCATCGATGAGTTCATATAAGCATGTCATAATCTATTGTTTTCAAACGGATTAAGACATGCATATATGAATATTAAACCTCCCCCCTGAATTATTGAGGTTAGCTACGCACGTGAAGGAGATGGCAAAATATAAAATCAAACATGTTACTAAAAGTAATTATTGTCCTTACATTATAATTCGATCGATGCCATTTTATAGGATTCTGCGTTTCTACTGTGTTGAGTTTCCCATTGTTGGTGTTTCCATGTCGTTCCAGTATTAATTCCATGATTTCCGCAGGAAGGGTCGGTTTTATTTTTTCTTTTAATTTCCCTGCTTTCCCACGAGAGTGGCACAGTTCACTGGAGTGGTACTAACGAAACGCTCCATTCTCCATGTTTCAGAATGATGCCATTTCCGTGGGAGGCACGTTCATATCAGAGGATCGCTTCATGCTCATCACGTGTTCAATTATCATTGGAGCGTTGACTTGTGGGGTTTTATTTCCCAGTGGTAAGTTCTAAAATGAAAGTCGCATGCTTCATTATCATTGGAGTGTTAACTTGTGGGGTTTATTTCCCAGTGGTAGGTTCTAAAATGAAAGTCACGTGATTCATTGTCATTGGAGCGTTGACTTGTGGGGTTTTATTTCCCAGTGGTAGGTTCTAAAATTATAGACGCCAATTGAGATTCGAGTAATCTAAGATTTTTCATAGTTTTTTGAGTCAACGACTCAAGTTACAGAATACAGAGCTCTTGTACAAAACTTGAATGTCTTTGAATTTAAAATGAATAATTCAAAGGGCTTGAAGTCCTTGAATATATAAAGTGTGTTAAAAAGTCCTTGAAATCCAATTTTTCGATCGAGTTTTTGTAACCATTTCAGAGTGTAGGCCCGTTTCATACGTCGCATTTTACATGAGCCAAATGCATTAAAGACAAAAGAAAATAAGATAAAATGCCTCATTATCTTTTGTCTGTAATTTATTCGGCTCATGTAAAATGCGACGTATGAAACGGGACTTAATTTCCTCTTTCAAAATTGGAGGTCAAATTGTAGCCTTAGACTCAGAACTTTGAAGTAAGCTTCTAAATATGGCGGCTTTCGCGTCACAAACTCGATTCATTAAAAAGCTCTTTGGCTTTAGTTTTGACTGTACGTTCAATATTTTTCAAGTTAGTTTTGCTTCGAAGTTCAAGGTCTTACTCATGCTTCAGTTTTTCAAAATATGTCCTTGAAAGTCCTTAAAAGTCCTTGAAATGTGCTTAAATTCCATTGCTCCCTATTGTACGAAACCCTGATTACAGTAAAGATTGTCGATACAGTTTGACAGCAGTGTCGCTAAAAAAGCCCATCGGAGTCAAATCTTTGTAAACATTCGATAGCTTCTTGAACATTTTAAAGAATGCGTCTGAAGGTCATCCATTGTCTGCTTGGGCGCCATTTTAAGGGTCACCAAAAATGGTAGCTTTTGTAGCTATTTTAGGAAGAGTTTCGTTTGTAAAACGTTGGTATAAAAGAAAAAGTGAAACTCTTAACATCGAATCTTTGTGTGTGTATGTTTCATTGAATATCATAAAAAATATTTCACGAAATATGAATGAAATCACGAGACGAAACTTATGGGATGTTGAGTACACTATTTACACAAAATTTCCCCTAGAAAAACAGAAACTCTAGGCGCTCAAAACATGACGCTAGGTCTTATTCTTTAACTAATGCAAATTATTGAACTAGCTTTATGAAATAGTCCGTTTATCGTTTAGTCTGTGAATAAAACTTTGTGAGATAGCTAAGATACTGGCAATAATGCCAACAACCTTTTTCTTAAGTTTTGGTTTATGCAGATCGCCGACAGTGTTTTGACTGTAATGTATCTCTAACGCCAAATTCTGGATTGTGAATTATTACAAATAATTTTTAAGGGCAATAATTGGCTGATAAAGATTTTCACCAGCTCTTACTAATTAACAGCTTGCAGTCAGTACAGTGAAATAAGGTTTACCCAAGTCCACGTTTAAAAGGGTGGTGGCAGAAATATCGCCTGATTAAAAAATGCCTGCAATCTGGTTTTTAGTTCAGTTCGTCATGTCTCTGGTTGTTTTACAGGGGATTACTGCGTGCTATCAATAATCTTAGAACAATATGGTTTTAGTTGAGTTTGTAATGGCTCTGGTTGTTTTTACTGGGGGAGTACTGCGTGATACCAACAATCTTAGAACAATATGGTTTTTAGTTCAGTTTGTAATGGCTCTGGTTGTTTTCACGGGGAAGGAATCACTGCGTGATATCAATAATCTTTGCACAATCTGGTTTTAGTTGAGTTTGTCATGGCTATGGTTGTTTTTACGGGGGGGATTACTGCGTGATACCAACAATCTTTGAACAATCTGGTTTTTAGTTGAGTTCGTCATGGCTCTGGTTGTTTTTACAGGGGGGGAATTACTGCGTGATAAAAACAATCTTTGAACAATCTGGTTTTTAGTTGAGTTCGTCATGGCTCTGGTTGGTGCGACAATGGGAGCAATGTTGACGTACATACTGCCTTCTTATATCTTCCTAAAAGTTGCTGGTGACGATGGCTCGAAGTTTGAGGCTAAGGTAAAGTTTTTTTTTAGCACGAACTTGTGTATACCTACCAGGACATGTCATGGAGATAGAAATGTATTCAACAGAAACTGTGTGCCTTACATAAGATACACGTTGAACTGTAGTATAAACTGGAATGCTAACTTCAATACTAATAGTATAGAGTTAGCATTTAAAACTGAGCTATGCGATACTGTATCTTATTTGTTTAAAATGACAGTGGACGTTCTAATACAGATTATGTAAATCTCTTTTCATTCTCGAGATATCGAGGTTTTCATGATGTCCAAGTGACTCAAGACTTCAAATAAATAGCGTGAATTCAGATCTTCAAAGTTTCCATCCAGTCCTGAGATACATTCTATTTCAGTCTGACTTTCAAAAGTTCTCTCTATATGCTTTTGGATATGTATTGAAACGACAGCAAATTTAGACGACGTCATCTCGACATCGTCTGTACTGTTGTATTGGGTGTATGAAAAATTACATATTAATCTATTTTGACATTTCAATACATGATCACTATGTTAATCCCACTGGTGCATTACTGTCATGTTTTGCTGGGAGAAGTTTTGTTAAGTTCCTAGAAGGAGAAAAGCTTTCGTGCTAATTACAAAGACATGTAATTTATCCACGTAGCTGACAATACTTTATGCATCCGAGGACTGATAGTGATCTGGTATCGAAATTACTAAAATACCTTAATTTGTAAAGATCTTTTTTTGGTGCAACATTGTAGATCATTGCTTCATTACTCATTGTTGGGTCAATAAAATTGCTTCATTACTCATTGTTGGGTCAGTAAAATTGCTTCATTACTCAATGTTGGGTCAATAAAATTGCTTCATTACTCATTGTTGGGTCAATAAAATTGCTTCATTACTCAATGTTGGGTCAACAAAATTGCTTCATTACTCAATGTTGGGTCAACAAAATTGCTTCATTACTCAATGTTGGGTCAATAAAATTGCTTCATTACTCATTGTTGGGTCAATAAAATTGCTTCATTACTCAATGTTGGGACAATAAAATTGCTTCATTACTCAATGTTGGGCAAATCAAATTGCTTCATTACTCAAAGTTGGGCCAATCAAATTGCTTCATTACTCAAAGTTGGGCCAATCAGATTGCTTCATTACTCAATGTTGGGCCAATCAAATTGCTTCATTACGCAATGTTGGGCCTATCAAATTGCTTTATTTCTTAATAGTATCATACACAACAAAGTGACATTCTCTTCTTTAGGTATTGTTGGTTGTTGGTGTTTGTTTGTTGTGCCTGAGTACTTTCTCAGTTCTTAATGTTAAAGAAAGTCAAATAAAGGAAGATGAAATTGTCTCTATGTTAAAACAAGATCGATCTATGATCAAGCGGTTGGAAACGAATCTAAATCTCACACTGGAGAAGTCATTTGAAAGATCAGAGAATATTCTGGTAATTTTCTTTCGTAGCCGGCAATCAAAAAGCGGTAGTTGTTTCTTAAAATATCCGAGTAAAAATTGTTTTGGTGCGTCTGTCGCTTGTAGCACGTGTATTGTTGTAGGAGTGTGGGTAGGGATGAACGGGTAGGGATGAACATCTTGGGGTAAGAATTTAGAGGTGTAGGTTGGGATGAATGAGAACATCTTGGGCTAAGCCTTTAGAAGTGTAGGTTGGGATGAATGAGAACATCTTGGGCTAAGCCTTTAGAAGTGTAGGTTGGGATGAATGAGAACATCTTGGGGTAAGCCTTTAGAATTGTAGGTTGGGATGAATGAGAACATCTTGGGGTAAGCCTTTAGAAGTGTAGGGAGGGATGAATGAGAACATCTTGGGGTAAGCCTTTAGAAGTGTAGGTTGGGATGAATGAGAATATCTTGGGGTAAGCCTTTAGAATTGTAGGTTGGGATGAATGAGAACATCTTGGGGTGAGCCTTTACAAGGGTAGGGAGGGAGGAGTAAGAGCATCTGGGATTAGTCCTTTACAAGTGTAGAAAAGCATGAGTGAGAATATCAGGGTTAACTCTGGATGAGAACAATTAGCGATTGTTTTTCACGAGTACATAAGTATGTGATAAGATTTTTTCATGATGTACATTTGTCAACTTCGTGGTTTATGTGTTTCAGGATTTAAACAAACGAAAAAATTATTCCGATGAGAAAATTCTGGGAAGAGGAAAGTTGACAGACAACAGCGAAGAAGATGCTCCAAAGAAATCAGCTGAAGTTGTTGACGAAGCGAGAAAGGAGCCCGTGTTACCGCAGGAAGGCGGTCTTCCTCAAAACAAAGCAGCAAGCAATCACTTGCGGGAGAAAAGGCAGCCTCTCATTCACAATGATCAACCCGACAATGCCGAGCAGCCTTTTGATGACCTGAAAATTGCTGATCGAAATTTACCTGCTGAAAACGAGCTGCCCGTGATCAAGGAACAACCCGCAGAATCACACCTTCGTGATAAAAGAGACTTATCTACCAAGATTCAGGAACAACCCGCGGATAAGCTTTCCACCCACAACAAAACGCTTGATCGGGAAGAACAGCACGAAAATGATCCACCACCCGTGCAACCCGCAAAACCCGAAGAAAAGGCAGGTCAAAATATAGATGCGATAGCAAAACCTGATTTACCAGTTGAGCCTGATGTTGTGGGTAAAGAGGTAAACAATATCTAGACATCACGGCGCTCTTCCGTTGTGAACGAGCTGTAAGCGCCGATTGACCCGAATTTGCAAAGCGAAAAGCACGCTTTGAAAGGTGAAGCTCGTATCAAAAAAAGAAATTTATTGACGAGATAGAAACTCAATAGGAGAATTTACTGACGTCAGAGCAACACGAGGAAAGGAAAATGAATGTAAATAAAAAATTATAACAGTTCAAAAACAAACGATGATAAAAGTCAAACGCTTAATCGGCAAATCGGATGACTAACTGCGAGGCTAGGAGTTCTTCATTGTTTAAAGCTTCAAGCGTCAAATTGTAAAGCCAAAAGGTTGTAACAAAGTATTGTGTGATCTGTTATGGCGAAGCTATTCATTAGGAAAACAGATGATGTTATTATGGAAATAGAATTTCAGTCAAATTAGCTTCCTACGATGTATTGTGGAAATAAGTTGCGAAAAGTGTTTTTCACAGAAGGACGTTTGAAATTTGAATGACGCGGTTTGATGTTTAGTGTTTTTTTTTACAATGGCGCGCATGTTTGAAGTGCGTATTTACGCGATCGCTTTAATGGGAAAATATCAATACAAGTTGCGTACAAACAAAGGTTAAGTTCTGATTAAGTTTCAAACTCGTTTTCACTGATTGCTTCCCATGAAATTTTTAATTTTTGTTTTCGAGCCAACCACTCGATTCGAGTTGCGTAATTTGTGTCTGTATGGGAAATGATAAGTGTCAGAATTCCTCTTGATCAACTTTCATGTTATGGCGATGTAGGACATTCGGGAAAAAACCCATTTGTCTTTGTTCTCATCAAAGGAAAACGGATCTCATTAGCGTTAATTAGAGCCTGGCACACAAGTGCTTCCGAGACATCTAATTGCATTCCGCGCATATTATAATCAATGACTACAGGGTGGTCAAGGTCTTTAAATCGTGAATGAATAGTTAAGGTGGATCAAAATGTATGATGGGTATGCATAATGGTGTTTGTGGTGTTCTGTAAAACCCAGAATAATGTGTTCTTTTCACGCTTTGAAATGTATATTTCACTTACATGGCCTTTAGGTAACTATCCTGTCACTGAATAGCACTTTTTGGAGGTTTGCTCATGGAAATTACGCTCATCATACAGCAGTTCACACGGATTTGACTTCAAAACAGAGACTATTGTTAGTCAGTTGTACGTAAAAGCCTCGCTTTAGTTGCCGCCATTCGTAAACAAATAAACAGAGCACTTGCAAAAATGACAATGTAATTTGCGTTAGTCCGCTTGTTGACGACAAATATGGCAACTCTTCCGACGCTGTAATTGTTCAAAATAACTTCTTGGCCATTTACATGAGATGTTATTTCAAACCATGCGAAAGAAGTAATTGTTTTTCACTGAAAATGTTTTGTCTCTGAAAACGTGTTTATGCTGTGCCCGTTTCCGCCATCACAGCTTATATATACCATCGAAAAAAACGTACAGCCAACATTCAAACAAAGTGAGCACTGAGAGAAATAGTTAGAGACAGCTGGTAAGAAGTATCCCAGAAATGGTCTTCGCGTTGCTTATCACTTTACTAGCAATTACAGAATGTACAATTCAACAAAAAAGACATCGGAGTATACCATCTTTTCGCGCCAAATCGTCGCTGTCGGCGAAGCTAAGGAGACTGGAAAACAGCTACGTTAATAAAACTGTAAGCATGAGTAAATACCTAAGCGAAGTTGATGGAATATATCGTGATCACGCTCCAGAGTTACAGAAATCCTTGAAGCTTTTCCAACAAGATTTTGCTCCGTTCATTCGAGAATTGAAGAAGGCAAAAGCGAAGAAATGTGTACTACGTTACGAGACACAAAGAATTGGTAGAGGTGCATCATCGAAACGTGTTAGGGTGAGTAAACCATGTGAAAAATAACGACACACGGCTAAAGCAGTTAAAAATTGCAACAAAAGCCGTCACCCGATTGATGTTTTGATCACGTGAAAACACATTAAGGCGAAACAGGTTCTGTGAAAATTACCAAGTCTCGAATACAGGATGTTAGTGAGTTAAATCGCTACGAAATGAACCTCTCTGTTCATTTCACAAGAGTTGATAACGATCCCGAAAATTGACATAAATGTATTAAAATTACTGTAGCAGTCTCATCCCTTTGTAACCGTCCACTCGAAATTTTAGTCACTTGTATCAAGTGCATACGGAGCTTTGCATCATGGGTAATTTGTTGTTTACAAAAATTGACTTTAGTCGACCATCAACATTCAATAAAGGAGTATCTTACAATAGTGGCTAAGTCAACGGACTTTCCGAGAAGTTACATTTTCAACGTTGATATTTTTTAGAAAAGTCAGAATACATGTCTTATTTTATTTGATTTAGATCGGCGTTTGTAGTTCTTCCCCTTGCTCGAATGTTGACGCCAGATGCTCTTGCCAGCCCTCGAAAATCATGTTTAAGGGCATCACTGTACGACATTGCCGGAAAAGAAAAACAGGCAAACGTAGGAACAGGAAGCATCATAGGAGGACACTCAGGGGTAAACGTAGACGCCGGTGTACATGGAAAAAATACACTTTATTATCCGCTGTCGATTGTCAATGTACATGTTCTTGAAGTTTAGAAAACTAATCAATCTTGTAAATAATGAACTGTATATAAAAAAACAGCTTTAACCAAAGTCAACCCGTCGCTCACTGCTATTTCTTCCAACCTCAATTTTCCAATCATTTGTCATAAAAACATGGAAGTATTTATAAAATATTTTCATTCATCTTCATCACGCTGTAAAGTCACAAATTCACCGAGAAAAACGTCAATGTAACTAGTTATTACTTAGTATACTAGTTATTACTAATGTCATCCCGCATATGAACATTGACGTTTGCAAATATTACTCAAATATCAAGAATTTAAAAGTTTTGTACATATTCCAGTTGCGTTTGTACATAGATATATTTGAAACAGTTGTTGAAATTTTCTCGATCGATTTATCGCATAATTAAATTACATCATTGAAAAAAGACCTCTTGTAAAACTGATTTCTTAATGATTGGAGCAAAACAGATGAACATTGTAAGGTCATCCAATTTTCAAAATGGACAGTTCCTATTGAAAAATTAGCAGTTGCAATTGAAAAATGGTTAGTTTCGAAAATTATGTAAAAATATCGACACTTTAAAATTTTATCTGCAATACTAAAAAAGTTTAAAGGCCTTAATGTTAGACTGTAATTAAATTGAATATAAGGTTTCGAGTTTTTTGTGATTCAGACAAAATTTTGATTGTGATTTTGGCGTATTCTTTGTTTGAATCAATTCAGTTTGCACAACTAATTTTTTCCAAACAATGTTCGCAAAACGATGAAAATGCCCTTTTAAAAACTCAAATTTCATAAATGTTTCCAAGCCTTATTTCCGTTGCAATCACCAATCCCGCCCCCCCCTGAAGGAAAACGTCGTGTTTGCAGTACGGGCAGCTGTACATTTTTTCCTATAATGACCCCCGTAATTGGAGGGATTATTGTATATCATCACGGGACCACAATGACATTTTGACCAAAAATTTTTGATCTTTCCCAAATTTGTTTGACAGTAATAATGGCTTGATTTGGTGTTGGTGGCGTTAAATTTCTGCACTATACTAATGAGTACTATAAGCTAAATAAAAAACGACGATAGTTATAAGAAAACAAAATATACAATTACAGGCTTAAAGCAGCAATTAGGCATTTGAAAACAGCCAGTGTCTTTTAATTTGCATATTTTACTGTCTTTGGCCAATTTAAGAACGGTTTTAGCGAGAAATCGTCTAAATTACGTTGAATGACGATTAGCACCTGGCGTCCCGTGTTTAAAACATGAACGTAAAACTTTGCTTGCATGTCATATTTTTGTAAGGTTAGAAAAGTCATCTGAATTATACGAAACCTTACCCCAGATACATTTCTTTTAAAAAAAACTTTTATTTAGACGTCGCATCTGCTAGGTTTTTCCTTGTGACCTCACGGAGGTTGGCTTAAAAATGGCTAAAATAGCTTATGCCAGAATCTATATTGATCTTCTGTCTCAATGACTATATTAAGACTATTTTTTGTACTCATACCAGGATCACAGATGGAATTAATAAAAACCATGTGCATAGAATTCTATTCTCGTCAATTTCGTGTGCTGTGCGTACTGACTATATAAGTAATTAGCAAGCTTGGTGTGATTCGTTCGGTTCGCCTTGTGAATTTTTTAAGTCTGTGATGTTTGCCGATGTTCCTCACAGAATAACAAGTTAGCAGCACGCCAAAGCAAAGTTTTCTTTGCTTCTTCAACAGCTATGGCGTTTATCTGTTGTAAGGTTATCTCAAAGTCTGCATTTGACACGCAGGCAAGTCAATAACTCACACACAAGGGTATAAAGTGCAAGAAATACATTCCTCCAAATCTAACCTCAGCTTCATATTTCAGCTTTTTTTACATAGTCTTACAAAAGGCGATAAAAAATTCATAGTTTCAATATTCTAGTGGAGATATGGCAATACCATAAATTGAACCCCTCCCTCCCCAAAAAATGAATAATACATACAGACAGTGCTAATGATCTTACATTGGCATGGAATGGACAAGCTTGAAAACTTGTACGTCACAGCCATCGTGTGTGCCATACTAACAGTAAAGTTTGAAAGGTAATAAGAATGTCCGTCAAAGAAAATTGTAGAAATTTTTTCTAATAATTTTTTGGCTCCACTGAAGCACTGTGATTGACGATGAATTTCGAGCTATACACAATATAATTGGCTTAGCAACTGGAATATAAACACATTGCAGATTGGTTGAAAAAAAATTTTCGTCTTTTTTCATTTAATTTCTTAAAACTGGAAAACCATATTGGTACTAAAAAAGAACAGAGGCTATAAAACGTCTATTTTCACAGTTATTTGAATCATAGCTATATTTAAAATCAGGAAAGAAAATAAGACAAAAAAGTTGACATAAACACTTTGCTACTTAAGTTTCCATTGAATTGAAAAGTTTTCCATTTTCCGTTAAACTTTGTTTCGATAAATGCTTCGCTTCTTATGTATTTTCAAACTATTATAGTATACTTGCTTTTTCAACATTCAAAGATGTGATTTGTCAGAGATGAGTTTTTAATATTGCTATCAAATAAATTGAAGATTAAATGTCGTGTGCAATGTGGGTTTTTGGCTAACAAGAGCAACCGCAAGAACGGATGACTTTAGTCTCAAAGAAAGCCCAATAACATTTCTTCTTGGACAAACTTTTCGGGCATACCCAGTACAACAACCTTATTTTCTTCTTACCCCTGACCTTGCATTGCTTTATGTTATTTGTAAAAGAGCATTTGCCAAAGTTAACGAATCGTGGCCACACGTTACGGCCAAGGTCTTGCCAAAATGGTTCGGCTTTGCAGCGGGTTATATTCCATAGAAAATAGCGAACATCTTCAAATTGCGAAGTGTTAAGATAAATTCCTTTATTTTGGAAAAATTTCCAAAGGTCTTCACTCGCTTCTTTGTTTTCTTTGAAAGAGGCAAACTGAGCGCCTTTTTCCAATTTGTTTCTCTTTTTCAACCACGCCCCATTTGGCTGCGTTTCCGACATTAAATCCGCTTCGTACCACTTCCCCAAAATTTCTCGAAGTAATGTTGCATTTATGGATGGAGCGCGTCGGTCCTTCGCTCCCCTGATGAGCTCCAAGAATCTTGCCCCTTCACTCTCAGTGAGCGAGCCAACAAGTAACGATTTTGATTTTAACAACTTGAAGTATGGTTTAGTCGCTTTTGCTGTGAGACAGAAGAAAGCAAATACGTAAAAGTGCAACAAGGTCATCTTTGAACGAAATAAAAAGGCTTCAGTGTGTGTATGAAATTTTCCACCGCTCGTTGTTCACGTCAACTTGCTTGCATCGCTTCATGTGGCTTGTGCGTGAAGGAACCTTCGCGCAATATAAGCAAATATGGATGTACGTCGCTGGCCAGTCAGCGCGTCTCTTCTTTGTTCATTGATACTTGATTGAAGTTTATTTATAATAATCAAGGCGTGTTTGTGGAAAACAGATCTGCGTAACAGCTACTGCTGTGAACTTCTCATTCATTTGTCATTGAAGACATATGTAAAATATGTAATGTCTATTATAGTTCAGTCACCAAAACCATTTTGCAGTGAAGGTCACACCATATTTCGAACAAAACACGGCTATTCCCACGGGCATTACGTTAAAAAAACTGCGTTAAATTGGTATGCGGAGAATTCAAAAGTGAATAAGTGAATATCTTTCTTGTACGGACAAACAACAATTCTTTAATGTCGGATAGAATTGCTGTTTTGGCATAAACATGTTTTTGCTTGAATCAAAGAAAACCCAAAACAATCTGCCTTTACTCAAGTTTCATTTTTATTTAAGATTTGTTTGATGGGAAATATAAGTTTTTGAAATATATGCTTTTTCACTACAACAAACGATTATTTGTTCTGTTATGTCCAGCCATCTAACTTATGTCCAGTGATGCAGCAAACTTGTTAACTAAGGAGCACAAATTCATACATGCATGCCTTAATCCGTAGAAAACAATCGAGTTTAGAGGAACTTAACACAGCAGAGTATATTAGTACTAACACCTCCCCCCCCCACACACAATTATTGAGTTTTCTCACACCGCTGATCTCTCGTTCATCTAAACTATACCATTTACCAACTGGCCATTTCCAACTTTCCATTTGCCACATAGCCCTTTCTATTTCTTTTGTTAAACCTAGACGTTTTATTATCTCGTTTATTTGAAAAGCCACCATTTTCGTGCAGTCAACTTTCAAAACAAACGTCAGCAAACAATGGTATATGAAAAAAGACGATTGAAGTGTGTTCTTAGCGTTGCCATTTATGCAATTTTTTACTAGATTTGCTCAGATGGCTATAGACTCTCTCTCCTAATTTATATAGTAGCATATTTCAGAGCAGAAGGGGTTACTAGCGTGTCAGGTCACATTAAGTGTTAGGTAATCACTTTCATAACAAATAATATAAAAATTCTAACAAATTGCGATAATATTTGACTCTATGTCGCAATATGGAACGATGTAGTTCTTTACGCTTGTTTTCATACGAGTGTTTCAAATATTACGTCATCCACTATCGTTGACTTGTCGAAATAAAGTAGTATTCTTTATTCATAGGATATTTGGCGGTCACTTGGGTATTGGCAAAACAAACGCATGCGTAGAATCTTTAGCGAAAACACGGAGTCATACACAACCATGTGTTTGGCAAGTGTATAATAAAGAAGAAGTCATTTTCACCCATGTGTTAATGACCCAATTTTGTTATGTAAACACATCTTTGAGCATGTGCAGATGATAGGTTATTATGAAAAAGATTATCCGAAATGATTCCACGGTCACATTAGAGGCGAGCCGCTTTATTATTCTATAAGCTTTTTTGCTCAAAAATTCACTCGCAAGGATGCGACATAATCTTTTGCATACTTTTATGACAGCGAACGTGAGACAAAGAAAGGCTGTTAATGAAGATTTAATAAAATCTTCTAACTTTTCTGGCGGGGAGTCAACCCAGACTGAAAGATTGGCAGAATATTTTTACCATTTTCAACCACACTTCACGGCATGCATGCTACTCTATTTGATGAGAAGTATCAACGTTTTAAATGAAAACCATACAAATCTCATTTTTTGATAAATGAGCGTCGATTGTCAGCATCTATACGCTGTATGGTTCTTGTGTATATTGTTTCTAAAATAAACATGGGGCATGCTTATTAAGGATGTTGAAATGCTGAGAGCCCAACCAAGACAGCTGAAGCTATTTCGAGCATCTTTTATATATTTGAGCATGGAGTTGTTCATTGTAAACAACGACAAAAACCAAAATTCTGATACTTTCATGCCTCTTGTACACCCCCCTTTCATATTCTTTCCTTTTGCTTTTGGCTTTGTGTTTGAGTTTTTGCATTTTTTACTAGAGTTTTTAAACTTTTGCCCATAGCAACGACCTTAGCAACAATATTTGGCATTTAAATCCTCCAATAAAACACCCTGACGATGTGATTTTTTTCTCCGACAACTCCCCCCCCCTCAAACCCTTAACACACCACGATAAATTAAATGGTGCCACAGGAGGAATTTTGCCGTTTATGAAATTATTATGGACCAAAAGTTTAGATGCATCCACTTTGACAAGTTGTAATGTGGCAGTAAACGCTAGAGAAGGAGATGGACTTTATATAAGAGTTCCGATTCAAGACTTCATACTAACATAAGTTATCTGACATCTATCGTACCTCTGGATATACAACTCATAATATCAAATTCTATTTGTGAGCAGCTCGTGACTTTACACATGCTTCATACCATATATGGTAAGTACATTGGAGGAATTTTTGTGAAAGAGCGTTGATTAATTGTTTCGAAAACTTTTTCGCGAGCCAGGACGGACACGTAGAGAATTTGTAAATTTTATCTTCAAAAATAAAAATCTACAATATTTTTTATAACTGTCTCGAAGTTCCTTACTCTCCATACAGATGACTATACAATGATTAAGAATGTTTACCTTTCACTGGACATATGTAAACATATTTGGCAAAACACATTTAGTGGGATGTGTATAAATGCCTCGAAGCATTGGCCACTAAGTAATGCAAATGATTAATGATCTAACACCACGAGGAGTAAGACAAAGCAGCGCCATAAAGACTGCCACTTCAAACTAGACCATCCCCAAAAGATATTACAGCAGATGTATCTTGTACCAAGGCATTCTGCCGATTCATTTTTTTTTAGTCTGAAGTCCATATCCTCTCTAATTGCACACAAAATATCCTGTTGACTGCGAAGGGCGTTATTTAATCTCATTTTATTTTCTCGTTAATGGAGTATTTTTGATCTTTCACTTACTTAGTTCCTGCATAGTTTTGTTGATCATAGTTCTGATCGATAGTAAGACGTAGAATTAGAGCTAGACTACTTCATGTCCGCAATTGGTTTAATAAATAGATTGTTCACTGTTGCTCAAACGTAGTTAAGACCGCTTATTGGGGTTGCTGAAGTTATGGTACGGATTTTACTGTGAGGATTGTAAATACGAAATCGATATACTTGATCTTCTTATACTTTGATATATATGTCATAGTGAGCATGGTACATAACAAATCAATGTACTTGATCTTCTTATACTTATGTCATACTGAGGATGGTACATAAGAAATCAAAGTACTTCATCTCCATATACTTTTGTCATAGCGAGGATGAACAGAAGAAATCAATGTACTTAATCTCTTTATTTGTCATAGTGAGGATGGTATACATAAGAAATCTATGTATTTCATTTCCTTATACTTATCGAAAGAGTTTAGTGTAAAAAGTTAATTCAATTTAACTTAAGATCATTCAACAGAGATGTTTGAGATGATGAGAGGACCAAATGATAAAATAAATTACTTCCTCATCTCTAAACAGGGAACAATATTTTCTCTTTTATGTATTCTTCATCAACATAACGAAATTTCATGGCCATCGAAGCCACATTTTCATACACATCTCTTCTCCAACATCCACGTTATTCATCACTAATTAATTAGATTGCATACCCGAGAGACAGGTCAGAAATCGCATGCACAAGTTTGTTTTGAAAACATTCTAGAACAATTAGCTGTCAATAATGAGTATATAGCACGCATGTGGGGATACAAGTAACTTGATCACTTTTCCATTAGCAGCAATTTTGTTGAAAATGACATCGACAAAACAAACCTTGTGAAGAGAAAACAGTCAAAATGTATAGTTACGATTTCCTATTGTAAACTATACGAAATGTTGTTATGATAATATGCTTCAAAATACAATCTTTTACTTCATAAGGCAGAGTTACTGATCGTCCGAAACGAAATGAAATTCGGTTGAAGAAGAAAACATGCTTCATTAAGGGTTACGATGATTGAAATGTGAAAGCATAAATGTGAATGAAAGAACTTTCAGTAAAGTTTTTTTTTAATATAACATTGACATCTCAACTATCAATGTACGTACATTTATTTAGAATCTGAGACAAGAAATGCTTGTTAAAGTTGTTTTGGTGAACAGAAGAGATTGCTATGTCAAAATGCTCGACAGTATGGGTCTCGAAGATTGCACTTTTTGATATTTCAAATAGTAAAAAATATTCTATTTTGGAATTGCACATATTTTTTTTAACAAATCTTGAACAAAATTCTTAAAAATTCACGCCATATTGATTGCTTTCAGGGTACGATCAGTTTTCACGATTTTAACGGCTTGAATGATTATGCAAACTCTGTGAGACGAGTAAATATTTTCTGTTGATTATTACACATTAAACAATGAACATAGATGTCGTGAGCAGTGAATCTGATTACGTGTGAACTAGACCTTATAGGCGCAAAGCTATGTGATCATTGTGATGTGATGAAACAAGACACTTAAAGCATCTGCTTTGCATCCATTTAGCAAAATAACTTTGAATATGCTGTTGAAAATATCTGATTACAGTTTTTAATAAACATTTATCGACATAGCTAAATTCTATTTTTGTTTTAAACAATTTTGATACATGGCAACATATTAATTATAGTTTGACAATAATTCATGGAATGATTCTGAGCGTACAAGTTGAACTTTTTACAATGAAACATTTAGCAACCTTTAAAAGTATTATATAGTGTGTAAAATATAGCAAATTAAGAATCTGAACTGAAATAATCACGTTATGTAAATGAAAATATTAGACGGTTTTTTATGCTACATAAGTTCCAAATGCCACTTTATAACACGTTTTTCAATACTTTATAAGTCTGTAA